AGAGGCTGGCAGCCTCCTTTGCCTTTGTGAGAATGAAGCCAACGCAGAGAGGGGCAGAGCCGAGAGGCGGTGAGAGTCGGGTGCCATCTGACATCGTCTGGTCACCCCAATCCACACATGCATGAAGCCAGCGCCCCCTCTGAACTCTGTAGTTACACCAGCCTGGAAGGCCTCTCAGTTTAAAGGACTCGAGGCTGGATTTCTGGCACCTGAGATCAAGAGAAGCCAGACGAATGGACATATGGCTCAATAAACTGGGTAATGACAATGAAAAAAGGGGCGGGGGCTGGATTAGGCGGGGAGATGAGTTTCAGTCCTGATTCTCTGGCTAATTGGCTGAATTGGAGCAAATCCTTTCCTCCGCTGGCCCTCAGAAGGGGTTAAACTAAATGGGCAGTTCTCCAGTCGGGCAGAGGAGTTCCACGGAATTCCTCCTGAGGCCTTCTGAACTCTGGGGGAGGGGCTCTGGCTAGAAGACTCTGTTTTTCTCTCTCTTACACATCTACACATCTGGGCTTTTGTGTACACCTCATCTGAAGACAGGGCTCTGCAGACAAAACCAGGGTGAGAAGACCACCACGTTGATGGCTTCTTAGGCTCCTAGAACCAACATTCAGAGGCCCCAGAGCAGGATTTCTGGGCTCCCTCTTGCCTGCTCAGTCACTCAACAAACATGCCTTTGATGCCTGAAGTGGGGAAAGCACCTGGAGAAAAGATGTGGGCTAATTCAAGAAGCACACCCCTGGGCCTGCAGGAACTTGGGCTCCAAAGGGGGAGACAGACGTGGGAATGACCGGATAGGAGGACGGAGCGAAATGCGCTCCAGGGGCGTAAACAACCACAGGACCGGATGTTCCCTGGGACTGAGGGACTCTGGGGGAGATGCCCACCGGGAAAGCCTCAGTGAAGGAGCAGGGCTTTGATCTGGCCAAGTCTAGGAGGAAAAGCCTTTCTGGTAGGAAGAAGAGGAATGAGAACAGTTAAGGAAAAAAAGCCCTCAGCTGGCAGACAAAACCAGAAGCAAGGTCCTGTTCTGATCTCTCGCCATGTGCCACTCTGAGGGCATGCATGATGTCACCTCACTCCCAAGTCCCCTCTGAGGCAGCCACCACCGCTCCCATGACCCACACACAAGAGAAGGCCTCGGGGGCCTCCAGAGGTCATGTGGCGTGCCCAAGGTCACCCAGGACGTGCAGCCGGCAGCCCCGGGAGCTCCGTGTTCTATCCTCCAGGTTTGGCCTGCTTGCTGGGTAACACGTCCCCCACCTACATCCCCACAGTACCTCAGGACGGGAGGAGGAGCCTTGCAGGGGAGGGAGAGGAGGGGCCGAGGGACGCACTTGGGACTCACCTCTGGAAGGAGGCCACACGGTCTTTCAGAGCCTGCACGAAGGGGAGGATCCAGTGATGGCGCAGAACCACGCTCTGGGACAGGCTGACATGGAATGCCTCCATCCTCACCAGCCGGGGCACGTACGTCTGGGCGTGGGGCAGCAACACGTCAAGGAGTTCCAGGAAGTCCTCCCCGGCTTCATCTGGAGTGGGAGAGCGGGGACGGTGGGCTGCTCCCTCAGCCAGGGTGGCATGGCTGAGTCGGGAAGCCCAGAGGCAAAGGCTTTATTCACTCTGGGTCTTATGAGAAAATTACTTTGACAGAAGCCTATGTCTATACATTGTAATAATATTTTAATAGGTATTTCTGATTACAGAAGTAACACACCCACGCTCACTGTAAAGAATTCAAGTAAAAAGGAAATGCAAAGGAGAAAGCAGGGGCCCCTGAAACCCCACCACCTAGAGCAGTGGGCTCCACACCACTGTGATCACACAGGCCCTTAGGAAAACAAGCTGGCACACATACCTGCAATAAACGTGGACTTATTTATAAATACAAATGCGTGCTACTCTGTAAAGTTACGTGTGTTATAAAACGCATGCTCTTAAGAACAGAAATTTAAGAAGATGAGATAAAAAGAAATACACAAAAAAGTTCTAGTACTTTCTTCCTAATGGATCATCCTGACATATCCTCCAGGGCACACGTACCCCACTTTCAAGACTACCATCCTACAGACAAAGACCGTCAGAAAGCCTTGTCTCAGTGCATATACTAATGTATATATTCAAACTTCTGCCGCTGGCTGTCTTCATCTAACACTACCTGTTGCACACCCTTGCTCTCAGGACAGAGTTGTCAAGCCCATGATTACAGCCCCACAGTAACCCACAGCCAGAAACAGTGTATTTCTTTAATCAGTCTCCTATTAGACATTTAAAATCTCCTGATAGACACTTAGAATGCTCCTACTTTTTCACAAAAACAAAGAACACTACAATGCCAACCATTGTATGTTCACATATTTATTTTTTTATCAAACATGTGACTAGAGCTGCATGGTTAACAGTCTGCTCACAGCTGGTGAGTTACTCAATTTGTCCCAAAGTCCTGGTAAACAGGCAGTATAGAGAATCATTCCCAATCTGTGGATGGGGATATGGAGGTGCCAAGAGTATACTCAATCTAGTATGAACTAATAAGAGCCACCACTTACTTTGTATATTGTGCTAAGAACTTGACATAGATTAGCTGATTTAATCTTCACAGAAGTCACAGGAGATAGTATTACTACTATCCCCATTTTAGAGATGAGGAAACTGAGGCTCTGAGATGTCCAGTAAGTTAGTAAAGGGCACCCAGAGCAGTGGGGTGGTGGAACCAGCTCTGACACTGAAGTCTGGACATTGCCTGCTTGCCACTCACTCATTAGGGCTGGGTGGGACTTGAACCCCGCTGGGACCTCTTAGAAATGAAGTGTCAGCTGTAGCTGCATTCCGGGATGGCCCTGACACTCTGCCCAAGACCCTCCCTTGGTCACCTCCTCACGAGCAGGAAGAACATTATACTCAGGGTTAACAAAAAATATTTCAGGCAGTGAATTTAAACTGCAACCAAGTTTACAGAAAAATTCCCCAATTCTTGACACTCTTTCTCCGTCTTCTGAGTCCACCTCTTTCCCACCACTAGCGTGAGAGGTCTCTGGCTTCTTCCTCCTGGTTGGGGCCAGCTTCCTTCCCTCACAAGGCACCTATCAGTCTCAGCCACCTGCCTTTCACACGTCACTCACATGGTACGTAGACGTGAGTGGCCCAGTTGCCCCGCTCGTGGGGGAAGGTGCGCACCCGGCCCCCATGTTTTGCACTGTCATCCTCAGGCCCCTCCTCCGTGCCCGGGAACATGTGCAGCACGCTGTCGGGTACTGGCAACCTCTGGCTGGGAAGGGGGCTCTGTCCACTGCAAGAGAAAAAAAGAAAATGAGAACATTTATCCTCCCAGCATTCTCTACCTCTGTACATACCACAAAAGTTGTAACCTCTTATCCAGGTGACTGTGTGTATATTTCCCACCAGGTGCTGTAAGCAGCTTCTAGATAAGTACAAAGCTCTTTCCCCAGTATTGTCTCATCGCGGTCTCCCAACAGCTGGAGGAGCCAGACTTTGCAGGGAGGTGGTCCCCACGGGAAACAACTGGGCAGGCAGCCATGTATGGTTCAGAGGTCACACTCCCCAACCGGACAAGCCTGAGCTGGAGTGGCACTTCCTAACTCTGTGGTCTCAGGCAAGTCAGGTGCCCTTTCTGGGCCTCAGTTTCCTCACCTGTAAAGTGTACCCTACCTGATGGAGCTACTGTGAGATAACGGCGATTCTGCTGGAAAAGCACTCAGCAAGCGCCAGGCCCGGCACTGAGGAACCCGAGCGCCATAAAGTAAGAGCCCTGGATCATTGTGTACACTGTTGAGTCGCGAGCCTGGCGCAGAGGGAGGGCTCAAGGAATATTTACTGCATGAATGAAAACACTCTCCAAGTGAGTAAACAGACCTGGGGTGGGACAGCGGTGCGCGCCAGGCGATGGAGTGGGCCAGCGGCGGAGGCTGGACCCGAACCCACGTTTCCTGCTTCCTGACCTTGGCCTAGCCAGGTGGGGGCACTCGGGGGCTCTGTCCGGGGCTGGCTGTGCTCCGGATCTTCCTTTCCCCCGGTGCCCCTTTTCCTTCCTTCGCGAGCCGCCCTGCACCCCCGCCCACCCCGACGCTCGGCTCCCCTCGGGGTCTCGCGCGCACCCGCCCCCTCCCCAGAAAGCCTTCCTCGCTCCTCACCGATGGCGGCCTCCAACCCCCGGCCGGGCGCAGGCCTCGGTCTCGGCCTCATCCTCCGAGCCGCTGCTGCTGTAGCCCACCAGGGGCGCCGCACTCATGGGGCCTCCTCCGCGACCACAGGACCTGTCCGCCAGCACCCGCGCCCGGAATTCCGCGGAGCCGGAAGTGCCCTCCCGGGGGCGGGGCCAGGATTAGCTCCGCCTCGGGGCGGGGCCTGGAGGGGCGGGGCCCGGCGGGACAGCGGAGAAGGCTCTACCCACCGGAGCACGCTGCCTGCTCGCTCGCTGCGCTTTGCCCGCCGCCTGCAGCCTCCCGGAAAACCCCAGCCTCGTGTGCCCATTTCACAGATCGCTCGGGCCCTGCCCTCTCTGTCCGCTGCTCGCTCTGCAGCCACCCGGTTCCAGGCCTCCCAGCCACGGACGGTCCCGGGGTCAGCGGTCAGCGCGCTAGACCCCGCCGAGATCCCTGCCCTCGCGGACAGGATCGCAAGTCCCGGAGACCCCTCTTCAAGCTGGTCCAAAGTCTGACTCCGGGGGCCCCTCCCCTAAGAGCAAGCTGAGGAGTCAGAGGCGGGTCAGTTCCAGATCAGAGGGTGTAGGAGGCCCCTCTTTTCAGGTGCAGGGGTCAGGCGGGGGCCAGGCCCCGGGAGCCCCCTCCCCTGAGGCCCGCAGGGTAGTCGGAGGCGGAGCGCCCTCCCTGGGTCGGCGCAGGCGTGCGGGCCGGGCAACCGGAGAGCCGCCCCGCGCGCCCGGCTGTCCGACCCGGCCCGGCCGCGGGGTCCCCGGCAGGGGGCGGCCTCGCTCCGCGCCGCCCGCTCCTCCCGCAGCCGCCGCCGCCCCGGCTGCCGCTCCTCCCCCGGCCCCGCCTCCCTGGCCCCCGCGCCGCCCGCCTGTCCGCCGGTCTCTGCAAGGCCATCGGTCTGTCCGCCCGCCCTCCCGGCGCTCCTCCGCCCCGGCCCCGCTATCCCGGCCGCGCACGTCGCTTCCTCGGTTCCGGCCGCCGCTAGCCCGTCCCCCGCCCCCGGGCCGGCCGCCGCCGCTACGCGAGGCCGGGGATTGGCAGCGCGCGTAGGCCGCGCCGCCGCCGATGGAGCCGGAATAAAGGGGCGGCAGAGAGAGCAGCCGGTCGCCGCTCGCCCCGCGCCCGACCCCGCGGGCGGCCTGGAGCAGGTGAGCGGCGGGGCGCCCGGGGCCGCGGCTGGGGGCCACTCCCGCGCCCGCCGCACCCCTTCTCCAGCCGGCCCGGCCGCCCCCCTCCGGGCGACCCGGTGGCCTCCCGAGCTCCTGGGCGGCCCAGGCCAGCCTCGACGCGCAGCCGCTCCCGGGCCCAGCCCGCGGCCCCGGGGCCTTTCCCGGGCCCAGTCGCCCGCGGGGCCGGCGCTCGGCCGCAGCGGCCAGGCCATTCCCGGCGCGGGCTGACAGGAGGCCGCCCAGCTGGGCCGGCGGGCAGTGCCGGCGGGAGGTGACCAGCTTTCATTCGGTTTCCCGGGGAGGAGGAATGGCTGGGGTGGGGCGCAGGTGGGGGCCTCCCCTTGCCTCCCGTACCCTAGTCTCTCCTCCTCTCCTGGCTGCACCTTCCTGGAGGGGGGCCGGGGTGGGCCGTGGAACTGGGGGCCCAGGGCCCAGGACCTTGGGTCTGGCAGCCGTTCATGCCGGAAAAAAACAGTTGGGTTGCCGCAGCCGGACCTAGACCGCACTCAGAGTAGCTCCGCTTGCCTCGTTCCTGGGGAGGCTTCGGTACCTGCTTGCTCATGCAACCTGCTGCCTCCACCCATAGCCGCGGCTCCTTTCCTTCTTCCCTTCCCAGAAGATGCTGAGGATGACAGCTGTTCGCCTGACTCGTAACGTTTCCTTGGCAGAACAGTTAGAGGCCAGGCTGGCCTGCGAAGGCATCCCCTTCCTTCTCCTCTTTCCCTCAGGAGAAAACTTAGAAACTTTTCAATGTTACAGGCAGAGGAGCCCGGAACCTGAAAGCGGGTTGCATCTGATTCTGAAAGTTCCTCCCTCTCACTGTCATTACCTTATGCTGCCACAAAGTGGTGAGTTAGAGATTTGCCTGGGCCGGGTGGTCCTTACGTTCCATTGATTACCCAGAATGTTAGAGACTTGGAGCAAGGGAGCAGGGTTGTCTCCGGAAAGGGGATGAGGAGAAAGGCTCTGTGGTTAGCATGCTACTTCCCACATTGCAGAGGCAAACTCGTAATTGCTTACATTTTCCTGCAGGCCTCGGCACTGTCAGATTCAGAGGCCTGAGGACTTTTTTTTGATGCTCGGGGAGATACCTAGAGTGGGGAAGTTCTGCTGTGTAAACATTGAGGCTGGGTGGGTCTGGGGACCTATGGTCTAAACTCCATCCTGTGTTGGCTCAGGTCCCTGCAAGGCCATCCAGCCTGTTGTGGAGAGAGAACAGGTGCACGGTCAGGGAGGAGTGCCTGGGGGGTAGTTGAGAGGGATGTGGGCCAGCCCCTCACAGGAAAAGGTTGTTTGAGATGGTCCTCGGTTCCATGTAGTTGTTTTCAATGTTGACTGATTGAGGCTGTTTGCTGTTGGGCCCTCAGATGTGGGAGGGCTAGCCTCTTAGACCTGGCAGGCTGTACTCCTGAGGAATGATGTCCTGGGTTAAGATTCAGGGCAGCAGTGGGAGAGGAGCTGGCAGGCCCCAGGGAGGCCTCAAGCAGAGGCTCTCTGCTTTAATCTGTCTTCTATATTGGGCTTCCAAGTGAGAATTTATTTGCAAAAAAAAGTTATGCCGCTAAAATTATTGTTTTGGACACCATGGCCCTAACTGGTCGGTCTTCCCCTCCTTCTTGCCTTGGAGCATGAGCAGAATCGGTGATTTCTTTGTATTGTGGGCAGATCACCCCAGCCTCTCACCTGTGAGACAGCTGACTAAAGGGGGTTGGCAGTAAGCTGGGACGCTGGGGTGCCCTGGCCCAGGGATGGGGAACTGAGGGGGCGTGAGGGTAGAGACAGCACCATGCGCTTTCCTGGAGGGGCTGAGCTGCCAGCAGACTTCGTCAGTGTGTGAAGACAGCAGATCTCCAGCCCTGAGCCTCTCTCCCTTCCCTGATGTGGTTTATGGCAATGTGGTGCATGCAGGCAGCGTAGGGAGAGGGCCCAGGGAACAGCTGTGTGTCCCTGCTTCACGCTCACGATTTCTCTCTTCTCTACAGAACCAGTCCTCGGGGAAGGCAGAGGCTCCCTGGCATTGCTGGCACCCTGCCTCGAAGAACCCCCCCGTCCTGTAGGCAGAGCCTTGTAGTCCGTCTTGGTTAATGACTTGCGCCGTCTGACCAGTCCCTCTTCTGTGCCTTGTCTGAGGTCCTTCTCCATACCTGATCCTGGGCAACTTCTCTCTCTGGGTTGGGTCACCTTAAGCAGGGAAACTGAAGCCATTACTCTCCAAACCCTGTTTCATCTTCCCAAGCATGTCGGAAAGCTGGCAGCAGCCGCCACAGACGCAGCCGCAGCAGCCTCAGCCGCCACAGCCTCAGCACCACGCAGAGCCACCACCGGCCCTGGCCGAGCACACACTGCCCCCGGGCACAGCTGAGAACCCGCTGGGCTGTGCGGTCTATGGCATCCTCCTGCAGCCCGACCCGGGCCTGCAGCCCCCCCAGCACGCGCCCCTGCAGGCAGCAGGCGAGCCGGGCCCGAAGTGTGGTGTGTGTGGTCACGACCTGGCACACCTGTCCAGCCCGCATGAGCACCAGTGCCTGGCAGGCCACGACCGCTCATTCCAGTGCACGCAGTGTCTCAAGATCTTCCACCAGGCCACTGACCTGCTGGAGCACCAGTGCGTGCAGGCCGAACAGAAGCCTTTTGTCTGTGGGGTCTGCAAGATGGGCTTCTCGCTGCTCACCTCGCTGGCGCAGCACCACAGCGCGCACAGTGGCACCGGTGGCCTTGTGAAATGTTCCATCTGTGAGAAGACCTACAAGCCCGCCGAGGCGGCTGAGCCAGCGGCCACTGCTGCCCCCTCGCTGCCCCAAGCTGCCCCTCCACCTGCGGTCGCTCCTGCTGAACAGGCCGACAAACCCTACAGCTGCCCCATCTGCCAGAAGCCCTTCAAGCACCTGTCGGAGCTCTCGCGGCACGAGCGGATCCACACCGGGGAGAAGCCATACAAGTGCACGCTGTGTGACAAGAGCTTCAGCCAGTCCTCGCACCTGGTACACCACAAGCGCACGCACAGCTCGGAGCGGCCCTACAAGTGCGCGGTCTGCGAGAAGACCTTCAAGCACCGCTCCCACCTGGTGCGCCACATGTACGCGCACTCGGGCGAGCACCACCTGTTCCGCTGCAACGTGTGCGAGTTGCACTTCAAGGAGTCGTCAGAGCTGCTGCAGCACCCGTGCACGCCCAGCGGGGAGCGGCCCTTCCGCTGTGGGGAGTGCCAGAAGGCCTTCAAGCGGCCGTCGGACCTGCGGCAGCACGAGCGCACGCACAGCGCCGAGCGGCCCTTCAAGTGCGACCTGTGCCCCATGGGCTTCAAGCAGCAGTACGCGCTCATGCGGCACCGGCGCACGCACAAGACCGAGGAGCCCTTCAAGTGCGGCCTGTGCGAGAAGGGCTTCGGGCAGCCCAGCCACCTGCTCTACCACCAGCACGTGCACACCCTCGAGACCCTCTTCAAGTGCCCCGTGTGCCAGAAGGGCTTCGACCAGTCGGCCGAGCTGCTGCGGCACAAGTGCCTGCCGGGCGCGGCCGAGCGGCCCTTCAAGTGCCCGGTGTGCAACAAGGCCTACAAGCGGGCGTCGGCGCTGCAGAAGCACCAGCTGGCGCACTGCTCCGCGGCCGAGAAGCCGCTGCGCTGCACGCTGTGCGAGCGCCGCTTCTTCTCGTCCTCGGAGTTCGTGCAGCACCGCTGCGACCCAGCCCGCGAGAAGCCCCTCAAGTGCCCGGACTGCGAGAAGCGCTTTAAGTACGCGTCAGACCTGCAGCGGCACCGGCGGGTGCACACGGGCGAGAAGCCCTACAAGTGCCCCAACTGTGACAAGGCCTTCAAGCAGCGGGAGCATCTCAACAAGCACCAGGGGGTGCACGCCCGGGAGCAGCAGTTCAAGTGTGTGTGGTGCGGTGAGCGCTTCCTGGACGTGGCCCTGCTGCAGGAGCACAGCGCGCAGCATAGCGCGGCCGCTGCAGCTGCCGAGGGCGCCTACCAGGTAGCCGCCTGCCTGCCCTGAGTCCCGCCATGGCCCCCACCAGGCCCAGCCCAGCCCAGCCTCCTCACACCCAGCCCTCCATCCAGCTGGGTGTTCTCAGGCCCAGGGCAGGAGGATGAAAGGGCACGGGGCAGGTGGAGGGTGTGGGTGCCTGGCACTCCTGGTACCGGCCTGGAGGTGGGGGGAGTCTGGTTGCTGTGACTGGTCCTGATTCCACAAACCTCTTTTCCATTACAGGATTCGCTTTCTTGAGAGCCGTCAGCCTCCCTTGTCTCAGGGGGCCTGGAGCCAGGCTGGAAGTCAAGTGGCCTCTCTCTGCCCCCAGGAGGGGGTGGTACCAGCCTAAGCTTCCCCAGCCTTGCCTAATTAGAAACCAGATAGGTTAGGAAAGAGGATGGTCATGGTGGGGCCTGGGAGAAGGGCTGGACCCCAGAGGTGGGCTGGATGTAGGGCATCCCCCTTCGAGTTGCTGTTTGAGTAAGAAGGCCAGCTTTGTGATGTGGTCCTGGGGACCAGGAGGGCAGACTGTGGGCCACAGGCCTCGCTGCTCCAGCCGGGGGCGATGCTTTCTCTGTTTCTGACAGGTGAGGCGTATAGGAGGGCTGTACATCCATGGGCTGGATCTGCCTGGAGAGCTGTTGGCCCAGCCGGAGGAAGGAGACAGAGAGGTTCTCCTGTGACCACTCAGCCAGAGAGTGTGGTCCACAGGGAGAGGAGGAGAGGCGGCCTTTGCACTGAGTCGAATCTCGCTGCTTGGGAAGGGCCCCTCTGCCTGTGCAGCAGGTGCCCACCTAGCTCTGGTCGGGAATGTGCTGTCAGCCAGATAGAACTGCTGATGTGAAAGAAGGAGATTGTTAGACCACCTGGTGCCTGGGAGGAAGCAGGGCCGAGCCCGTGATCTTCCCAGTGGATGCGAACACGTGTCCTCCCACTTGAATTGTGTGAACCAAAGCGTCAAGGGCATGGCCCCAGTCAGTTTGCCTCAGCCCTACTTCAGGGCCAAGGCCAGGCCTGGGTAGCGAGGGGCTGGGGGAGGTGACAGGACTCTGGGAATGGCATCTGACTGCACAGTGCCCTCCCAGCCCATGGGAACCCTCCCCCATCAGTCTGGCTGCTGGCCTGGACCCCAGGGGGCTTGCGCTGCCAAGATGCTCTGTACAGCATCCAGCTACGTCCAAGGCCAGAGCATTCTCCCTTGGGTCTTCCTAGGGTCCCCCTGGGTCTCTGGCTGCCCAGAGGGCTTGTGCAGCCAAGGATGTCCAGGGCTTAGGGAGCAGGCAGGGAAAGAGGGTTGTTAAGGAAACCAGTAGGTAGCTGCAGTCGACTGATCTCACTGGACGGCAGGGGCCCTCAGGAAGCCCAGAGGACCTTTATTATCAAAGAGATGATTTTGAACCCAGCTGTGCCCCTGCCATCTCCCAGCCCCCTCCCCTGGTCGTGGGTCTTAAAAGATGACTTTGATCAGTGCACGCACCCAGGGCCCAGAGGAGCAGGAGACCCGCCTGGTCCCACTCTCAGCTAAGTCTAAACAGCCCACGTGGGCCGCCTCTGTCTGCCTGGGTCCCCTTCCTGTGCCTGCAGAGAGGGGCTGGGGCTCCCCTGGGTGCTGGCTCTCAGTCACAATGCCTCAAAAGACGGGGAACCCAGGCTGACAACAGTCTCAACGGCTAATTTTTTCCTTTCATTTTGCTTTCTAAAAGCAGTTGTTATACTATTCATAACATTGTATAGTTTAATTTCATGTCATTTTGGATCTTCTATAAAAATGTGAGAATCTGGATTTTTAAAAAGAATGACTCCATTTTAGATAGCCCCTTTTGATGTTAATATATAGTGAGTCCAATGTATGCTTTAGAAGTAAAGACATTGACCATCACAGACCCAAGCCCTGCTTGTTCTGGTCATTCTTTGACGGGGCAATGATGGGACGTGAGAGGGAGAGAGGTGTGCAGGCCAGGGGGCAGGCTTGGCACTGGGACACAAGGCTAGGTCCCAATCCTGAGTTTTGAATGTCCTGGTTGTGTGACTCTGGGCAAGTCACTAACCTCTCTAGGTCTCAGTTGCCTCATCTATAAAATGGGGAGGTAAGCCCTTGTCTTGCTTAGTTGTTGTGAGAATTAAGTGCCATCCTGTATGGAGGCCCTGGTGGGGAAGCTGTGAAGATGCTGACATTCCCAACTGTGGGCAGGACACCTGGGGCCTTGGGAATGGGCCCGTAGCCGCTTGACCTCATTGGGCTTTAACCACCGCCCCTGCAGAGGGAGCTGGGCCATGAGGGACAGTGGCTCATGGATGGTCAGAAGCCAGGGACTGGGCCTGGTAAGCATAAGAGCTTGCTCACCCCCAGTGGAAAACCAGGGCCTGCCTGGAGTGGCAGTAGACTCAGCCAGACAGGCCCCGCCCCAGAGGGTCACCTGCTCCCGGCCCACTTCCATGCACCTTGTGCACACGATCCGTCCACACGCCCAACCCAGCCACCTCCACCTCAGCCTTCCTACACCTTTTCTTCTGTAGCCCCATCCCTGTCCCTTAGTGGGCTGACTGCAACTCAGGCTTCTTCCCTTTCTCAAAGGTAAGGGTGGAGGTGGGGAGAGAGGAGAAACAACCTCCTCAGGTCTGGGCATCTGAGAGCCAGTGGAGGGTGGTCTGCAGGGACACCCTGCCCTGGGGGTGGGGGAGGTGAAGGTAAAAAGTCAAGAGGACAGGGAGCCACCATGCTGCAGGGAGCTCAAACCTGGGTGTAGACAGCTTTGTGGAAAGGCAAAGGGGACCCAGATGTGACCTGGACCCCACACTCCTCTTACTCCCTCTGTGTGGCCATGGGAGGACCCTGTCCTTGAAAAGCCCCGTGGTTCCTTCCTGCAGGTGTCAGCAAGAGGATGCCCAGGGCCCTTTGTGTCTGTGCCAGGCCTGAATCCCAGCTTCTTTCTAGCTGAGTGACCTTAGGCAAAACTCAGCCACCTCGCAGAGACTCCTGGAAGGCACTGGCATGTGTTCGGTGATTTATAGCTTCAGGTGGCCCTTCCCGAATGGAGCATGGTCTGCGCGTGCCAGGGGCGGGAGGAGCCCTGGCTGGGCATGGCTGAGCTCACATGGAGCCTGCGATGACTTTTTCTTCCTTTGTGCTCCCCTGCACCTCCCCTCACGAAGCAGTGGGGTTCCTGCAGCCTGGGCCAAAACCAGGGCAGTGAATGGAACCCTGGCCCGGAAACCTGGATGTTCAGGTTCAAGTCCCAGCCCTTTGATAACAAGTGACCCCAGGCAGGTCTCTTCCCCTCTTGGGGCCTCAATTCCCCATCTGAAGCAGAGGTCTTGACCCCTGATCTCTGAAGGTCCTCAGCAATCTGACGCTGTGGTTCTGGAAGGGACAGGGTCATTCTGTGTCTCCTTTTCCCTCCATGCCTCTCCTGGCCTCCAGCCTGCTCCCCTCCTGTCTCAGTCTGGACTCTCTTGGTTGTAAGTGACAGAAACAGCAGCAACTGGCTTAAGTGGCTGCCCACCATACCTGGTCACATACACACGTACCTCTTCCTCCTGCCTGCCCAGGAACCCACAGCTTCCTGTGTCCCATATCTGATGCAAATCTCTCTCTCTCTTAGAGCATAGCATTCTCATGGAGAGCTTCAGACGCTGTGACTAGGGGTACAAACTAGAGCTCCCTTTAGTGGCTGGGAAAAGCGGTATGGCAAGGGGGGGAGGGGCATTCCTCCGGGGCCTAGAAGTCATGCCAGGGTAGGCTGGCCCACCAAGGACAAATTTTCTAGGGAGCTCATCGTCCTGACAGCTTCGTCTAACTCCCACCGTGTGGCTGGCTCTGTGCTCGGCCCACAGGGCGACAGTGGGAGCGGGCCCTGCTCCCGGGAGTGGAGCCTGTGCTCGTGAACCACGGTGGCAGTGGTGTGGTGTCGTGGATAAGAGCATCACAGTCAGACCGGCTAGAGTCCTGCCTCTGCCCCTCATCAGCAGCAAGGCTCAGGGCAGGTGGCTGGACCCCTCCAAGCCTCATTTTCCTCATCTGTGGAGTGGAGACAGTGATGCTTTCTTCCAGCCTTAGGGTGAGGGCACAGTGGAACACCTGTGTGGAGTGTTTGGCCCTTTGTGGCCACTCAGGAAAGCAGAGCACTGGGAGGTCAGAGGCAGGAGGGAGCCAGCCTAGCTCTGCCACCTGAATGTCAGGGCTCTCTCCACCCGCACCCCTGACACCCCGTTCACAAGACCTTTCCATCCACCAGCTGGTCTGAGCCTCATGCCATCTCTATGAGGTGGGCAGGGCAGGCCTGAGTAGTCCCTTTGGGCTGGCCCTTGAGAAGTCCAGGGGCTGCCCAACGCCAGACGGTTAGTGATGAAAGTGGCCTGGGGGCTGGCCAGGTGGGCCCGGTGGGGGATGGCCAGTAGGGCCAGGACAGCCCTGGGCTCTGAACCTCACAGGCCTCCAGCTCCAGCCACCGAAGCCTGGTGCTCTGGCTCCAAGCCACTCTTTGCTGGCCAGGAAGCTGTGAACAATGGCCGGGACTGGTGCTGGCACAGGGTCTGGCCAGGGGAGCAGGAAAGCTCTTCACCAGCAGGCAGAGGGGCCGGCCAGCCCTCTGGCCTGCTCTCAACTCCCTGAGGGATTGAAGCCCTTATGCTCTGTCTTCCCATCTGTGCAGAGGTAGCTCCATAAAGAGCTAGGCCTCCCCAGGCGCCATCGTGGAGTGCCTTCTCTCCCTCCTTCATCCTGACCACCCTCCTGCGCCCCCACCTCACTCCCTCCTCCAGAGCAGGCCTCAGACAGGACCCTGGGCTGCTCAGGCCTTGGACGTCTGCCCAGGGCCTGCAGCCCAGGCCAGGCTGGCCTCTGATAAGCTCCCCATCCCATCCTCAAGTGATGGTTTCTTTGTTCCTTGAAGGTCATGCCTCCGGGAAAAGCCTTGGCCGCTATTGATTTTCGCAAATCTACAAAGATTCCAACAGCATTCCTAGTGCTCTTCAGGGCCCTGAAGGAGGTCAAGGGGAGGGGCGGGGGTGGGAGAGGGCCAGAGAAGAGGGACCCTCTTCACTGTGTGTGTGTATGTCCGTCCCCACCCGGGTCTACAGGCCTGCCTTTGTCCATCCACAGGCATTACTGGGCACCTGCAGGCTGCCGGGCACTGAGCCTGTGAAGCAAGAACTTCAGATGAGTTTTGAGGTTTCCATGTATCAAAAGGTAGGGTCAAAAATGTCAAAGCTGCTGATACGTAGTCCAACATATTACATGCGAGGGTCCTCCCAGACCCTCTCGCCACCCTCCGTCAGCCAGGACCCTTGGCCCCTCCCTGATCCTCCCCCACTGCCAGCCGCAGGTCCTGGGTGAGGATGCCCATTTTGTGTGTTACTTTGTAACAAACACAGCTGTTATCGTAGAAGGTGTCTCATTTAGTCCAGATCTGTGTGTTGGTTCCGGGAAGCCCCAGGCCCATCCCTGAGCCCAGGTCCACTTAGATAAGAGCAAGGGCAGTGTTTCCCCAGAGCCCACTGCGGGCCAGAGGCTATGCATTAGTCCCCGGAAACAGCTAGGTCCCCGTCCTCATAACCCTGGGGAAGAGTAGGGGGAGAAGGGGGGACTTGAGAGAAGCCTGTCTGGAAGAGAGGGGAGGATCTGGGCAGGAAGAGATGAGGACAGCATTTCAGGGGGAAGGAAAGCTTTGAACAAGTTAGGAGGCAGACAAGAGCCTGGGGGGTTGGAACAGCAAGGAAGCTGGTGGAGGGGTTTGTGTTGGGGTAGTGCCTTGAGGCCCAGGGCCAGGGTGGTGAATTGGGGTCAGGCCAGGAAGGCTGGCTGTCCCCAAGGCAGGGGCCACAGGGAGGGTTTCTAATGCGATCTGTTTATGATGAGCAAAGAGCCCCCCTCCAGGGCTGAGGGGACTTCAAGGACAGGAGACAGTGCAGGGGGGACTGGGCGGGGGGGGGGGGGGTGCTCCTTTGCATCTCTTGGCTGGTTGGTGAGATTTTTCAACCTGCAGACTCTGCCACCACCAGCAACTCCAGGAGAGCTTTCTGGTGGAACATCTTCCCCTCCCTCTAAGCTCTGGTCGAATGTCCTCACCCCAGGAAGCCCCCCTGATTTCCTCCCCACTCTTGGCTTGTGTCTTTCTCATAGCGGGAAAGTGTGGTAGCCACAGGCTTGGGGGTCAGGCAGGCTGGCTTCAATTCCCAGCTCTGCCAATCCCCAGCGGTGTGACCTTGGGCCAGTCACTTAGCCTCCCTGAGTCCATCTCATCATCTGTAAAATGGGTCTCACGGGGCCTGCAAAGTACTTAACACATTGCCATGCACTTAGAAAGTGTATGCTAAATCAGGCTTGTGAATGCTCATCTACTCTGCATTGCCTTTATTCCTGGGCATGATTTTTTTTTTTTGGTGAGGAAGAGTGGCCCTGAGCTAACAACTGTGCTAATCTTCCTCTATTTTATATGTGGGTCACTGCCACAGCATGGCTTGATGAGCAGTGTGTAGGTCCGCACCTGGGATCTGAACTTGTGAACCCCAGGCACCCAAAGCAGAGCGTGTGAACTTAACCACTATGCCACTGGGCTGGCCCAATGGGCATGAAGTTTTTATATCTGTGAAGTCCGGATTCAATGCACAACTGGTGGACAAGAACCTAACCAGATTGCTGGTGTGGGTTACCGTTCATGGCATCTTGAACTCGAGGAATATGGCCTTGGTGTGCCACATTCTCACCTTCTGCTTTCAGGTTTGAGTCAGCTGGGCCTGCCTCTCTCCCACTGGGCTGGAAACGCCTCAAATGCAGGGATGGCATCTGGTCTGTGTCCCTCCAGCATCCAGCACTCAGCGTGAGGCCTGGTGAGGCCTCAAGTGTCGGCTGGGCCACATTCCCGGAGCGGCTTGCCCAACTATTCAGTGTCAGGGAAGCAGGGCCAGCAAAACCTCCCAGGCACTTGATTCCCTCTGGCGTGCTTCAGCGTGCTCCCTGGCCGTCCCCCGTCTCACATAGGCCAGGACTCCAGCATCCCTGCTGTGAGCCTTGGGCGAATCCATCTCTTCTCTGAGCTGTCATGTTGGAGGGGCTACTTAGGGCTGTAGAATGTGGCTCTGACACTCCAGGGGGCCCTGCCAGTGGCTTCCCAATTCAAGCCAGGCGGACTGCCCCTTGGGCTTGGACGAAAGGGCTTCTTCCTGCACGGACTGGCAGGGGGCTGGGTACCTCCTCAACAGGCCCCCAGGAGGCAGAGCTCTGGGGACTGCTTACCACTTCCTGTCTGCTCCTCCCCGTGCTCCTTCGTCCTGCCGCCTTGTCAGCAGAGCCCCATACCTGGGGACGGAGGAATGGACACCACGGTCCCTGACCTCAGTTTAAGGATAGTGATTGTTACCTCCACCCCCAAAAGAAATTAAAATCAGCCTCGAGTCTGTAAGGCAGGCTCTGATTGCACGTCAGACAGCACCACAGTTCATCTCCTTGTTTATTACCCACAGTGGAACGAAAGACCCCCGTTCTGGGAAATAATTTATTCTACAAATATTGAGCACAAACTATATTCAAACACTCTGTCAAGTGCTGGGACTTGCTTTGAGTCCTGTTTCTGGGTTTGGCTGAAGGCTAATGACTTCCCTGACCTGGGCCTCAGTTTTCCCATCTGTGAAATAGGGTAGCATCGGTTCTGCTCACTTTCCAGGGGGCTTATGGGGGGTGAGGCCTGGAGGAGACATTGGGTCACATGATCATGTGTTCTGAACAGTATAACACAGGGTCCACAAGTGAGGGGCTGGTACTATTCTTTAAATTCCGTCCACCTGAGGCCTGGCTTGCATGCACTGGGTGCTCAGTAACTATCAGGGGAAGGGAATGGAGAGGGTGTAAGTTTCCTAACCTTTGTGGGCACTGAGTGGACACACAATTTTGTACATAATTTCAGAAGGTTCATGGATGCCTGAGGCCGCAGATCCTGGCACCGAAAGTCCTGTTCAAACAGTTTTTGAGCTTGGTGGCTATTTACCCTGATCGGGGTCTGTCCTTGCGGGGGTTGGGGGTGGGGCATCTGGAAGGTCAGGGGGCTAAGCGCTGATGCTGGCTGCTCTAGCCCCTAACCATGGAGACACTCTGCTCCTTCGAGTGCGGTTGTTCTGGACCTGGTCCAGGAGAGCCCGTGGCTGTCCCCAGGACATCATCCCTTCCTTGCTGTAGGTCGGTGGGCAGAGAAGGGCTAGTCCTGAAGCCATGCGGATAGAGCAGACAACTCTTTGCTTACATGCTATGTTCACTGGCTGTGCCTTGGGGAACAGGAAATTTTCTTCTCTGAGTGGCCTCAGGCACCTCATCTTCCTTCTACCCACTGCTGCTTCACGGGGAACAGAGGCCATAGGCCTGGCCGGAGCCCGCCTCACTTCTTCAGGGGGACCCCGGGCCCAGGCAAGCCCCCAGAGTACACTGGTACCACGAGGGCTATGAGAGAGGTGTCAAAAAATCCCTTTCAACCGCCCTCTTTTCTCTCTTTTTTTTTGAGGAAGATCAGCCCTGAGCTAACATCTGCCGCCAATCCTCCTCTTTTTGCTGGGAAAGACTGGCCCTGAGCTAACTTCCGTGCCCATCTTCCTCCACTTTATATGTGGGACACCTACTACAGCATGGCTTGCCAAGTGGTGCCATGTCTGCACCCGGGATCCTAACTGGTGAAGCCCGGGCCGCCCAGGCGGAACCTGCACACTTAACCGCTGTGCCACCGGGCTGGCTCCCTGCCCTCTTTTCTCTTGAGGGCTCAAGTTCAGAGTCTGAGGTGGAGGGGGCTTGGATGTGGGGCTGCATGCGGGGACCCGGGGGGCACAAGGAGAACCCGATTCCCAGGCCCGCCTCTGCACTTCACCCCGGCTGGGCCCTGGGGCTCAGACCCTGACTCTCTACCTGGGGTCACCAGACATCTTTCTCCAGCCCCACACCAGACCTCCAGGAGCTGGCGGGGGACAGGCCAGAATAAGACACTGTCATCCAGAGGGCCTGGCTCTGTCCCAGCCCCTGCCTCCCCCCGCCCCCCCCAACACACACAGAGGCCTGGTGCCTCCCTGGGGGAGCATTAGGTTTATTTCCAGTGAGGCTGAACTCTGAGGGAGAGGGGTAGTGCCACTGTACACTCTCTGTCCTGCTGGGGACCTGAGGCGGCACAGTCTGGCAGCCGGGGGGGTCGGCCTGCTTTTCAGAGATTAACGCCAGGGGGTCAGGTAGTTGACACGACTGTGGAGAGAAACAAGGGTGAGGTGGGGGCCTCCAGGGGGTCCTGGGGAAAAGTCAGGCTGTCCTTCTCTAGGCCTTCCCCCAAAACCCAACTTCCTGCCCTCAAGGTGCTGAAAACACAGCTTGCATCCTGTCTCACTACAGCTCAAGAGCCTTCAATGGCTCCCTATTTCCTTTTATATATTTTCGGTTGCTCTGCTTGACTTGCAAGCCCCCCTCCAGTTTGCCTGATCTTTATCTCCAACTCATCCCCAACCATGCACTGCTTTACTCTTTTTTCACTCATTTACTGAGCCTACTCTGACAGGCACTATAAAGAGATAAAAAAGCAGACAGCGTTCCCCTGTGTGTGAGAAGGCAAGCTTTCCATCAATGATTATAATGCAGTAGTCTGGCTGCTGTGAGATAGGGATGCACACGTGGTGACCAGCTGGAGGGGGTTTGAGCTCCGGGGGAGAGGCAGAGGGTCAGAGAAGGCTTCAGGGAGGATGGGACATCTGAGCTGGGCTTCAAAGAGTGAAGAGGAGTTTTCCAGGCAGATAAGGAAGGATCACCAAGTGCTGAAACAGCACAAGCAAAGGTGTGGAGTGCTGGGTTGTCCTGGTGGTTTGGGTCACACCTAGGAATCTGGTACTGCTGAAGTGGAGGGAATGGGCTGGAGGGGTGGGAGATGGCCCAATTATGAAGATGCCTGAATATTTTGCACACTCCAGCTGGGAGCACTAGCCCAGCCCTTCCCACCTATCCACATCCTGGAAGGCAGATTCTTGGCTCCTTCCATCATACTTCCTACAAGTCAGTTTACTCTTTCGACTCCTGCTCACCTCCCTGGTAACCCCCATTCCTTTTGTCCTGCTCTGGGCCGAATGGGGTGGGACACGGACTGCACTCCCCCCACCTCCCAGTGGGGTGCGCTTTTGCCTGGCGCGGATCTCTCGGGAGGGAAGCAGTTCGTACCCCCCGGACATCACCCAGGAGGGTACCAATCCCCTAGCGTACTCCACGCGAGTGGCGTGGGGTCTGAGAACTGCCTGAGCCCTGAGGTCCAACGGGGGCGTGGCCAGGTGAGGGGTGGGGGCGGGGTCATCGCCCTACCTGTAGTGTGAGCCGAAGCGTCGGAAAGCGTTCCTGCGAAAGACCGAGGACGGTGAGCCCGAGGTGGGGAAGGGCGACCCACTCCGGGAATCTCACTCCCACGTCGGGAGACGCCGCCCCCCCGAAGGATTACACGGCACCTTCGCCCCACCTTTAACGCCTCCACTCCGAAAGCGTGGAGTTGCCAGGGACTGGGTGAGAGGGTGCTCCGTTTAGTAGGAATTAAACATTAACTCATTTTGAAATTGCAATTTTCTTGTGGTGTATTGGAGCCAATCAATTCTTCCCAGGTCTTACATTTTCAAGGGCCACTAGGTGTGCGCTTGAAAGCGGCCAAGACTCCACCCTTCCTCCTCCAGGTATGGGGTCCCGGGGCCCGTGGCGTCACTTACAGGGAGTCGAAAGGCAGGGGCTTCTGTCCGTAGCGGTCCAGGCTGGGGTTCTGGTTGAGGCAGTACTGGGGCAGGCCAAAGGGATTAGGGGTCTGTGAGCCCGCAGCGGGATAGAGACCCCTCGCCCATGCCCCACACTGCGCTCTCTATGGGAGATCATGGCCCAGGGAAGTCGGAGACCCTGCTCTCCGTCTCCTCTTCCCCTCCCCGGCCCCCGCCCCGTGTTAGCCTCTCCTCCCCCCAGACTCCCTACCCCCGAGCCCCCAGGGAAGGGTCAGCTCGCAGCCCTCCCTACCCGCCAGTTCTGGGTCACCTCCGGCTTCAAGTACCGCACCGCGTAGCCACTGAAACTCTCGACTGCGGAGAGAGCGCTCACCTCGGGCACCCAGCCCGCCCCGAACAAACCCCGCCCCCGCCCCCCCTCAGAGCCCCGCCCGCCCGCCCCAGAGCCCGCCCCGCCCCGCCCAGAGCCCCGCCCCTAGAGCCAGCCCCGAACAATCCTCGCTCCCGCTGTCATCGGAGCCCCGCCTCGAGATCAAGCCCCGAACAAGCCCCGCCCCACACCAGCTTCTAGAACCAGCCCCGCCTCTGCTGTTCCGGGCAAGAGCAAACCCCCCTCCAGACCCTGCTCCGGCGGTCCCAGAACCAGCCGTGCCCTCAACCCCTGGCCTGGATCTGACCCCCGCCCCCTCCCCAAGACGAACCCCGCCTCTACGTCCCTCAGCTGTCTCGGTGCCGCCCATTCTAAGTGCCCCAGCTGCTCTCCAGGTTCTCTGCCCTGTCTTTGCCGGAGCCCACCCCGACTCCCCCCGCCCGAAGTCAGCGCTCCGGGTCTCGGCTCCAGGGACCGAGCGCCCCGGCCAGCTCTCCGCCCTAGGGCATCCCCCGCGCCCAGTAGACTGACCCCTCTTGCTCGAGCAGGGCAGCTTGAACTCGCCGGCCGAGGATACGAAGTGGGACCAGTCCTCGATGGCGCGCGTGAAGCAGGGCCAGTCGACCCGGTTGATGCCAGGCACGATAGGCACCAGCTTTCCCTCGCGGCACCTGTCGCGGAGCCGCCGACCGGTCGCCGTGATGTCCTGCCAGGGCGATGAGAGTCAGGGTCGCGGGGGGAGGTGTAGAAGCCTGGGGCGCGGACCCCCCCCCCCCAACACACACCACCACCAGGCTGGACCTGACACTTGGGCCCATCGGACCCAGAGGGCCCCTGAAACCCCTGAAGTAGATGGGAAGAGGGCGGGGTCCCCAGGCGGCAGCTGAGGAAGCCCATGGAGTAGAACCCTGGACCCGAGATGCTGGGGGCTGGATGCAGGTGTGCCCTTCCCCCTCTCCCGAGGAAACCCAGGCCAGGGGCCAAGGATGCTTACTAGGCTCTGCAGGGGTTTGTTGGGGACTCCGAGGAGCGTGAAGGAGGCATTGTCAAAGTCATCTGAAGAAGAAAGAGAGGGAGAAGCCTGTCTGTCCACCAGCAGTCACGGATCCACGCAGGAGAGGTTTGGCCCACAGTGCTTTAAAAGGTTTCAAAAATATCTGATGACTTTTAAAAATTTGAGAGACAGTTTTACTTAACACGCCCCTTACAACAGATAAACTCAAAATAGATCAAAGATTTCAATGTAAAAAAAGTGAAACCACAGAAGCACTAGAAGAAAACGTGGGTCAATTCCTTCATAACCCTAGAGTGGGGAAGGCCTTACCAACTCAATTTCAGAATCAAGTAGCCTGAAAGATTGATAACTGGCTACATAAAAATAAACTTTGGCATGGCAAAAACAATGTGAGAAGTCAAAAGACAAATGGCAAAAAATATTTCCACTTATTTTACAGATGAGGTGTAATTTCCCTAATAATGAAAGAGCTTCTAGAAATCAAGACCAAAAAAAAAAAAGAAAAATGGGTAAACGATACACGTACATAAGTAGTTCACACACAAACACAAGAAATACAAACAGCCCCTAAACACGTGAAAAGCCGCTCAAACTCCTTCGTAAGATGAATCTGTCATCATACCACATTGATACCAATTTTTGCCTATCAGATTGGGAACAGTCCAAAAGTTAGTGCACTTGTAGGAAACAGGGCCCTTGCTATACGTTGCCAGAAGAAGTATGAATTGATTCAAGCCTCTGGAAAGCAATTGGCACTATCTGTCAGAATTATAAATACACAGACCTTTTGACCCCACAGTCCTAATTAGGAATTTATCCCACTTTATAGCTGCATAGATGGGAAATGATGTGGGTCGGTTTACCCACTTCAGTGTTGTTTGTAATAGAAAATGATTGGAAACAACTCAAGTGTCTGTCATTAAAGGACTGGTTAAAACTGTGACACACCCTCACGATACAGCTATTCAAAATAAATAGACGAAGTTCCCTGTATGAGACCTTCAACATGCAGAAGAGCGTATACCGCATGCTACTTTTTGCTTTAAAGCCTAAAATTGAGATGATTGGAGGCAGAGAAGAATATGCGTTCAGGTCACCACCTTAACCAAGTCATCAAACTTAGCATCATGGATAGTGGGGTGACATTCTGTGCCTCCTGCTGAAGTGTTATGGCAAACACAGCACCTGTCACCTGTGAAAGATTCTGGCCAGAAATGTTTTACCCGGCTGATGGAGCCTCTAAGCCCAGCTTCTAGTTTACAGGAAGTAGACGATCAAGGTAGTCAACACCATAAGAAAACAATTGCCCAAGTTTACAATGTAGGACTGTCTACAACATAACGCTTTTGGATTCTTTAAAAAGTCAGGATTACGAGGAAAAAACAGGAAGTTGGTGGACTGTTTTGGGTGAAGGCTAAAGAAACCTAACAACCAATTGCAATGCACAATCCTAGATTGAATCGTGGTTCCAAGATTTTTTTTTTAAAGCTATAAAAGCCTTCTTTGGGGGTAAATGGGGACATTTTAATATGGACTATTAGATGTTTTGTTATTATTGTTAACCTTCCAGGATGTGAAAATGATATTGTGTCCCGTAGGAGGTTGTTCTTATCCTGGGGGCTGCTTGCTAAGGGGTGTGTGTGTGTGTGTGTGTGTGTGAGAAAGAGAGAGAGAGGACACAAATATGGTCCACCGTTCATTCAAACAGGCAGAAGGTAATGGGTGTTCACAGTATTTCTTCGACTTTTCTCTGTGTTTGAATATGCTCATGATAAAAAGCTGAGATGCGAAAGAATAAATGTTAGTCTTCGTGTTAGTAAACCGTGGTAAGATACATCAGAAACGGAGCGGCTCCCTGTAAGGAGGGGAGGGGAGACTTGTTAAAATGGACCTTGTTACAGAATTTTGAATTTTGAACTTGTGACTCTATTACTTTCACTAAAAGCATATACTTGCAATAAAATACATATCTAAATCAAGAGCCTTCCCTAAAAATCCAGATTCCTGGCTTCTCTTGGAAGCCCAGAGAGCTGCGCTGACCCTCCCCACACAGCACAGTCTGTGGGGCCCCAGTACCTGCTCCCCTTTAGAGGGGGTGTGGGAGCTTCACTGCTCCTTTCCTCCCTCCCTCCCCACCCTCTTCCCAAATTTGTGTTTCCGCATCTCGGCCCTGCAGGTATCTGTGTGGGACCTCTGTAGATCTCCATGCAGCCTCTCAAGGCTTACCCCACCTGTCACCCACGCTGGAACCTGGTATCTTCCTGAACACTGCCCTCGCCCAACGCTGGTACCAAATCTTGTTGCTCTATCTTCTCAATACCTTCCCAAACCCTTCTGTGTGGCCAAGACACTGTCATCCCTTCCTGAAGACTGTGGTTCCTCCGAGCATCCTAACCCCGGATGCCCCCCGCCTCCCACCAGATCTCTTTTCTGCTTAAAGTCTTCAGAGGTCCCTCTTTCCCTCCCAGGAAAGTCCAGGCCCCTGAGCTTAGTCGCAGGGCCCTTCCTGAGCTGCGCCTTTGTCCTCAGCCACAGCTTCTGCTGCCCCCACGAGAACCTTTTCCTCTGGCCCAGCCAAACCTCTCAAGGGCACCCAGCACCTCGTGTAGTTTTTCCCTTCCAGGCCTCTGCACATGCTGTTCCCTCTAGCCGGAATGCCCTTTGTTTCCCTGCGGACCCAGCATGGTGTCAGGCACCAAGCAGGTGCTTAATAGGTGGGCTGAAAGGAACGTGTAGGTCTGTGTGGCACCCCTACCTCCCCACTCAAGCTTCTCAGTGGACGAAGGGTCATTCCCGGGCCCACGTGGCCCTTTCACCCCAGAGGCTCACATGTCCCCCTGTCATTCGTGGGAGGGCTCAGGAGGGTCTTTCTCTTCCTTTTCCACTGGAGACGTGATTGGGCAGGAGTTGTTATTATTGCTATTACTGTCACTCCTCCTACTGCAACTGCTGACCTCTGCACAGTTCTCTCTCCATTAATAATAATAACAACAACACTATAGTTGAGCATATATTAAGAGCCAGGGACTACGATGGGTGCTTCTCACGCCCTGTCTGTTTTAATCTCATAGTTGCCTTGTGCGCAAGTCGGTTATCATCCCATTTTACTGGTAAGGAAACAGAGGCTCAGACCTGGCGAGGTTTCCCGGGCAGAGCTGGGACCCGCCCTTTAGCCCTTTCCTCGGCCACTCGTGGCCTTTCCCTCCATGGTCTCTCTCTCGAAACCATCCACTCCTTCCCCAAAGGCCCGGAGGGGCCCCTGCCGGCGCAGCCCATGCCCAACCTTTGCCACAGTAGGTGGTGGACTGGCAGTGCTCGTCGGGGAGGCAGGCAGTGACGGAGTCCATGTCCATGCGGCGCAGGCTGGGCAGGGCCGGGTGGTAGAGTTGCTGCTTCACTCCGGCCAGCTGGTTTCGCCGCCTCTCGATCGGGAGCAGGATGGCTGGGGACGCGTACACGTGGGTGGAGCCGTCCTCCCAGGGCACCAGGTCAATGATGCGGGCCATGGCTGCGGAGCAGAGGGCATGAAGGGCTCACCGGGGCTCAGGCCGGTTGGACACCCCTCTTGGCCACTGCTGATTTTCTGCTCGTGCAACACCTACTGTGTGCCATGAGCAGGCGGTGTCGGGGACATTCAGAGACACACACACACACACATACATGCATGATGTGTGAAGGGCTCTGACAGAGGTCGGGACAGGGCGTGGGTGTCTGGGGAGGCTGGGGTTGGGGCATTCAAAAGTCCATTTGTGTCTATTCTTAAACAACGAGCAGGAAGCAGCAGTGGCAGGTGCATCCAGAGTCCAGCTCAGAATGCCTCTAGGTAACTAATTACGGACTTTCAGCCCTAGTGAAGGTATCTGGCATTTACTCAAAATCCTACAGGGAGACAGAGAAAAGTTCTAAATAAGGGGAGAGACGCAATAGATATGAACTAGAAAAATATTGCTGGCTACCCAGGACCTCCCTTTCAAAAGTGGATATTCCCAGACCCTTTCAGTCATTTACACTTGAGTGAGAATTTGTTGACTCAGCTTGCTTTCTTCCTGACACCAGCTAGAGGTGAGAGATGGAGGAGGGAGGGAGGTGGGCAGGAGGAGAGAGGACCTGGGCCCATGGAGGAGCGGGGAGAGGACATAGTGACAGGCAGGAGAAGCTGCCTCAGGGGACACGCCTGCACGGGAGAGCGGGGAAGTGGAGCAGTGAGAGGAGGGAAGAGAGGACTCCTTGCTTGTGACCCACCTGCAGTGACAACCTCATCCGCAGGCACAGGCCCCAGGTGCACAGGCGTGTAAGGATCTTCTCCTCTTCCGACCGCTCAGTGGGAGAAGCCGCAGGCAATGGGCTGGGCCCCAGGGCCTTATGAGACAGTAGGAAAATAAAGGAACATTCTGCAGAGACAACGCCCATTGCAGCCTGATTGTGAGGGCACCCACTCCCCGGTGACCCTGGCAACCATGGGCTCTGAGGAGAAGAGCCTGCCCTCAGGGGTCCTGTGCACTGGACCCTGGTTCCTGGAGGTTGCTGTCTCCTGGGCCTCAGCACAGGCCGTGCGTGTTGGGAAATGTCAGACAGGGAGCTGGGGCTCCCTGGGGGTAGCCATGCCAGGGCTGGCCAGGGCTTGCCAGGGCAGGCTGTGTGACCCTGGACTAGTTACTGTCTCTCTCTGGGCCTCAAAGCTCTTATCTGTGTTAGGCAAGGGGTCTAGGCCCTGCCATGGGGGGTGTCTGTAAGCTGGGAGGGCCCTCCCCTCCCTGTAAACGTCAGGGAAGGGGGCACTGCCCTGCCTGCCAGCCCTTGGGTCTTCAGTGGTGAAGATTAGCTGCGCCAGTGTCCAGGGTCAGCCTAAGGGGATCAGAGAGAGTGGTGGCCTCAGCAGGACAGGGATTAACAGGTGATACTCCACCCCCAGGCCTCTGTGGCCTGCAGCCTCCCTCCCTCCTTCCCAGAAAGGTGAGGTCATGAGGACCTAAGGCCCAGCACCCCCAAGTCTGGTGCCTGCCCACCACCCTGGTCACAGCTGTTGGAGATGGACCCCTAGGCAAGAAAACCCTGGGAGACATTAACTGATTTGCATATATTAGCATGTGCTTTGCATATCCCCGCCCAGGTGCTGAGCCTGAGGGTCCTGGGCCCCCTCTATGGGATTCGTGTAGGATTTGGCTCCCCGGGTGCTTCTCTTCAGTGCTCCCTCCCATCCCCAAAGCAGCATCCCCACGTCCTGCCCCTTACGGAAAACTTGCCCAGAGTTGACTCCATCCACCACCTCACCCTCAATTCATTTTTAAATTCTTTTAAAGTTATAAAGTAGAACAAAATACAGAAAGTGCACAAATACATCATGTAACTAATAATTTATCAAATGAGACCCCACATAACTACCTCTCAGAGAAAAACATGGGGTTCTACTTTGGAAAGAGTTTAGCAGTTTCTTAAAACGTGAAACATAAATTTAGCGTATGGCCCAGCAATTCCACCCTTCGCCATCTTCCCAAGAGAAATGAAAATAGATGTCAGCACAAAGACTGGCACGCAAACGTTCATAGCAGCATTGCTTATAATAGCCAAAAAGTGGAAACAGCCCAGGCAGCCGGGGACTAGTGATAGATAAACAGACTGCGGTGTGTCTGTGCCATGGAATACTCGTGGGAATTAAAAAGAAATGAAGTACTGATCCACGCTGCCATGTGGATGATCCTGAAAAACATTGTGCTAACTGAAAGAAATCAGACACAACAACACTCCACATATTGTATGATCCGTTTTTACAAAATGTCCAGAAAAAGCAAATCTTTAGAAACAAAGCAGACTAGTGGTTGCCTGGGGCTGGGGTCGGGGGAGTGGGGGTGATTTTAACGGGGAGGGAGGGATCTTGTTGGGGTGATGGAAATGTTCTCAAACCAGATGGTGCGAGTTGCATAGCTCAATTTACTAAAAATCATTGGGTTGTACACTTAAAAGAGGTGAATTTTAGGGCATATAAATTATACCCCTATAAAGCTGTTTTAAAAAATCGATGCCAGCTACAGACAGCAGGAAATAGGGCCCTGCCAGCCCCTAGAAGCCTCCACTACCCGTTCCCAGTCCCCAATCCCAACCCCCTGCAAGAGGGAACCGCCCTCCTGCCGCATAGCATAACCACTGCTTTCCTCATAGTTTTCCTCCGATGTTTGCAGCCATAGACAAGGCAGGCTGATTTTGCCCTTTTTGAACTTCGTGTACACGGATCATTGGCGTCTTTCCAGTCTGGCTTCCCTCCACGTACGTGCACGTGAGAGTCATCCAAACTGCTGTGTGCCTGACGTTTGTTCATTTTCCTCACCCCAGAGCTCATTACTCTTCACCCAAGCCCAGCTGACTTTGCCCATGCTGCAGGGGCTCCACTGCCCCCTGGTTGCCCAACCCAGTGGGTGCAGGTCAAGCCTCAGCTCACACAGGGGTCCTGCTCATTCCTCCCCATCAACATGCTCACTCCTCTTGGGGAGCAGCACCCCTTTCCCTGGTTCTCCCCTTCCCTCACTAACAGCTCCTTCAGTCTCATTCACCAGCTCCTCCTCCTTTTCCCAACAGTGAACTGTGCTGGAGGGTTCCAGGCGCCGTCTTTGGTCCACTTCCCTTCTTTAGTTACGCTGGAGTCCCCAGGTAATTTCAACCAGCCTTGTGACTTTGAGCATCCTCTACAAGCTGAGCTGATGCCTCCAAAGTTTCTGTTCCACCTCTCCCCAGGCTCCAGACACACACACACACACTCATACGCACACACCCCTCGCCACCTACAGCACATTTGCACCTGGCTGTCTCTCAGACATCTTAACAAAGTAGAGTTCATGATTTTACCCCCAAAACTCTTCCTCCCACCCCGAGCCCCAGGCTTCCTCTTTTCAGTAAATGGCACCCCCTGCCACCCAGTGGACCAAGCTAAGCACCCTCAACACCTCCCTTTTCCTTTCCCTCCCCTTTCTCTCTTTCTCTACTGCCACCCGCCTAGTCCAAGCCCCATGATCTCTGCACTGGCCTCCATCAAGCCAGAGGCAAGGGGGAATATGACCGACGACACAGGCCACCACTGCAGAAGAGCTCACTTCTCCCACTGCAGGGGCCTGGCTGGAGGTGCCAGAGAGGAGCCCTGACCCCCTGCAGCCCAGCATATTTCAGAGGGAGGCAGGGGCCACCTTGAGCTTTCCCGTTGGGGTTGGGCCTTGTTGGCGGTAGGAACATTCTTCCACACCAGGTGCAGTCAGGGGTTGCATATCAGAGGTCAGGCATAGGAAGGAGAACCCAGGGGTCATCCGGTCACAAATTGCTTTGTCCGTCTGCACCCTCCTGACCAGTTTCCTGCCTCCACAGCGGCCCACTACACAACAGCCACACAGATCACATCCGGCCCCTGTTCAAAACCATCATGGCTTCCATGGTCCATCAACTAGAATGCAAATTCCTTACCATGACCTACGGGCCCACAGATCTGGCTCCTCCCACCTCTGGACCTCATCTCCCACTGCTCTCCCCCACACCCATGAAACCCCTGGCTCCAGTGCCCTCTCTGTTCCTCAAGGGCATCAAACTTGTTCCAGCCTCAGGGCCTTTACCCTGACAGCATCCTCTGCCTGGAACACTGGTCACTCAGATCTTGCTTTTCAAGTCTCAGCTTGAATATCTACCTCATATGGAGGCCGGCCTACCCCCCCTCCCCACCACTACACGCTCGTCTCTGCCCTGTTCGTTTCTTTCATGGCACCTACCATAATTTGCAATCGTTCTTTATTCATCGTTAATCTTTTTTATTTCTGCCTCCTCTATCGGCATGTGAGATCCGTGATGGCAGGTCCTATGCCTGGCTTGCTCAGTGTGCCCAGATTGGCATGCTGCCGGGCACAGAGGGAGAGCTCGAGAAGTGTGGTAGTGATCAAGTCAAGTCCCTGCCCCTTTGCTGACCAGTCCACTACTCCACTCCCTACCCAGGTCCCATCACCTCGCCGAGCCCCTCTTTGCTGGGCCTTTGTCCCTCATCCCTGACATCTCTGTCTCCCCTCCAGGGTCTGACCTCAGTTCAGGGGGCTGGCTCAGACACAGTCAACCGCCAGTTCTTGAATCCTCCCTAAAATGCCAGCCCTGGGACCATGGCCATTCTGGCAGAGTCCCAGGCCGCTGGGGCCCTGCCCAAGCTGCTGAAGACTCCAGGCCGGAGAGAATCTGTTTGGGTCCCGGCACTGGGGCTGGAGAGCTGGCACGTGCCTCCTGTTATTGCTGACTGAGAGCTGACAAGCCCCTGCCACCTCGAGGACTCTCCTAGAGTCACACCAGGACTCCAAGCTGTTTTCCTCCCACCAGCCACTCTGTGGGGAGCCGGGCCCCTGGTAACTGGGCAAGTCCCTGGGGGACCCATGGTGCCCCAAGTTTGGGCCACATGGGGCTCCTTCCCTGGAGCCCAGATCCCTGCTGGCCCCTGGGGGTTGCTCCTGGCTCCCTGAGCGTCAACCTCCTCTCGTCCACCGCCGCCTCCCCACCCCTGTTCCCCACTTGCTAATCCTTTGCACACGGCCCGGCCGCCGCCAATTAATCCCCTGTGTCTGAGAGGGCAGCTGCGAGTGGCAGGGGGAAGGCAACTCCTGGCTGGTGGTCAGCATCTGAGCAGGTAACTCAGGATGAGGTGGGGGCTTGGTGGGACCCCCGATCGGATCCCCATGCTCTCCTTCTAGCAAGATGTTTAGACAAGGAGGACCGGGCAAGGCTGGGAAAGCTGGGGCTTCCTCTCCCACTGTAGGGCTCAAATCTTAGTGTGCATCAGAATCTTCAGGGCAGCTTGTGCAATGCAGGTTCCAGGTCCCCTTGGGGGTTGGGAGGGGCCTAGGAATCCGTATTTTCACCAGCTTCCCAGACGATTCTGAAAAAGCTGGCAGTCCAAGCGCCACAATTGCCCTGGGCTGCCCCTTTCAGAGCCCCCTTCCCGCCTGAGCCTACCGCAACGTGGAGTCGGCAAGGACACGGCAAAAAGGGAGGAGGCACCTGTAAGCATTTCCATCCAGGAAAAAATGGCTGGGTCTAGGGGAAGAAGAAAAATTGGGCATGGGGAAGGCTTCCCTGGTCATTTCTAGAAGGTTCAGAAACACGGGCAGAATTGCTGCTGGCTGGGAAAGGGTTTGCAGGACTGGCCTGCAGAAGAAGCCGACCCCGGGCAAATGTCAGCACCACCAAGGGTCCATGTGGGACGTCTGGAGTCAGGCAGACCTGAGCATAAATTCGGCTTGGCCACTTACTGGCTGTGTCACTTTGGGCAAGTCTACTGACCTCTCTGTGCCTCCATTTCCTTAGCTGTATAGTGGTGATGAAAACTTATGCTGCTAGGGCCAGGTGGGAGGTGGTGAGAGCGAGGTTGAGTGTGGTTGATCATGGGTGGAGAGCACTGAGCTCAGATGGGGCTCGTGGGGCTGCCTGTGGCCGGCTGGGGTCGGTGGAAACTGCCATCCTAAACATGTGACCTTGGGCTCTCCTGACCTTGGTATTCACTCTGTCTATACCCGCACCCAACAGGGAAATGGAAGACCAGAGTGGTCATGTCTGGCCCAAGTTGACATTTTTGGAGGCTGAGCCAGGAATGTGATGCCCCACCCAGAGCTCTGCTTCTCACCACAGCCTCTCACAGGAAGGGCTGGGCTTCTGAGGCCAAAGCGGGGACAGAAGTCAGAGCTGTGAGTAGAAGGGCAGGCAGCGGGCCCGGGGCTGCGGGGAGCTGGGCAAGGGGCAGGATCCTGGGCCCCGTGCCTGCCCTTTTCAGCCTGGGGCCAGGGTCCTTGGCAGGGGAGGGACAGAGAAGCACTCACCAATGCCTTGGTTGCCTGTGGCTGGGGAGGGATGGGGGGCACACTGTGCTGGGCACTGCCTCCAAAGGGCCCCTCCAGGGCTGGGAGTTTGCACCATTCATCTGGGTGGTGCCTGCTGGGCAACGCTGTCCCACAGGGATTTCATCATAAGGGCAGGCTCTCCCCATCCCAGAAGAGGAATGATGCCAGAAACTGAACCCCTACACCGTAGGGCTGATATATCACAGTAAACCATGAAAAAGGGGTGTGACTGTCATTTTATCTTAATTTTTAAATCATAAAAATAAGTTAATTTTATCTCATGTTAAAACAGATTTTCCATTCACATGTTACTTAGGAGGTATTTTTAAAAATTTATAATGGGAGGATGCTGAAAAAGGTATCCCACAATAAGCATTTTTGCTTGACACCAAATAATAGTCACAGTCAACATTTATTGAGCTCTCAGGGTGTGCCAGTCGCTGTTCTCATCAGTTTGTTTTATCCTCGCACTCACCCGGCAAGGTAGGTACCATTAACATCCCCATTTAACAGAGGAGCCAATGGAGGCATGGAGAGTTTAACTGATGTGCTTGTGACTGGAGTCCAGAGCGTGCACCTCTTTCCATGTTAGTTCAAATAGATCTACTTGTTAAAAATGGCTCCATAATATTCCATTATTGGGAATATTGCAGTTTATTTATTAGATGCCCCTCTTACAGATGAGCCTTTAGGTACTTTCCAATAACCGGTCTCCTATTAGTGGTTATTTGGATCTTTGGCTATAACACTATTGTGACCAACCTTTTTATACACGTATGTTTGTGGACTCGAGTATTTCTATAAGGAATACCTGGAGGTATAAGCATCTTTTTAGATACAAAATATTTTTAAAGATGATGAGAGAAAGGGGAATATGTAACCCACAAATGTGGCCCCAAAATGGCGGCAGCAACTGTGAGCACTCTGGGGAGACCTAAGGACTCTGCCCCTTACAGGTGCCAGGATGTTGGGCTGGGTCCAGAAGGTGCTGCCTCAGCCTCCAGCGACCCCTCAGAAGACCAAGATGGAGCGGGAGGAGCGGGAAGAACCAGAGTCCGAGCTGGAGCTGGAGACGGGGCGAGAACCAGAGCGGGAGCCAGAAGCAGCCCCTGAGGAGGCCGAGCTAGGGGGCGAGTCCCTGGTGAGAGGCGGAGGGTGAAGGAGGGCATCCTGGCTGGCTGCTTGGGGAAGTCCCAGCTTGGGTTGGCTGCCCCCAGGGACCTTCCACAACAGAGAAAGCTGGAGCCGGAAGGAGACGTGGAGGTCACCCCGTTCTGTAAAAGGCTGGATAGTAAACATTTCAGGCTTTGTGAGTCAGGCCATCTCTGTTAATTACTCAACTCCGTCACTGTAACATGAAAATAGCCATGGACAACACGTAAACGAATGCGCATGGTTGTGTTCCTATAAGACTTTGTGAATCTGTGAGGTAACCAGGCATACTGCTCCATTTGGTTGGCGTTCGTTTTGCAGAAAGACTTTCTTGATGAAGGAGGTAGGATGTGATATACATTCTGGTGCACACTGCTTACTCATTGTGGGCCAGTGACAGTTTGCAGGCTCCCACGGGCTCATGGACCACACTCTGAGCAGCACTGCTCTAGAGCTTTCCTCTGAGCACATCGAAACCTGCCAGTTCTGCATCTCATTCATTCAGGAGGCTGATGACAGCTAACCCAGAAGCTGGATTCAACAGATTTGATTCAGCTTCTAAGGGATGCCGGGCCTGTGTGCAGCGCTGGGAGCACAGTGCTGAATAAGGCACCACCCCAGGGGGTCAGCAGGCGAGTCTCAGGCAGGTCATTCTCCCAGGAGACAGAGGTGATGAGGGAATGCGGTGAGCTCCAACATTGGCCTCGGCTCTACCCTTCTGGGAGGGCCAAATAAGGGTACCAGACTGGGTACCGTGGGGCCTCAGAGGAGGGAGAGAATCGTCTTAAGTGTGGAGATTGGAAGCTGGTAGGGGAGTGCTTCTGGGCGCATGGCCTGGGCTGAGTCGTAAGTGGGGGAGATGGAGAGCTGGCGCACTCCCGGCAGGGGAAAGGCTGCTCCTCGGTGGTGCAGGGTGTGCTTAGGAAGCAGTGAGCTGCCCAGGTCTAGGGTTTGTGTGCATGTGCTTGTGTCCTTAGTGGGAGGTTTGTGCACACATATGTGCCGGCAAATTGCATGTGCACAAATGCACCCATGCGTATTTACATGTGTGTATGCACACCAAATATACACATATATGTTATGTGTCTGTGCACATGCATCAGATTTATAGCGTGTATAAATGTGTGCACATACACATGTTTTAGAGTCTGTGAATGTATTCATGTGTTTGTACATGTACGTACATGTTTGTGTTTCTGTGTGTGAATGGACATAGTTGTATGTGTCTATATGTTTGTATATATATGTATTTTGTGCATCTGTGCACAGATGCTCATGTATATGTGTTCAGATGTGGAACTTTATGTGTATGTATGTATGTGCATGTATGTGAATACATGTGCATGTATGTGGTTATGTACTTTTGTGCGTCTGTGTAGTGTGTTCATCTATCTGTGTGTTTGTGCTGATGTGCACATGAAATGATATATTCATGAGTACATTTGTGTATCAATGCAAGTATGCATGTGTATGTGTGTACATGCCTGTGTTTATGTGACTGAGCACATACATATGTGTATACATATCAGTGCCTGTGTATATCTGCAAATGTATGTGCACACACATGCACATGTTTGTGTGTCTGCACACGTGCAGGTATTTGCATATGTATACGCACGTGTTTGCACATACCTGCAGACATACCTGCCAAAGCATATGAACATGTGCTTTGTGTCTTGCATGTACATGTGTATGCATGGGCAGGTGCACTTATTTTGTGTCTGTGCACGTATGCATGTGTGTATACACACGTGTCTGTGTGTCGCTGTGTGTATGTCTATGTGCTCATGTGTGTTTGTGCATGTATGTGAGTGTGCACATGCCAGTGCATCTGTGTGCACGTGCATGTTTGTCTGTACATGTGCATATGTGCACACAGCAGCAGGAGGTACATCTGTAGAGGTAGACAGGACAGAGGCTGGACACCACTCGGCTGCTGGAGGGGAGTAGGAAGTTTGGCCCCGCGGCAGAGGGAGAGCTCTGTGGCTCTGGGTGTGGGGTGGGCTCCTCTCCCCTCCTCTTCCCCTCAGCTTGCTCCAAGCCTTCATAACTCTCTCTAACATTCCTCCCTCTTCTCAGGCTACTGAAGTGGGGCAACTTCCTGGGGGATGTGATAGGCCTGGGGGCCACCTTTTGGGAGGAGTGTGAGCGCCCAGGCCTGGATGAGGGGCCCTGGGGCTGGGAGGGTTTACAGAGACGACTGTGAGAATAGAGTTATTTGGTGCTGTGGCGGTGGGGTGGGGGGGGCGTCCCTTGTGGGTGGGTCAGGGGCTGACCCTGCCTCAACCAGGCTGGTCTTGCTGCTGGCTTACATGGTCCTGTTCGAACCCTCCAGCCACCTGAGGAGCCATTCAAGGGGCAGGAAGTGGCTGCAGCTGGCCCCTCGCTGCAGGGTGAGTGCTGGAAGCCCCAGCTGGGCTGGTGGGGTCAGGCGGTGGGAAGGGGCTGCCTTCTCCCTGCAGAGCCTTGCAGGCAAGGCTGGCAGGCCCACTTCACAGATGAAGAAACTGAGGCTCGGAGAAGCTCAGGATGGGCTCCTGGGCCCCTTTTAGCTGAGCTGAGCTGGGACCCTGGCCTTCTGACCCCTTTGGGGTTCTCCGCTCTACCCTGCTTCTGACTTGTCCTCCCCAGCAGGTTAGAAATGGGCTTCTCTGAGGCTCCAGATCTAAAGTATGAGAAACTCTTTTCTAGAAACCCAGGAGGCTGCCCCTACTCTGCCCACATCCCTCCAGGCCCAGGTCGCTGTGGTTCCTGAAGCAAACAGGTACCACCCCACCCTGCCCTCTCCTCAGGGCCAGCCTCCGCCCCCAAGCTAGGGAACCACCGGGCGTGGGGACCAGCACAGCTCTCAGGTCTGTGGTCATTCCCAGGCCAAGGCCTGCAGCAGCGTGGAAATTGGCTGAAGGGAGCTCCAGGCAGAGGATGGGGGTCCCCTGGGCCACATGGACAACATGACCAAGAGAAGCAGAGGGTGGGGGCCAGCGGTTTCTCAGTGCTTGGGTGAAATGCGGGTCCAGCGTGGCCAGAGCTTCTGATTTTCCCAACGAAGCCAGAAACCCAGACTTTGACATGAAGTCTCCCAGTTAACTCAAACATTTTGGACCAGTGGTGCTTGTCCAAGCAAGCATGTCCGTGGGTGGCTGGCCTCAGGCAATGAGTCTGTGACCCTCATAATTAGGCCGACCAGCCTCAGTCACAGGAGACGCCCCACAGGAAACCCTCAACCCTTGGGGAGGACAAGGCATGTGCCAAGTGCAGGACGGGGACCCCCTGGAGCCAGGCTAAGGGGGAGGCAGGAGGATGGAGAGAACTCAGCTGCTCTGAACTGAGCATCTGATGGGGGTGGGCCCAGGTTGGCACGGGGCATGCCTGGCCTCCAGGGTTGGTGTCCCCCATTTCCCAGAGAGGCTCATGGGGGAAGTGACGTGTCTGAAGTCTCACAGTGGGGAGATAGAGGTTTGGGATTCAAATCTAGTTCTTCAGGACGTGGTAGACGGCCGCTCAGACCAGGGAGGGGCTGGGGAGATTGAGAACAGCCCAGTGTCTCTGTCCCTTGGCAGTCCCAGCGGCCAGGTGCTGACCTGGCTCAGGAAGGGCATGGAGAAGGTCGTCCCGCAGCCGGTCTACAGTGGCAGGCCAGCCCAGAACACTGCTGCTGGACTGGAGGGCCCGGCTCAGGTACTGCTGGGCCCGGGAGCTGAGGCGGGGCGGATGGGAGGCCAGTGCACCTGGACTCTCTGCCCACATCTGTCTGTCTGTCCTGGCAGGCAGGAGCACAGATCCTTGGGCACTGCAGCGCTGGGGGCCCAGGTAAGGCCAGGAAGTGGGATGGCTGTACAGCGGTGGGACCGAGGAGCTGTTGGCATGGCCCTGCCCTGGGGAGAGTCCACGGGGCCAGAGCTTCTATATGACTGGCCCCGGGTTGGAACCTGGGTTTGAGGTGGCTGGCCGGGGGGCTCTGGGTGGCCTCTTGGTGCTGACCACCATCCTTTCTTCTGCAGATGGACCCGACGAGGCGCCCAGGTCCCAGGACAGCAGGTGAGTCGGCATCCTAAGCACTGGTTTGGGAGCCCCTGAGCCTCATCTGTAGTGTGTGTGTGTATGGTGGGGGGGAGCACTGTGCCCAGAGCCCTTGAGTTTAGGAGCCACCACGACCTCAGGGTGTGACCTTGGACTGCCTCTGGTCTCTTCCAGACCTCACCTTTCTCATCCATAAAATGGGGGTGATGGGCCCTGGGCTGCCCACGGCTTGCTGTGCTGATCCTGGGAGACCCCCAGGTGGGGGCCCCTTCTGAGGACAGGGACTAGGCACAGATGAGATCCGCATAGGTGGGCTTCGCATAGGCAGGCCCCACGTGGAGCACAGAGGCAGGGCCAGGGCCGCCGTGGGACACCTTGGGGCGCCCAGATTGGCCTCACAGTTGGCAACAGCTTTGGGCTTCTCAGAGCTGACGGAGGGGCTGCCTTGTCATCCAGGGTGGCGGGCTGGGTGGACTCCGTGACAAACGCGGGAGCCTCTGTCTTTCTCCAGGGAGGGGCCCTGCTCAGCTCCAGCTGCCCCTGCCCTGCGGGAGTGTGGGCCCAGTGGGGCTAGTCCTCCAGTTTTTCAAGAGAAGCTAGAAATGTAGGTTTTTATGTAAACTCGTTAATTTTTAGATGTTGCCAATTGAAAGCTTTTCAAAAATACTGTGAGCCCCCAAAAGAAGCCTGAAGGCTCCAGTTTGCAATCCCTGTTGGAAACCCAGAGTCCTGTGTTCACCTCCTTCCTCCCTCCGTCCCTCCATTCCTTCCTTCCTTCCTTTCTCCCTCTCTCAGGTCCCTGAGCACAGGGGCTTTGTCTTGGTCACTGCTGGACCCCTGGCGCCCAGCACAGTGGCTGCCGTAAGAGGAGACTTGGCACAGAAGGGAGGAACACATGGATGAATTAATGAATGTACACAATCACACACTCCGTTCATTCATTCACTGCTCCAGCTTGCTCTGAATGATTCAATGTCCGCTTGAGGCTGCCCAGGTCATGGGTCCCCAGGGCCACTCCGCTGACTTTGGGACCAGGAAAGTGATTTAGGATGAAGGCGCCCAGCGGACTTGCCAGCTTTCTTTGGGGCCATATGTGGGAGGATGGCTTCCCCCGGGAGCATGGAGCTTCCCTGAAGAGGGAGGGGCTGCCTGGAGGCCAGGTGGACCTGGGACCCAGCATTTGCCCCAGGACAACTACATAATTTGTGGGGCCCAGTGCAAAATGAAAATGCAGGACTCCCTTAAAAAAATTATTAAGAATTTAACCCTGTGACAACAGAGCATTAAATAAAAAAGTGGTTCTTTCTAAGTGTAGGGCCCTGCACAGGTCACATACCTGTGAAGCCAGGCCTAGCTGTCCCAGTCACAGGGAGCCCCCCCTGCCGCATTCAGGTCTCCAGCAGCCTCCACTCCTCACCTGCTGCCCAGGAGGCCAGGGCTGGGCTTGTTCCAGAGCCTGGTCCAGCCCCGGGTCAGAATTCGAGCTTGGCGGAAATTTCCTCCGCCGCCTGGGGCCCTTTGAGAGGATACAGTACAAAGCCCCCACTGTGCAGAGTGGGAACCAGGGGTGAGCAAGAGCTGGTGGAGGCCCGGGACCCCAGCAGGCAATCAGGACGGTGTGGCAGCTGGCTTCTTCAGGCAGCTCGGTTGACCACTGGCCCCTCTGCAGGCCCAGGCCCTGGCTGCTCAGGTGGTTCGCACAGAATCTGGACAGAGTACTGCCTCAGCCCCCAAAAACATCTGAGGTAAGCTGAGGAAGAGGGGGAGCAGGCAGCTGACCCCCTGGGAGGGTTTCAGGGGCCCCAGGAAGAGCCTGCCTACACCAGCCGGCTGTCCCCACCCCCAGGGACCCACGGAGGGGGTGCTCTCCTCCCTGGAGGGTCCTTGATGGGAGGAGTGACTGCAGGAGGGGCAGGGGGGTTCAGGGGAAGGGTGAGCCAGGGCCCGGCTGGCTGGGGCAGGGGTGCACAGGCTCTCTTTGCTCCCTGACCTCACTCCCTGCTTATGATCCAGGACCGGAGAGATGAGCAGGCTGATGCCGCCTCGGGCCCAGGTACAACAGGGAAGGGACCTGGGGAGGGGCTGCCTGGCATGGTCACAGGCTGGACTGGGGTACAACCGGGGCGTGGGGGATCCTGGAGGAGGACATTAGCCCTCACCCAGGCTAGGGAGGGGGTCAAGGCTTGCAGGAGCCAGCCATTGTGGGGGGCCCTGGAACCCCCTCCCCAGTCCAGGCTGGGAAACCAGTGGCCTGGGACAGACTTGTGGGGTCTTGGAAAAGTCCCTTCCCCTCCCTGGGGTAGTTGGGTGGTCCTGAGGGGCTCTCCACTCAGTCACGTTGGCACCTCGAATCCAGCACCCTGAGCCCTGGAGGGGTGGCATGGAGCCCAGCCACATCATCCTCAACTTCCTGCTCTCCCTGTGGCTTAGCGCCCCCAGAACCCCCCCTGGAAACGGAGCCCGTGCTTCAGGCCCCGGAGAGCCCCTCCCTGCCCACCCCCAGCGCCCCGGAGCCCGAGGAGGAGCCGACCCCAGATCCCGGCCTCCAGGCCTCCCTGCCGACCCCCGGGGACTCTGCCAGGTGAGCCTCCAGTGCCTGCCTCCCACCAGGAGCAGGGTCAGTCCTCGCCCCAGCTCGACACCCAAGCTTCGCCAAACTAGTTTTTTTAAATTATAAAAGTAACATGTGCCTGGGAGAAAATTCGAAGGGGTTTCCAGGGCCCCATCCCGGGGCAAACGCCGCCACACTTCCCGTCCCTTCTGATGGTTTCACATGGAGACAAGCTTGCGAGTGTGTCTCTCCTTGAAACATGTGCCTGAAGGTGCAAACCATCCATGCTGTTCTGCGTCTTGCTTTTTCACCTAAAAACGTATCTTAGAGCTGGTTTGATACCTGTAGTCTCCCTCCTTTCCAACAGCAGCGTGGTGCTCCGTCGTGTGGACGCACAGCCTTTGTGTAACCACGTGGCGGGCACTTAGGTTTGTTTCCACGTTTTGCTGTGATTGGGAGCCTTGTAGAGGCATTGCTTCACTCATGTCCACATAAATCTGTAGGACAAATCTGAGCATCGGAGTCGCTGGGATGAAGGATACGTGCCTTTAAAATCATAGTGGGTGCTGCCAGATGCTCCCGTCCTGGCAGTGTACAGGGCCTGAGATGCACCTCCAGGGCCTGCTGGGGCCTGAGCAGTAGGCAGAGGCCTGCCTAGGGAGGCCGGGGAGGGGGCAATGGTCTTCGGGGCTGGAGACGCGGGTTCCAGTCTGCCCACTGGCGGGCCTCCTGTCTGCCTTGCGGGGGAGCTGATTCTGGTCTCAGTTTCCCCAGGAGACCTCCCACCTGGACATGGCCCATTCTCTCCCACCTGCAGGTTGATGACGTGGCTTCTGCACAGGCTGGAGATGGCCCTGCCCCAGCCAGTGCTCCATGGGAAGGCTGGGGAGCAGGTCGGTGCCGCGCTCGGGCAGCAGGGCCCTGGGTGGTGGGAGGAAGGGGTCTCGGGAGCTCAGGCAAGGGTGGGGTGGTCAGCCTGTGTTCCTGGGGTGGGGGCACAGGAGGAAGAAGGGAGCCTGCAGCAGGAACCCAGCCCCCCAGCCTGCCTGTCTCCCAGCTCACATTCCTTCCACACGCTGTCTGGTCACTGAGGCCGCAGGGCTGAGAAGCGCTGGCCCAGCCCCGCCAGATAGGAGCTCACAGTCAGTGGGGAAGTACTTCCATGGGGGGTGGGGGAGCAGAGAGGATGTAGGGTGCAGAGGAGGAGCCTCTGGGGAGTATCGAGGAAGGCTTCCCAGGGGAGGCAGCCTGTAAGCTGAGACCTGAAGGAAGAGTAGGAAGGGGGTGGGTGAAACTGAAGGTGGGTGGTGTAGGAAGGGCCCTTCAGGCAGAGGATCAGCATGTGCAAAGGCCCTGAGACAACAGAGGCTTGGAATGTTCTAGGAAGAAGTGGGGTTCCCAGGAAGCCAGCGGGCCCTGTGTGTATTCCTGACAACCTAGGGCTCCAACATGGGTGGGTGGGGGGAGCAGGGCTTCTGTCAGCTCTTCCTCTCCCTCTCCAAGAACCTGGCACCTGGACCTTCTCTCTTGGGGACAATTGGACATCTTCATAGAAGCACCTGGAATGGGGAGGCGGGAGGCCTGGCCCCCGGTCCTGGCTGCAGCAGGAGATGGGTGGGAAGCTTCAGGGCCCCCTGCCTGCAGGCTCAGCTCTCAGGCTGCGTGTTCACAGGCCTCCGAGGGTGGGAGAGGAGCTGCAACTTTGGCGTTTTCCAAGAAGAGGAAAGAAGGGGGGCAGGAACATCAGTCAACGAAGACGCCCTCAGAGAGGGGGGCCCTGAGGATGGTGCTGGGCAGGGGAGGTGTGGCTCTGGCCAGGAGTGGCCTTTGTGCAGAGGGAGCCTCACGAGAACCCCCCAAGGAGGGGTGGGAGGAGGTTTTTCACATGCGGAGAACAAACAGAGGACGCCCCAGGAGGGGCCCAGCCCGAGCAGAGGAGCCAAGGTGGGACCTGGGAGGAGAACGACTGCGCAGAGGGCAGCTCTGAGGCGGGAGAGCAGCAGGGACGAGTGGAGCCCGATGCGAGGGCATCCTCAGTGGTCTCCTGGTGGGGCGAGGACAACCCTCTTGCTCCCGTGTGTGCTGGGGCGGGGCAGGGGGTGACGCAGAGAGGCTGGGGAGGAGCCCACGACTGTTTCTTCCCCTTTTCTCTCCACGCAGGAGCCTGAGTCCCCCGTGACGTGTGACGTGCAGACCAGTAAGTGACACGCTCGTGGGTCCTCATGTGCATCTCTGGGAGGGTGGCTTGGTCTGAGCGTGCGGGGGCAGTGGAGCTGTCCCTGGCCAGGTCTGGACTCACTGGGGGGCCACCGTCGAAGTCTCCTCACCTGGAGCTGAGAGCCCCATGCTTAGCAGGCCCCCTCAGTCAGCCTGGCCAGAGCCAGGGGGTGGTGGGAGGCCCTGCTGGGGGCAGTGGGGAGACGTGGGGGGGACCTGGCTTGCCTTTCAGCTTCTATCCAGGGAAAACAGTTCTGAGGCCAAGTGGGTGGGACCCCCTTTCTTCTGGGAACACCAGGAGAGAGCTCCCCGCTGCCCCCGGGGCCGGTGGGTTTGGCTAAGCAGGGCCCTGGCTGGGGGCCAAGGGGAGAGGGGCGAGGTCTCCCTGGGGGAACTGGACCCCACAGACTCCAGCCCCCTTGAGCTGGAGGGTCTCCCCTCCCCTGTGGGTGGGTTGGGAGGTGTCTGCCTTTCATCCCAGCCCTGTGCCAGGACTGGGGACAGACTGGGGCCAGGAGGGGACGGCTAGGGTCCAAAATCTGCTCTTCCTTCATTTCGTGGTCTCCGGAGAGGTATGTGGTACACAGGGCGTTCGTTCATTCATTCATCAACAAATGATCACGGACGGGCTGCTGTGTGCCAGGCCTGTGATGAGTTCTAGAAGTGAGAGAAGCAGAGCTCAGGCCCTGTGGGCGGTGGCCCTGTTTCCCCCTGGGCACAGGCTCCAGAGTGTGGGCCTCAGCGCTGCCCAGGGCTGCTCCTCGCAGTCTGCCAGGCTGCGTCCACCGCCAGCCCCGCTGGGCTGTGGTAGTCTTTCTGAGCATTCGGATGTTAGGCAAAGTCACCACGGTCTGGGGCAGCACAGGCAGGCGGCAGGCTGACAGAGCAGCCGTGGGAGGTGACGAGTTTGTATAATGGTGATGACAGCGTGAGGAGGGGGCCTCAGAGCAGAACTCTGAGTCCCACAGAGCTTGTGGCCACCCTGGAGGGCACAGAGCAGCGACCCCTATGGCTGTTGGGGCAGACAGAGGGGCAGAGATGTGCCCAAGGTCACAGAGCAAGTTCTCCTAGAGGGCGACCAGAGTCCCTCGGCCTGGTAGCGGTTGCTCAGTCAGGCTAGAGTTAGCGGGACAGACCTTCCTGGGGGCAGAGATCCCCGGAGCTGCTGAGAGCTCTGGGGATGGAGCCCTGGCCCTCTTGTCCTCCCTCTGCCCCCTGAAGGGACTCAGGAGTCTCAGCCTGCAGACAGGCCTCCTACCGCGCCCAGGGTCCGCGGTCGTGGTGAGCGCTGGGGTGGCCATAGGGCAGACCGAGCACAGGGCGCGCTTGTTTCCAGAGTCAGTGTTGGCAGGTTGGTTCCTTCTGGGCCCTCAGGGCAAAGCCGTCCCGGCCCCCTCCCCTGGCTTCTGGGGCTGCTGGCCATCCTTGCGGTCCCTTGGCTTCGAGCTGCCCTCTGACCTCTGCCTTTTGCTCTGTGTCTGTCTGACCTCCGTCTCCTTTCTTTTATAAGGACATCAGTCACTAGATTTAGGGCCCACCCTCAATCCAGGATGATCTTGTCCTGAGATCCTTAACCTACTCACCTCTGCAAAGACCCTATTTCAAATAAGGGCACAGTCCTGGGCAACAGGGTTAGGACTTGGACATGTGTTTAGGGGGGACACTGCTCAACCCACCACACAGGGTGACCCTGAGGGGCTGGGGGCTGAGTGTCCCTTCCCTTCCCCCCACTCTGGCCCCCGCCTCCCCAGCCGTTCCCTCGTGGGGTCCCTCCCTCATTCATTCCCTCCGCCTGTCCACCGCCTCCCCCCCCCCCACTCTTCTGTCTTCTCCTTTGTTTCAGGGGTGGCAGCAGCTGGAGGCCTCTGAAACAGGGGAGAAGGGAGCCTGGGAGAGCGCGGATGGACAAACGGACAGATGGATGAAGGAAAGAAGGGTGCCCTGAAGACAAGACCTGCAGGGGAGGGAGGGGGTGGCTGTCGACCCCCACGCTCCTTGAACAGTGACCCCCTGCCCCTCCCCATGCTCGCAGACAGGGCGAGGGCCAGCCAGAGTCACCTCCATCAGCCCCAGAGCTGCCTCTCAGGGACAGAGGCGGCCGCTTTGCACCAGAACAAGGGGAAGGGTGGCCAAGGGCAGCCTGTGGACTCAGGCTAGACAGCGGGAGGACTTCCTGCCGAAGGCTGTGGGGAAGCAGGTGGAGGACTCTCTGAGAGGACACCCGCATGGCCCTCGCGGGGCGCCTGGCACAGTCGGCACCCCTACAGGACACAGATTTTTCCAGAAGAGGTTCCCCTTAGGCTTGGCCGCATTCCCTTCCTGGAAGAGTCGCAACCACTAGTGGACAGCAACAGACGCTTTCGCTGACATTAAAAAGCATGAATGAGCACATCAATCCTGTGGCTGCATGATATTATTGTTTCACATAAGGCTAAAGTGAGGATTTAGGGTTGAAAAGTGGGCAGACTGGATGTGGCCTGTGGTCCTGGGGTTGCAGGATGGGGAAGCTAGGCAGCGGTCCTGAGATGCTTGTCCTGGGTCCCAGCTGGCCTGCAGGTGTCTTTGTTTGGGGCAAGGAGTGATTTTAAAAATTAGAATTAGTTGTCAATGTTTAAAAATCAAGTGGCTTTGCATAGAAGTAGTCTGGCTTCTCTCAGAAACTGGGAACATCGGCTGTAACAGGCCCGCACTGTGCTCGTGAGGAGAGCCTGAGCAGCACTGCCCCTGAGGGCGGTGGCACCCTCCGCTTCGCCCACCTGCACCCTCTCCCTGGCTGCATGGGCCTGAGGTCTCAAACTGGCGATGAGGGAGTGCAGTCCCGGCAGAGCGAATACCGTGAGCCAATGCCTGGAGGCAGGAGGCGGAGGGGGTGTCCGGGGAGAGTGGTGGGCACTTCAGCTACTCTGGAGCCCAGGGTCCTTGATGCAGAAGAGAAAACTAGAAAAGCTGGGGCCTGATTCCAGGGGACTAGGCTGTAGGCAATGGGGATCCATTGAAGGTGGTTGAGCAGAGAAGTGACTTCACAAAGATTACCCTGAGGCTGAGCAGGCACTGGAGGCAGGGAAAGCAATCGAAGAAAGGGTTCTTGAACTTTGGGCCACATCTGAAGCATCTAGGGGCAGCTATGAAGAAATGTCCCACCCCCAGACCTCCTGATTGGAAGAGTGTGGGAGCCTGGGAATCTGCATTTTCAAGAAGCACCCACTTCCCCAGATGATTCTGATGTTGGAGTAGTGGCAGGGATCACATCTGGAGAAATACCCAGTTAGTGACAGTGCTGTGGGGGCCAGGAGGGAGAAGACATGGGCCCGGACCAGGGAGAGGCAGAGGGAGGGGCCATAATGACCCTGGCCTCTCAGGAGGATGGAGGCTTTGATCCACGGCTCAGGCTTTGCCAGCAACCCAGGTCCGGGCGGGAAGCCTGTCCTAGATTCAGTGCCCCCGGGCTCCCTGCTGCTGGCCCTGGAAACTGGAGCTCCGACCCCACGTGGGGCTGCTGACCTGCACTGCTGGAACCCCCTCGTTTGGTGGCCCTGAGGGACATCCTACGCTGGCATGGAGGTCTGGCCAGGAGGTGGCACACCCATGAAGGGCTCCGGGGGCAAAGTTTAAGCCCATATGAGCTTGAGCACCCACGGTGCTTCTGAGGCCCCACCTGTGACCTGGGCGCCTGGGTGGGGCTGTGAATCAGGTGGCTGCGGAGAGAGGCTCAGAGCCCCAGGGCGGACAGCAGCGCCTTCACCGGGCCTTGCTCGGGCCCTGCCCCGGAGCGGTACCCCATGCCTGCCATTCCCAGAGGGAGACCTCGGGCACCAGCCTCTTCTCAGAGCTGTAGAATCTTTGGCTGTAAAATGGTGGCAACGTAGGGCCTGCCTTGCAGGGCTGGCACAGAGATGAAAGGAGATGTTTACAAGATGCTTACTCACTAAATAGCACCTAAAAAGAAAAGGTTAGGGTCTGGCCCGGTGGCCTAGTGGTTAAGTTCGTACTCCTCTTTGGAGGTCTGGGGTTCATGGTTCAGATTGCGAGTGTGGACCTACACAGGGCTCATCAAGCCACGCTGTGGCGGTGTCCCACATACAAAGTAGAGGAAGATGGGCACGGATGTTAGCTCAGGGACAATCTTCCTCAAGCAAAAAAAAAGGTTAATGAAAAGGAAAGTGAGGATGTTAGCAAGGACAGCATCAACTCTTCAAGATGCCAATCGCTGGGATCACCCAGCACCCATTATGGAGTGGCCACCAATGCCAGGGAGGCACCCACGGGGCACATTTGTCACCTGGGATAGCACACCGGGGAAACAGGAGTCAAGAGACCTGGCTCTGTCTCCAATGTCCTGTGTGGCCTTGGGCAAGTCACTCAGCCTCTCTGGTCTATAAAATGGGGACAGTACTGTTCTCAGCCTGAGGGGTTGCTGTGAAAGCTAATGAGCTCACAGGCCAGGGGATGTCCCTTGCTATGTCAGGCAAGAGCTTGCACACCAAGTGGCCGCTCGGGGTGGAGACGCCACATCACTGCTGGATGATAACATAGAATAACAGGAACGACATGTCCCTCCACCTGATCCAGGGCCACATTTGCAGGAGCCCCTGGTCAGACACTGGGCTGCATGTGGGGCTCGAGGAGCTGGGACGAGCCAAGGAAACGACTGGTTCAAGATGCGGGTGGGAGGCCTCCCCGGAGGAGACAGACGCCTCCTCTGAGGGGCAGGACAATGTCCGTAGTGGAAGCCAGGAGCGCGGAGCCAGATGCCTCCTGGAAAGCGCTCAGGCCGTGCCCGGCACACGGGAAGCACCCATAAAAGAAGGCGTTAACCTGTGTCTCAGTTTGCTCATCTATAAGATGGGCGATAACACGCAGAGAGGGAAAATAAAATGGGGATCATAGTTACTCCCCCTTCAAAAGGTTGATGTGAGGACAGTTGAGTTAATCCACGTGAATTACTTGGCACAGGGCCTGGCACATAGTAAATGCTCAATAAATGTCTCTGCTGTTGTTGTTGTTATTATTATTATTATTCTACATCACGAACGATAACTTCCAAAGTCAAAGGATAAGACTTGAGGCCAGCTTCCATCTAAAGTCACTGTTAGTAATTCATGCTTGGCTTGAGGTCTACCAAGACCCCTGGAACTTTTGGGGAGCACCTGGTCTCCACCTCTCTCCCCTTTCTGCTGCCTAGGGGTGGCCATACGTTCCTGCAGAGACTCCCCTGCGCCCCCTCTGTCAAGCTCACAGCCCCACAGTGTTTTCATTGTCAGGCACCTGAGTACATGGAGAAATGTTGAAAATTATAGGCTGCTATCTGAAGGTGGACCACTTCCACGAGAAAGTTGATTCTCTTGGAGGGTGGACTCTAGGCCCAGGAGACAGAGACAGGCTCCCAGAAGCAGGTGCTGAGGTTGTGGGCACTTACTACGCTGTCACCAGTGGGTGGCATCTAGAGAACAGGCAGAGGGCAAGCTCTCTCTGCATCCCTGTGGACATTCCAGGCCACCCTGATGCTGGATGTGGCAAGGCGGACCCCGGGCCTGGGTCTTTTGGCATCACCTGTGATTCTGTGGCTAGAAGCGTAGTTTCTGCTTCTGCACAAACCTCCAAGAAGGAGGCCCCATGAGATACAAAGACTAACCGTAACTGAAGCTCTGTCTCAAGAGGAAAAAAGAAGGAGGAACTGATGGAAGGGGATGGGGGCAGGATGGTGGGCTTCAGCCCCTCACTTTGGCACTGATCTGATTGTTAAAGGCCCCCCTGATAACGGGCTGTTTCCGCTGCTTGGCTGAGAGCTGGCGCGCGGCTGGTGTTGGCTGAGCTCCCTGCTCACTCCGCCCCACGCCCTGTGTCCCCTGCAGTCAGCATCCTCCCCAGAGGGCGAGAGGAGCCCGATCTCATCCTAGAAGAGGTCGACCCTCAGTGGGAGGAGGACGATGAGCGTCAGGACGGCAGCCCCAGCCCACAAAGCTCAGAGGCGGCTCCAGCTTATGAAGAGGAGATCGAGACCGTGGAGGAGATGCCCAGGTGGGAGCCAGAGGAGGCCCTGAGAAAAAGACAGTTTGGGAAGAGAACAGGCACATAGTACCGAATCCCAAAGGGATCAAAGGGCATGCAGCAGGAACCAAGCTGCCTCCCCCACTCCAGACACCATCCCTCTCCCCATGGGCACAATGGCTGCTAGGTCTTCTGTGCCATTCCAGAGACCATCTGAGCTTATAAAATCATGGATTCCCCTCTTTTTTTTGCAAAAAAGATAGCATACCACATGCACCTACCTACCTGCACCTTGCTATCGTCATTCAACCATGTGCCTTGAGGTCTTTGCACCTTCAGTGCATAGCGACCATCTGCATTTTTTACAGCTGCATAGTATTCCGTCACATGGATGTGCCAGAATTGATTTAATCTGTCCATTATTGATGGACATTTACATTGATTCAAAAATGCTGTTATTACAAACAATTCTGCAACAAACACTCATGCACATGTGTCCCTGCTCATGCATGTGAGTGCATCTACAGGATAAATTTCCAGAAGGGGGGTTGTGAGGTCAGTGGTCCTGAGGATGTATAATCGTGGTAGTGATCGCCGAGTCGCCCTCCATAGGGACCTAACCACGTTAGTTCCCACTAGTGATCTTGGTGACAGCCGCTCAAGATGGGAGGCCTCAGGTCCTCAGGCCCGTGAGCTACATTGCAAAGATGGGGAAACTGAGGCCCAGAGAGGATCAGGGGCTGACCTAGGGTCACCACCAGGATGGAGCGTTGTTGCTACAGAGAGAGCCTGGGCTGCTCACGGGGGGCTCCCCAGGCTGAGTCTTGGATGGCGAGTTCAGGCCTGGTCTCAGGGGTCCCAGGACATCCTGCCGAAAATGGGGACGTGAGCTGGACTCAGGGTGCAGCTGCATGTGGGCTCACCTCCTGCCTCTGGCCTCAACTCAGGGAGCTGCCCCGAATTCAAGAGGAGAAAGAAGACGAGGAGGAGGATGGAGAGGAGGAAGAAGAGGAAGAGGAGGAGGAGGAGCTTGAGTAAGGCCCTTGTGCCCTGGCTAAGGGACGGCCCAGGGAGGGGTTCCAGTGGCGGCGGGTCGGCTTCTGGGGTGGGCGCACTCGGCTGCTCCCCAGAGCTTGTTCCTTTGTGCTGTGCTGCGTGCCTGCCACTGGGCACTGACCAGAGAGGCTGGGGCATCCTGGGGGTCCCCCGCTGTGCTCAACAATGACCCGGGACTCATATTACCCACCACTCAACAACCCCTCACACACGCATACAAACCCCAAAACGCAACCTCCATGAGGGAGGGGATTTTTGTCTCTTGTGTTTACTGTCACATCCCCAGAGCCTGGAACACTGCCTGGTACAGTGGGCAAGAGATACATGTTGGTTGAATGGATGGATGAATGAATGAATGGACGCACGCAGTGGGCTCCCAGCTCTCCATAACTAACAGGCCAAGGCCTAGGCTTTGTCCCCCTCTGCCCCCGACACGGTCCCGCGATTGCCTCTGACGCCTTCTTAGCCTGCCCGGATTCCGCTCTACTGCCCATCGGTGGCTGACTCTCCACCCGCATCCATAAAGATGCCAACATCAACACCCTGGGGGAGTTCAGTTAATAGAAAGGTTAAAGAATGGAGATCAGAAACCACTAATAGTTGTAATCATCAAACTTGCTAAGAGACTAGACCTTAATTATTCCAACCACTAAAAAAGAAATGATAATTCTGTGATACGAGCGCTACAATGGCAATCATAATATATAAATGTACCAAATCAACACAAACACTGTAAATCTACACAATCTTATATGTCAAATATATTTCAATAATAATAAAAGAAGCCTCTAAGAGGGAGATTTTTAGCCACGTGGGATGGGCAGGATGGATGGATAGGTGGATACACGTGGAGATGAAGAGCAGGCAGCTGGAGCCTGAGTCTGGGGTTAGGAGAGCGAGAGGCTGGACCGGAGATGGAACTGAACACTGTGGGGCGGAGGAGATGCCCAGGCAGTGAGTGTGGATGGAGGAGGGGCCCAAAGGCCAGATGAGAGCCAGGGAGAGGAGGAGGAACCAGAAGGGACTGAGGAGGAGGCGCCAGTGAGGGGAGAGGGGGCCGAGAGTAGTATGGGGCCTGGAGGCCGAGTTGGAAAGTGTTTCAAGGAAGAGGGAGGGATTTGCTGGCTAAAGAGCAGCCTGCATGTCCGGGGAACAGTGACAGGGTAACTAGTGGACGTGGCGGGAGATGATGCTTCAGAGGTGGTGAGGCCAGATTGTAAAGGCCTTGGCCTTGATTTCCCAGGAGCAATGGGGAGCCATGGAAGGTTTGTGAGCAGAGGAGTGACACGATCTGGCAGCTGCCTTGTGGAGACTGAGGCAAGGGGAGCAGTGAGGAGACTGTTATCACAGATCAGGCCAGACTGACTTAATCTGTCCCCTTGCTCCAACCCCTTACATTGTCCCCTGTCCCTGTCACTCTGCCCTTCGTGGTACCCCTCGGCCCACACCCTTGCTCCCTGATCGGTCCCTCTGGCCACGGCCTGAGGCAGGGGAGCGCCGTGAGTGTTTGGAGCGTGGGTGTGGCTCCTCTTGGTGGAGGTACCTGGGCAAGCAGCAAACCTGCACAGAGCTTCTGCCCCGACATCTGCAGAAGGGGGATAATCATAGCCCCCTGCAGAGTGGCCACAGGTCCGGCCGTGAGAGTGGGTCTGGCAGGATCTGCCCCGGAGCAAGTGCCCCGCCAAAGGTCACTGATGTTCTTGTTGCCACTGAGGGTCACTTTTAGTCCCAGTCAGGAAAGAGTTAAACGCTGAGACCAGCACAGGGCTGGCAGGCTCCGCTTTTATCCATCCTTGCTTCCTTCATATGTAGTCTCTCCATCCTTGGCAGGTGGCCACACAGCTACTTGCTTGCCTCCAATGACAGGGAGCTCACAACCTTTGGAAGACTGTCCATTCCATCCACATGCACCTCTGACTTATGTAATTATTTCTTCCACCAAAACTGAGGGTGCTTCCCCATGGTTTCTGTAACCCAGTCCTAAGTCTGCCCTCTGGGCGCCCCCAGGGCCCGGCTGCTCTCGCTAACAGCTGCCCGCCCTTCCCCAGGTGAAGACCTTAGATGCCACCTAGCTTCATTAGCGCATCCTTATTTGCCCTCCGCTTTCCACCTGCCTCTCGTTGGCATGCACAGACAGGGAGTTGGTCCCCTGCTAAACCTGTGTGCCAACGCCCAGGCCCAGAAACCCCTCTGTCCGCCGCCGCTCTCGAGCCGCAACACCCCTTGAAGGCCAGTGATCCAATGTGCTCACACACACGCACATGCACCAGCTACACATGTGTTCTCAGTGCACAGTACACATGGGAAGATACACACATGTCTGCACTACACACACACCCCCGCGCATAGAAACAGAAACACATGCCGGGTTATGCACATGCTTATACCCACACACAGCCTGCAAAATGCACGGGTGCACACAACACACTCACGCATGTTCACGCGTGTGCACACACATGCACACACATGTGCATATCCACACTACACCCTGCAAACATGCTCATACACACACAAGCACGTGCATAGAGTTACCCACAAACTCTGCAGGCACATGCCCACTCATGCAAATGTTCACCCAGAGTTTCAAACTCAGGGAACTTTTGTGTCTGGGGCCCTGGTAGGGATGAGGGCCCTGCGGTGACGGAGTGGGTGATCCTAGGGCCGGGGCCAGAGGCTGCCAGGCTTGGGACAGGCTGGCTGGGCTGTCACTGGCTGGGGAAGGATGCTCTCAGCTGGCTTTGCGGAGGCACAGGGGTTACTGATGACGCGCAGTTACTGATGGTCGCCTAGCGACCTGGTCTCTGCCGGCAGCGGCCTGGCTCTTCCTAGCAACCGCAGCCTTTCGGTCCCCACCTGGCCTCCCTGGGGGCGTTTCTGCAGAGTTCCCTGCATGTCCCCTCAATCTGATTAGAAGCAGGAAGGATCAGTGGCTCATCCCCTCCCGAGCCACACTGGCTCTGGAGCTGGCCCTGAGGGCTGGGGCCGGGCCGGGGTCCCAGCCTTCTCTCCTTTCCTGCACCGACCCAGGGCTGGGGATGACTGTCAGCGCCCCCAGCTGAACTCCTGCACCATGGGCGTCCTTGTCAGCAAAGACAGCGAGACCCAAGTAGGTGGCCGCTTCTCCCTACGGGCTCCCCTCCTGCCTTCTTTCAGAGTTGGGGTGCTGGGTGAAGAGTCTGCTGAAGGTGACAGTGAGGACCTTAACTTGGGGGCACAGCCTGCAACGGGACCGGGGGAGGAGCTGGGCTGGCAAACCCTTGCAAGGGGGCTACTGCTGCCCCGCCCTGCACCTTTAACTTGGGGAGCAGGGGCCCCTCTAGGATGTCCCCTCGGCCAGTCTGTCTGACCCTCTGCTTGGAAATCCCCAGGATGTGGGAACTTTCCAGAAGTTGATCACCTGCTGCTTCTGGGCCAGGCAAGAAGGGCCCTTGACAGGCACTGGGCACCCTGCCGACCAGGGGCGCCATGACTTTGGGTCCATATGTCCCAAAACAGCAACTGGTGGTGCTGACAGGCCACGTACAGGACTCATTAGGTATCTCGACGGCTTGAGATGTTTGTGCAAAATGTCCCCCAATCCACGTGGGTGATTCCTGGTCCTGCAGAACGCCGTCTCCTCTGGGATTAATAATAATAATGACAAGAACAGTCATAATACCAGTGGCCGTTCGATGAGCCCTTGTTTTCTGGCCAGGCTTGTGCTGAGGCACCCATTACTAATCCCATTTCACAGATAGGGGAACTGAGGCTCAGGGACGGTGCCCTCCACATCCAGGGGTGGCCTGTGGGCAAGTCAGAGCCGGGATTCTGTCCCAGGTCAGGCTAGCCCCAGAGCGAGCACCTGGCCCAGCAGACAAGGAGAGCTGCTCACCAATGTTTAGAGATGGAGAACTGAGAGTGACACCTACCATTGGAGGTCTTTGGTGACGCCTCCATGAGATTCTCCCCGGCCCTTCTGACCCCACTCAGATACGCTGGCTGTACAGGCTGGGCCCGTCCACCCATTGGACAGATGAGCCAACATGCAGCCTGAGGGCTTCCCGGTGACTCGCCCGGTGCCACACAGTGATTTCCCAGCCCGATTCTGGGACGATCGAGACCCCAGGCCGCCTCTGTCTGCGCTGCGGAAAGCTCATTTCCTGGCCTTTGTGCTCTGAGAACTGATGAGGGCACAGTTCCTGTAATATTTTCAGGGGTCCCCAAGAACGTTTGAATTTCTTTTAAAATCAGAACAAAAAACGAACTTGTTGTTGGAAGAGAATGTTTTGATATATAATATTAACACAGGACTCTTCATATCCGTGTGGTCATGAATATAACTTTTAGTATATTTTTATGGAGGAAGGGGCCCAGGAAGGCTGAAGTGCCCAGGTCCCGGGGAAGTCCTGATGTGCCCTCGCTCTTATGACTTAATCTCTTTAAGGAAATCTGCTTCTTCCTGGGCAGGGTGGGGAGTGTGAGCCTGACAAGTCGGTCCCTCACGATGGAAACACTGACACAAAGAAGAGAAATGTGGCGAGTTGGGTGCTTGGACCTCCAGACACTCGCCTCACTCCTCCGTGTTACATGGGGACGTGTAGACGCTCAGAGGCAGGTAGTGGAGTGAAAAGTACATGGTGTTGGGGTCAGAGACACCCGTGGTGTATCCAGGCTCGCCTTGGACAGGCTGTGTGATGATGGACAGGCCCTCCAACCTCTCTGATCCCCCGAGTTCTAAACTGGAATGGGATCAGTCACAGCCCGGGTCTCTCAGGATTATTTGGGTGAGGATTCGGGGAGATGCTGTGCATAGGGAGTGCCTGGCCCAGCAGCCGGCACACAACCCACGAGAGCTGCTGTGACAATAGCATTGCCAGCCGATTCCTGCTCCCAGGCTGCTGGCTCCAAGCATTTGGGCTGCGATCCGTCCCCACCGCCTCATCCACCACGGGACGGATGGGCTGAGACGGGGCCCTCCGGCTGGAGGACAGTGAATCCAGGTTTTTGGGGCTGCAGATGCTGCAGTGCATCCTCCGTGAGCCCCTTGGTGACAGAGTCCGTGGGGCGGGGTGGGGCCCTTAGGAGGCAGGATCTAATTCTAACTACAAAAACCACATCAGACCCTGGTCCCGAGTCATCATTTTAACCCAGAGGTCGCACGCAGGTATCTAGGGCTGAATTTAGCCTGGAGATGGCTCTTTTAGATAGCCACTTATTAACATAGACATAGAAATTTGGATTAACTATCAACATCTAAAGATGAGGAGATTCCACCTTGAAAATGTGAGTTCGGGTTCCTCTTGAAAACCGGAAGATCTGTCCGTGGAGCCCCCATTCTGAGCAGAGTGGGGCGCAGACTCAGATGGGCACGGGTTCTCTGGTTTGCGACAGCCTCCCCTGCTCCCTATAACCTCCCCCCGGGCCCCCAACACTCATGTAGCCTGCTGCCTGGGCCAGGGGCCCCTGAAACCTTCAGCACTTGCAGTGTGGCTCTGATCTCATGGCATGGAAAGAACCAGGGCCCGCATTTGAGGTTTGCTGTGTGATTTTGGCCACGTCAGTTCGCCGCTCTAGACCTCACTTTTCACATCCTCCCTGCCCGGCTTGCATCGCCAAGGTTGCTTACAGACTCTCAGCGGGGAGATGTTGGGTGTATATTTTGAACTGTATCCATTGCCCTCTGACACCCTAGATGACAGTTCCCCAAACCATCCTCCATGCTTTTCTTTGCACATACTGTTCCCCTTTCCCAGACACCCTTCCCAGCTGACAGGCCATCTCCTCTGGGAAGCTCTCCTTCCGAGGCAGAATTGTGGCTGGGCCCTTCGCAGCCCCTTGCTCCAGCGCATGTCTCAGCCTGGGAGATTGTTAACACAGGATCTGCTGACCTCCTGTGCTGGGAGCCCCCTGAGGGCGAGGACCTATTCTTGGGGGTCTCTGTGCCCCAGCTCCTGGCACGGAGCCTGGCACTCAGCAGGGTTTGGAGAATGTTTAACACTGCTAACCCCAGCCCTTTCTCCTCCCCCTTGGGTCACAGTGTCCTGCTGGATAGCTGTCTGGTGGCACAGGGTGGCGAGGACCTAAGCCAAGCAGGTGGGAGCGAGCACCAGACGGCCTCACCCCAGGTATGGAGCAGCCCCAGCCCGGCACATGGGCCACCCCTGAACCTGGGCTGGCGTCTGCGGGAGGGGCTGGGGCCTTGTCCACTGTATTTACAGGGGGTTTCTGGCTGGTGAGATGCCCACCGGACAGAGGGGAGCAGGTGGTGGGTCCTGTGAGGCCCCGCTCGTACCAGGGGTCAGATGGTGTGGGGAGGGGCCTTGGGTGACACGGCCATGGGTGACACAGCACCTCGGGTGTCCTGCCCTCCAGTTCTCACAAGACTGCGTGACCCTGGGCAAGTCACCTGACCACTCTGGGCCTCGGTGGCCACCTTTGTAAAATGGGGCTAAAACCCCCTCCCCAGCGTGTTGTACACAGTTGGACACTGTGAAGTGCTGTGCCTGCAGGGGGAGTGCTGTGGTGGCTGCTTGTGTTGCTTTGTCCCCACAAGCTGCATGAGAAGACGCCCTCATGATGTGTGACAAGTCCAGGGGTTGGGGCCTGGGCTCCTGTGAGCACCGCCCTCTCCAGGGTGGAGGCCACCTGCCTGAATGCCCCAGAAGGTGGGCTGGCAGGGCCAGGAGTAGAACTGGGGCCCACGAGGACTCCTGACGGCAGATCCCCTGACAGGGTCTGGGCTGGACCAGGGCTAGCAGGGGGCTGACAGTCCCAGTTGCTGTTTCCACTTCATTTTTTGCAGGAGTTGCAGGAAGAGGCGGTGGCCACTGGCTCAGGAGGTGGGTATGCGGTGGGGGTGTGGGGCTGTACAGAATGTCCAGGATGCTTTCAGGCTGGGGGCAGCCTGGGCCCGGGGCACCCCCTCCCCCATCTCCACCCTCCCTCCACCCTCCACCTGCCCCGTCCTCAGGCAAAACTCATCCTCGGTGCCTTGGGGCCACATTAGCAGAGGCTGGTGACAGATTTCAAAGGCCCCAGGGGAATTGCACTGAGAGCCCCCAGGATGCCCAATGGGCCTGGGGAAACCCTGCTCCTCTCCTGCCACCCCTCCCTGGGAGGGCAGCTCTCCAGGCCCCCACCCAGGGAAGGTTGGGCTCAAATGTAGCAGAGAAAATTGGGACAGAGCTTGCCAGGGGCATGTCCTAGGCTCCCCATCTCTTGACGAGCTCTTTCTTACTGCTAAGATCCCCAGATCGTACCCAGAACACGCACTTTGCTATTATTTACCGCCCTCCCCCAAATCCTGAGAACTCCAGGGACGGCGCAGACACAGTCTAGGGGAGCCGAGCATGGCTGGGCCACGCAGCCCGGGACAGACAGACATGGGGCCAGGCTTCACCAGTCTCCATGTTCCTCAAGCCGCCGGTGCTCCAGCCGCCCTGTGAGGCGACAGACCATTTTACAGATGAGAAAACTGACGCTTCATGTGGGCGGCATTTGGCTAAGCGGGCAAGGGCACAGACCTGTATTTCACTCCTGGCTCCTTCCTCTTCCTTGCTGTGTGACCCCGAGCCAGTTCTGTGACCTCTCTTAACTAAGGCTCCCCAAATCAAGAAAGACGGGGCAAAAACAGTGCCTACCTGACAGGGTTGTTGGGCAGGGGAGGGGTGACAACGCGTCGAAGGCATCCAGCACCGGGGCTGGCACCGAGGGAGGAGGCCATGTGGCACCACGATGCTCGTGTTCCCAGTCAGCCAGCGGCTGAGCTGAGCTGACCCTGATGTCCTAACCCCACGTGTCCTGAGCTAGCTCCCCACTTCCCCATGTTTGATAAGTGTCCACCGTCCACGTCAACACCTGTCTGTAGGAGACTCCCAAGTCTGCACCCCACACGCATGAGTAGGACCAGGTCACCCAGGTGCAGACTCAGCTTCCGTGAGGCTGGCTCTGCCCCCTTCCCCAGGTCATCCCAAAGCAGGTGGTCTGGGGACTACACTCTGAGAAACGCTGAGGCACGGCCATCTGTCTGCCACCGAAGCTGTGGACCTAGAGCCCGCAGCTTCACTGTCACCTGGGAGCTGGCTAGAAACGCGGGATGCCAGCCCCACCCAGACCTGCAGAACCAGGGTCTGCACTGTAACAGGGTCCTGGCCGTTTGCCTCACCTTAGTATTTGGAGGCAAGGGCCTCGAGCCCTGGTTTTCAAACGTGACAACACAGTGGAATCATCTGGGGAGAATTTATTTGTTTATTTATTTATTTTAAAGATTGGCCCTGAGCTAACATCTGTTACCAATCTTTTTTTTTTTTTCTGCTTTATCTCCCCAAACTCCCCCATACATAGTTATATATTTTAGTTGTGGGTCCTTCTAGTTGTGGTATGTGGGACGCCGCCTCAAGGTGACCTGACGAGCAGTGCCATGTCTGCGCCCAGGATCCGAACCCTGGGCCGCCACAGCAGAGCGCGAGAACATAACTACTCCGCCACGGGGCCAGCCCCTGTTGCCAATCTTTTTATTGCTTCTTCTTCTTCTCCCCAAAGCCCCCTGGTACATAGTTGTATATTTTAGTTGTGGGTCCATCTGGTTGTGCCATGTGGGACGCCGCCTCAGCATGGCCTGACGAGAGATGCCATGTCCGTGCCCAGGATCCGAACTGGCGAAACCCCAGGCCGCCAAAGGGGAGCGTGCGAACTTAACCACTCGGCCACGGGGCTGGCTCCCTGGGGAGAATTTAAAAATCCCAGGGCCAGGCCTCAACCAGACCATTAAGTCAGAATCTCCGGGGATGGGCCCGGGCATCAGCATTTCTGGACTCCCCCAGTGATTCCACTGTGCAGCCCCACTGGGGAACCTGGGCCCTAGGAGAAGGGGCTGCTTCATTAACTGAGCTCCAGGGCTCCTTTGGGGTGGAAAATCCTAAGAGGGTTTGAGTCCCGAGTCTGTGAGCCTAAGAGTCTGAGGAGTTCTGGCTTCTTTGATTTTAACTTTTTTGAGTCTGAGATGGGAAATGCTACCCATGGTCGGTTAGAAGAGAGCGAACAAGAAGAAGGGGGCTCGGGCTGCCCCTCAGAGCTGTTGGGCGGACCAGCCACATGACTTGGTGACGCTTATGACGTCTGGGGACAAGAGTGATGCTCCAGACCCTGGGTGCAGCTGCTGTGAGTGCAGACGGGCACCGGCTGGGCTGTGTTGGCGCCAGCGGGGAGGAGCCCCACCTGCCTCGCCGCCCCCAACTCTGTGCTCCTCGTTGCAGTCCCCAGGGTCCCACCTCTGCCTGAGAGCCCCCGGCCCCAGCGCCATGGCTAACCCAGGCCGGGACATGGAGCTGAGTCGCCTGGTCCAGGACCAGCCGCCGGGCCAGGTGGCCCCCAGCCTTGCCCCCCCAAACCTGGTGGAGCACCTCCCCAATGTGCCCAGCTACCGCCCCCCAATCACCCGCATCCCTGTCCTCATCAACCGGAGGACGGCCTTGTCCAACTCCAGCTTCGCGAAGCAGACCAGGAGCTCCGTCCGCCGCCTAGGTAGTGTGACCTCGCCCGCCCAGCATGAGCGTGCCGTGATGTGTGCTTCTGCATGCCTTGGGCTGCTTCCCGCACGGCTGCCGTGGTCCTGGCATGGGATAACTAGTTGGGCTCATAGAAAACCACCCCCTCTTCCTCTGCTGATCAATGCCTTCATCTTGCTTTGTGCTGACTTGAGGGGTATTAGTCCCCTTCTCTCTGTGCCTCTAACTCGACAATTAGCAATTCATTTCTTTGGGTTAAATGTTGCTTTCTGCAGATCCTCGTTTTTTTATACAGGAAGTCACTCATATGCTAGTTTAAACAAGTCACTCAGATCTCCAGGCCAAGAGGCTTGGGCAGGGAGCTGGGACGGGGAAGAGAATAAATGGAGAGGAATGGAGCAGAAGAAGAATGTGGGGGCCCGTTGCAGACAGAGTCTACTGACCTTGAGAGTTTGCTGGGAGCTGGACTTTCTGAGGACTGTTGATATCTTCCCAGCAAATTCCACTCCAGGAAAGGAGAGGCCCCCAGGTGTCGACAGGCTGCAGGCAGAGAGGCGTCCTCAGGGCAATGCAGAGAGGGGGCCTGTCTGGAGCCATGTGATTGTGACAGGTCCCTGAGGTGGCCTGCAGGCTCCTGCTGCTTGCTGCCTGATGACAAGGTGCTCAAGGACAAATTGGGGCCTCTGGGCGAGCCTCTGTCACTTTCTGCTTTAACTCAACCCAGACCTGTCCACTTTCCCTTTTGATTTGTTTGTATATTTTTGGATGACCCTGGGCAAGCTTGCCTCTGGCATCAGTGGGCAGGTAGAACCGAACAGTGCATGTTGTCCTTCTCTCCCCTTCCCGGCTTGGGGTGGGCACAGAGTGGGGGTAAGGTGGCACGTGGCTCATCACTGTGACAAGGGGTGACACCCCAGGCTCAGTCTTCTGGGCAGGCCCTAAATCTACTCACTCCCAAGGCTCCCCCAGCTTCCATTCCCACATCTCCCCCCTCGATTTTTGCTATACTCTCTAGCAACCCTACTTTTATTTGCTTACTATCTTTCTTTCCATGGATTGTCTTTTTTATTTAATTAAATGTATTTAAACAGGAAACTTTACATTACCATTAAAATGAAAACCAGCATTGCTTGCCATCAGTAGAAGGCATACATAGAAATAACCACAAACACACCGAAAACAAAGTGGTGTTGATGCTTTCTGGTGAAAGACGGGCCACATCTGGGGCGGCGGTCCTGCCACAGAGGGGATCCACAGCGTCAGAGAGGTGTTAAGGCCGTGGCAGCATCAATCCGAGACTTCCTCTCTGCCTATTCCGGGTCTAGAGAGAACTGAAGCGGGAGGGATCTTCTCATTCTATCTTATCCTTTGTCTTGTCTGTGACATCTAAACCCACCTGTGTCCTCCCTGGTCCCCGGGAGCCCCACACTTTGAGAAATATTCCCACTGACACACTGGGACAGCAGACTGAATCAGCTGTGGTGTGACACACGGTGACTCTAGATGCTGCAGACAAGGCGATGACAGCGTGGAGGAAGGATGGTACTCCCATGTGAACGGTGCTCGTGGCGCCTCTGAGCTGAGGTTTTGTTTGGACAGAGGCCTGTGTGTGTGCTGCTCATCCCCCTCGGAATGGGGTAAGAGTTTAAGCTCTGGGTCCACATCCTGGCCCTGCAGCAAGTGTCATAACCTCTCTGTGCCTCGGTTTCCTGAGCCACAAAATGAGGACAACCACCACCACGACCTCAGAGAGCGGCCGGGAAGGTGAAACGAAGGAATATCTATAAAGCACGTAGAGTTCAGTGCGACAGATGCCCGGCAGGCACAGAGGAAGCGCTTAGCCGTAAACAGTATTATTCTCTAAACCAATTTAATCATACAGTCTTATTCTTTATATTTTTAATAGTATTATTCTACAAATCAATGAAACATAAACCAATATAATTTCTATTCTGAGTGCCCACTCTGCCAAGCTGGCGGGAAACAAGATACCAGACACTGGGGTTTCCCTCCTCCCCGGGGCGACGGGGGTTGCAGGGTCTTTCCCAGGGCAGGGCAGGGGTGAGGGGAGCAGCTGCCCCTCCCGGGTCCCTGAGACGGCCTCATGGATGGGGGACCAGGGCACTGTCAATGGCCCGGGGGCCACGCTGAGGCACCCTGGCCCTGAGCGTTTCTGAGCAGCTGCCCTCTTCCCTGCTGCCTCTGCTTGTCTTTTGAGGTCTCCCAGGAAGAGGGTCAGGCCCCTCGGCCTCAGCTCTCTCCTTCTTTCCACAGCCTGGGGCATCTCGTTAGTCTGGTGAAACTTCTTCCTGAAATTTTTTAAAACTTCTCGATTCCTGTTCATCCTCTTCCCCTGAGGGCTTAGGGTTTTAGTAAAAGAAACGCCAAAAAGTCTTGAGATCTGCTCAGATCCCCTCGGCCAAACTCTACCACGTGCTGGGTTTTCCCGTGATGGCCATTGAAAAAAAAGTCACATATCCAGGTGTTTCAAAGTGCTGCCCCCTCTCCATTTTGGGGGGTGTGCTGCTGCCTCGCTGGTGCCCAGGCCTGCGGCTGGCTGCTAGTGGGTGGTCCCACCTGGGCGTGGTGGGCACGGGGCACCATCTCAGCCCCTCAGCATCCTCTGAGCTCCTCCTCAGGGTGGACCTGACCCCACTGCCTGCCTGTCCTGGGGTGGGTAATGCAGCCTGAGGTTGGGCCACACTTGGGCTTCCCAGGGAGGACCCGATTCTCAGGATGTGGGACAGGGCGCCAGGCCTCCAGAGGCTGGGGGGGGGAGGGGTTTGGTTGATGAATTTTGGAGTGTCCTGGCTTGTACAAAAACAAGGAAATACCCAAACGGGTACCCAGACAGCGGTAACGCACACTCCAGAGACAGGCTGTGACCTCGATTGGAGGAAACCCCCAGATGTCTCCATCTGAGGCCCTCCCGAGCATAGGGCCACGTGCCCTCCTGCCCCACCTCCCCACAGGCCTGGCAAGGCATCAGCCCTCCTGCTTTGGGAGGGGGAAACTGAGGCCCAGAGAGAGAAGCAGCTGAGCCAGGCTGTGTTAGGCTAGGCCTTAGGACTTGGGCTCCCCCCGGCTCCTCATGTCCTCTCTCAGTGCTGCTCTCCCCGTCCCCCAGCCCTGGGGTCCTTGCTGCTTCTCCTGGCCCAGGGAAACCAGGCTGGGCTTTGGAAAACTGGACTCCAGGCTATGTCCAGGAGCTCCTGTGGCCCCATGGCTTCTTTTGTGGCTTCTGCACTGGTGGCTGCGGTGGCCTTGGCCCTCAGAGGGACCTGGACTCTGCATTCCTGCACGGACTGCATGGAGCTGTCCTGTGGGCCCCGTTGTGGGGCAGAGGCTGGCAGAGGTCCCCCCAAACACGCTTTCTGTGTCTTCCCTGGGGCCTGGCCCTTCTCTCTCTGACTCTGTCCTCTCCTCCCCCTCAAGTGCCCGGCACAGAGGAGCACCCGGAAGTGCAGGTGGAAGATGCCGATGCTGACAGCCAGCCCCTCATCGTGGAGGAGATCCCACCCTCCCCTGAGCTGCCACCACCTTCTCCTGCCAAATCCGACACCCTCACGGTCCCAGGCTCGGCCGCAGGCAACCACAGGTCACCCTTTATGCTTCTCTGGGCTTTTCACGGTACTGTGCCACCTGTCTACTTGGCAAAAGAGGCAACTGAGGCCAGAGAGGGGAAGCAGCTGGCCCAGGGTCACTCAGTGACTTGGTGTCAGAAGTGGGACTATGACCCCTGCTTCCTGGTTCCCCTAATTCCTGGCTTAGGGCTCTATAACGAGCTCTCCAGGAAGCTCTGTCTCAAAAACCCTCAAATGTACATTAGAATGGGGTAATAAATGTGACAGGCTAATTTCCACCCTCTTGTTTTATCATTAAATCATACAATGGACATACCAAATGGAAAAATACTGGAAAAATACTCACCCATAATCCTAGCACATCCGATACCTTGTCTATGGGCCCATGCTTCCGTGTGGTTTTAATTGGTGTGATTTGGATCACATCTCATTTGAGACCACATCTCATTTGTGAATCCTTTTCTGCATCGCTAGGCTGTCTTTTTAACACTCATTTATGACGGTTGCATGATATTCCTCCAGCTCTGTGTGCCAGAATGGACTTAAGAAATCCCCTCTTGCTGGACACTGTCCATCCAGTGCTGTGAACATCTCTTTGGTCTTCTGCTCTCTGCCCATGAGTTCCTTTCTCACAAGTGGGATTCCTGGTCAAGGTTGCACACATTTTTATGCCCTTGAGATAAATTTGTTGCTGCATCGGTAGAGTCGGTTTTGGACAACCTGAGCCAGGTAACTGAGAGCAGTCCTACATACAGCTGTAAGCAAGCTGTGAAGTGCAGTACAGTGCTTTGTGAATGACTATATTTAAGCTAAAGGGGAGCTGTCGGTGCTTCCCCTACACTGGCTGGATTAAGAGATGGTTCTTTTTTCTTGATTAATTTTTGCTCTCATCCATGAGCCCTTGAGTAATTTCTCAGCTGAGGTCAGGAGCCTGCCAGGGCGGACGAGATGGCTGGGTGTGGCAAACAGAGGGGCTCTCAGATTTTAATGTGGAGAAGAGTCACAATCTCACCCAGCCTCGGGACACAGCTCACAGCCCCATCAGTCCTCAAACTTAATTCATTGAATTATGCACAGAGTATACACAGCAGAAGAAATAGCAACACCATGGTTGCAGACATCTCGTCTACCTCCCTCTGTTCCCTTTGTAAGGGTGGGGGAACCGTACAGGCTGGGCTGAATGTGGATATTTGGGGGCAGGGAGGGGACCAGGATCACTTGGGACTAGACTCCAAGCCTCCTGCCTTCTGCTTATGGGCTGGGCCTGTGGGGCTCATCCCTTCATTCATTTATTCATTCGCAAACATCTATTGAACATCTTTATGAGCCAGGCTCTGAGCTCGGTGCTGGGGATGCATCAAGGGGAGGCCTGCCAGGGGCTGCCCTCATGGAGCTGCCATTCCAGTGGGGCTGAGATAGACAGTGAACAAGTAATTGAACAAACAGACTATTCCAGAGAGTGCTAAGTAGGATGCGACTGCGAGGAACTGGGGGGCTCTGCCTGAGCTTGGCCCCAGGAGGGGAGAGCCCTGATGCCTGACGTGAGAGGCCAGCGGGGCTCTGCCTGTGGTCAGGGATGGAATGAGCCCTGGGGGCGGCTGATGGGAGCCGAAAAACCACCACAACCTCAGGCCCTCACAGAGGGGCACGTGGGCAAGGCCCTGCTCACAGCTTGAGGCTGCGGTTTGGAGCCAATCCCAGCTCACCACTTACCAGATGTCAGGCTTCAGGGAAGTCACTTAACCTTCCTGGGCCTCCATTTTCCCGTTGTAAGATGGGGATAAAACACCGCCTGTCTATGTGGATGTTGTCAGGATTCAGGAGCTGCTGTGCATTGAGATGCTCCGCACAGGGCCGGGCACCAGGCGGTGCTGGGGGAGGGCAGCTGCTGACTCAGTTCTCTCTCTGGGGCCTCTGGGGCCGCAGACGCTCTCCAGGCTGCAGTGCAGGAGGACCTGGAGCAGGAGGACTGAGTTTGGGGTCCCACCTGTGGAACTTTTGGCCTCAGTCTTCTCGTGCATGGTCATCCTTTTAATTAGAGTGTGAAAGAGGTGAATCCATGGGTGTAGCCATCTTAGGCGAGTTGGCAGAAGGGGATAGAGTAGTTTCAGAACCTTCTGGAATAAAGGCAAATGCTGCACGTCCGTCCCTCTGTATCCCTCCAGAAGCCCTAGTGGAGGAATCCTGATCACAGAGGTTGAGGATGGAAGAGTGCCGGGGGGGTCCACACCCAGACACCCTCCAACAAGATGCTAGTCCCTCCAGAGGCCGCCCCCCGGGCAGACTTGGAGGAATGGTGGGGACCCTGGGGATAACTGAATCTTCACCCTTCAGATAGGGACCCTGCAGCTCCGGGGGGATGGGACCTGCCCCAGGTCACACCACGAGCTGGAGACTGGGCTCCATGGCCCAGGAGGGTTTTCTTTTCCAGCCAGAAGCACATCTGCGAAGGGAGGGAGGCGGAGCTTCCAGGACAGCGAAGCCCTCAGGCCTTGTCCAGTAGCCGGAAGGTGGTGTGATAGAGACCGGAGGGGGGAGACGAGCTGGCTAGGGCAGCGACTTTAGACTCGGGGGGGAGGGGAGGAGGACATGTAAGCTGCGACCCGGCTGAGTGATGTGTCTCATTTAGTGGCGTAGGTTTAGTCCCATTCTACGGAGGGGGACACTGAGGTGGCTCAGAGAGTTTAAGTAACCTGCCAAGGTCACACACTGGGAAGACGCAGGGCTGGGGTGCAAGCTCGGGTTTGCCTGATCCCAAGTCAATGCCATTATTTTCACGCTAGGCCGTTGGACAGATGTGGAGATTGAGGTCCAGAGAGTGGCTATGCCCCTCTGTTCTCCCTTCTTGTCTCCCTGCAGGCAAGTGAGGACCCTTTGGCAGCACCATCTCCCACCCAGGATTCATTCGGCTCTGGGTGACGTGCAGGGCACAAAGCCAGTCTGCTTCCCCCTGGGGCCCCTGCCCTCGCTAAAGGCCCTTCCACGTCTGTCCTTGCAGGAAGGTGCTGCCCTCCCAAGATGATGAGGCTGAAGAGCTCAAGGTGCTGTCACCAGCTGAGTCCCCCGTGGTTGCCTGGTCGGACCCTGCCACCCCGCAGGGCACTGAGTGAGTGGGAGCCACCTGTGGGGTCTCAGAGAGTCTGAAGGCGGGGTGGGGATGGGTGGGTGAGGGGAGGTGAGTGAGGGGGAGTGGGATGTTTTTAGCACTCTCCACCACGAGGCGGACTTGGCCAGTGGCTTCCCAGCAATAAGACACGGGTGGGCCTCCCGCCCGGGTTCCCTCTGGCTGGCCCAGGAGTTCTGCAAAATCTGCAGAATGGGCTTGAACTCTGCACCAGCCGTGTTCAGAACCACAGGCAGCGGGCCCCGGGGACCCCACCGCATTACAAGGTCCCCAGGTGGCTGGGATACAGCTGGTCTGTGGGACGATGTTTAGAGCCTTCTGCGAGGGCACTGGGACCTGGGTCTCTGACATCTAACCGTCCTACGGGCTGGGCCAACGGAGATGTTTTCCTGAAGAGTCTGAGGGGTTCATTGATGGTGAAGCCTCCAGCCCTGGGCTCTGGGACCCCCATCCCGCTCCCAACCGCAGCTCCTGGCACGGCCGCGGGAGACACTCAGCTTTTCTTCCAGTCTTTTTTCCTATCCATAATTTTTTGGAGTTTATGTTTAACAGAGTTGTGGAAAGTTCCGAAAAGTTAAAGAAGCAGGAAAAAAATCTGAAGCTCACCCCTAGTCCATGGTCCATTGTAGCACATGGTGGAGTCACATCTTACATAGTAGGGGAGGGCTAGGGTTAGGGGTTCATATCAGAAAATAAGGCAGAAATCAGGTATAATAACAAAATTCACCCTTGAAAACTCTTAAGGAGGTCCACGTGGAGAGAGCTACGTATTAGCTAGGGAGGCTGAGCCGCTGTAACAAATAGACCCCAAAGATTCAGTGGCTTGGGAACAGAAGATGTCTCATACGTCATGATCATGTCACTAATTGCATGTTTTAGGTCGGTAGAAGGCTCTGCTCCATGCAATCATTTAGGGACCCAGCTGACAGCACCTCTGCCACCTTCATGTGGCTTCCAAAATCCCACTGGTCACCAGTGGAAAGGGAAAATGCCAGGCCAGTCTTCAATAAGGAGGCCCAGGGTTACCTGTGTCATGTCCACTCACAGTCCACTGGTGAGAGCTCGCATGGCAACACCTGGGGAATGTTGTTCGCGGCCAGGTGTCCACGTCCCAGAGACCACTCCCCACAGGAGAGAACCAATGTGGGTGAGCAGCTCGTGTCTCCACCACACCCGGGAGCCATCTCTCATTAGGACCCCCACACTGGTGGTCTCCAGCCCAGCTTCCTCGACTGAGCACAGGAGGAGTAGCTGGCTGGAGTTTGAGGGCCTTGATGTAAGAAAAAAAAATAGATCCATAAATGCTAGTATTGCACTCAGCTCAGCGAGATGATCACAGTGAGGCCACTTTGGGGAGAGCCGTTCACACAGCGGGTCTCAACTCCACAAGGGCCCTAACCCCACGCTGAGTGGGGTGTCAGGCAGACTCTCACCCATTCTCTCTATCTGTCTGCCTGTCTCTCTTGTTGTGAGTGCATGCAGTTTAAATTCCTATGAGTTAAAAGGATATACAATGTATCCTCATGGTTTTTCCACCAGTTATTTCCTCAGCCTGAGAAAGCAGCTGCGTCCACTCTCTGATCTGTCCCACTTACCTCACGTGAACCCCAAACTGGGCCTAACGGCCTGGAACTGGGTTCCAAGAGTTTCTCCGTGAATGACAAGTGGGATCGAAGTTTTTTCGGAACTGCCTGTCTGAATCAGAGCCTCCGGGGTTCATTCTCTAAAAGCTGCGCCAGAGGCCCCGGGCGTGGTTCCCAGCCCGAACTGTCTCCTGGGAGACAGTGAGTTAGGGTTGATGTTTCTGACCTCAGGGGGAAACAGGGGGCCTTACCTCCTTCGGGCTGGGTGGGATGCAGACCCTGTTAGCTCTTGCCAGGGGCACAGAGGTCCCGTCCACGCAGTCTGCTCAGCTTTGGGCGGTGTGTCCTCAGTGACCAGGACCGCGCGGCCTCCACGGCCAGCCAGAACAGCGCCATCATCAACGACCGGCTGCAGGAGCTGGTGAAGCTTTTCAAGGAGCGGACAGAGAAGGTGAAGGAGAAGCTCATTGACCCCGACGTCACCTCCGATGAGGAGAGCCCCAAGCCCTGTGAGTCCAGAGCTGGGCATGGTCCACCCAGTGGGGGGGTGGGGCCCTAATGCCCCCTGTCACGTCATGGTGGGAGTGACCCCAAGGAAATGGTCGGGGTGCACAACGGCAGCCAGATCCCCACTCTCTGGCTTCTGGGTCCCATACGTACAGGACCCTGGGGAGGGAAGAAGGTCAAAGTTCTGACCAGTGATCCCATTGTACTTGGCTCCCCCTCCCACAGGGCAAGTCCCCTCATAGACCCTTCTGCCCCTTTCCCATGGGCTGGCAGGTGGTCACTATGGGACGGGACGTGTCTCATGGTCGTACACTCAGATGGTGTCCATAGTCCACTCTGGGAATAGACAGTCTTATTTTTCAAAGGCCCCAATTGCAATATTCTTATGGGGCTACCTGTAAGGTTTCTGCTTTCATGGTCCCAGGAGGAAATAAGAACCGTGGTCTTACCAGGGAGGTTTTCTAGGTCTTTCCAAAGGAGGGCTATGCCTTCGAACTCTTGGTGCTGACAATGGACCTAGCAGAGCCTGACTTCACAAGCCTAAAGCTAGAAACTAGCATATTGAACCTATGGGAGCCAGTCTCTAGGTCACGAGCAACATCGCCATAGGTGTGCAGGAAGGCTGTGTCCCCATTCCACGTCTTGTTTTAGAGATAAAGGAGCTGAGATTTCTGCTCTGAAAATGTAGAGCAATGTTTTCCTGATTCCTGGCCCTGGGTGATGGAAGTCCTGGGTGTGAAATGCTCCCATCCCGCAGAGGGAACCAAAGGGGTCCAAACAGACACACAAGCAGATGCTCAAGTTGGAAACATCCAACTGGCCCAGAAACTCCTCGTTTGGGGCAGCTCCTGAGAAGCAGTTCTAGACCGGTAGCTGGTAATAGTTTCTGGGCAGGCACCCAGGTCGCTGTTCACGACGGAGCTGTGGGGTTTGTTCCGGGAGAGCACCGGGGTTTCCGCACACAGGGCTCCCAGCAGGTTGCGGGACGGCGCCAAGGTCCCCCTCAGCTCTGGTTCCAGCGTCTGTCGTTTGCAGCCTTCTCTCTGCCTCCTCCACCTGAGCCTCAGGGCTGGGTCAGATGCTCACCACCTTCATCCCACAGCCCCAGCCAAGAAAGCCCCAGAGCCGGCCCCAGAAGCGAAGCCGGCAGAGGCGGGGCCGGCGGAGGAGGAGCATTACTGCGACATGCTCTGCTGCAAGTTCAAACGCCGCCCCTGGAAGAAGTACCAGTTTCCCCAGAGCATCGACCCGCTGACCAGTGAGTCCCGGGCGGGCAGAGGGCATCGCCACCGTGTCCTATGAGAGGGCAGGAGAGGGAGACGGGGGGAGGGAGTGCAAGAGGTAGGCTGGGAGGCCACAGATGTCCAAGGTTTGTGACCCAAAAGAAACAAACAATTCCCTGGAATAGGAACATAAGATCACACCCATCTCACAGACAGGGAAACTAAGGCACAGAGAAGTTAGCTGGCCTAAAGACACAACGAGTGATGGCAGACCCAGGCCTCCTGACTCCTGGCCCAGTCTGTTTTCTGCTCTGCTCTTACGGGCCCCTTCCTGGAGCTGCTGCTCTGAGCAGAAAAGGGAATAAGTTCCTCCAACCTCCAAAGTGAACTCCTCTGGCTTCCCTTTTAGCCCATGTTATATTCCTCGGGAATAACAACCTTCCACATGTGCACGGCGCTTGACAGTTTACGAAACACCTCCCTGCCCTTCTTATCTGACCTCTCCTTGTGACTTCTCTGAGGGGGGCACGGCAGGTGCCGCGGGGACTCTCCCAAGGTCACACGAGAAGTCATTTGGGGGGCAGGACTCCAGCCCTCGTGTCCGCTGTTCCTCTAAAATGACAAGTCACCTATGGTATCCATCCATCCATCCACCTGTCCATGTATCCATCTGTCTGTCCTCTATGCATTGTTTACTATTGTGTATTTACTAAGGCAGAAAAGACGTTTTTGGAAAAATTCAACAAGAAAGAGAGCAAAAGTGTTTCCTAGTTAGTTGTCTATTATCTAATAACACCGCCATATCCCCTCCTCAGAATACTCTGATTTATTAGAGCCTAGGGGTGATTTATGTTTAAATCAAAGATAGTTTTATGGTCCCCCATGCCCCAGCCCCAAGTTACAGAAGGGCCACATACAGCGTTCGTAGGAAAGTGCAGGCAGACAGGTGGAAAGAAGGAAGCCCCACTCTGACCCCACGGTGAGGAGCCCGCTCCGCTGATGTTCCAGCACATTCCCGCCCCTCCCTCCCTTTCCACAGACCTGATATACATCCTGTGGCTGTTCCTCGTGGTGCTGGCCTGGAACTGGAACTGCTGGCTGATTCCCGTGCGCTGGGCCTTCCCCTACCAGACGCCAGACAACATCCACCTCTGGCTGCTGATGGATTACCTGTGCGACCTCATCTACTTCCTGGACATCACCGTGTTCCAGATGCGCCTGCAGTTTGTCAGAGGAGGGGACATCATTGTGAGTCACAGGCAGGAGGAGGGGTGGCCGGGGGGCAGATCCTACAGCCCGAGCCTTCAGGGGACCGACCCCTGATGCTGTGATAGACAGCAAGATAAATGAGCAAGGAAATCTCCGGAACGTCTGCCTGTGCTTTGTTCAATAACACGGTACCCTTGATGTATTCAAATTATCCACACAAAGTATTGCTCAGGAGCGAAATGGCTCCGGGGTCACCTGATGGAATTAGAGACGGAGAAGCGGTCCGGAGAAGGGCCTTTAGTGAGGGTGCACCTGGTTCAACCCGTGGTCGACCACAACTAGCTGTATCGCCTCTCTGAGCCTCAGTTTCCTCATCTGTACAATGGGGATAGTAATTCTTCCCACCTCGGAGTCTTGCCGTGAGGATGGATTGAGGTGATGTCTGCAGGGTGCTCAGCACAAGTAACTGCTGGCAACTGACATATCCTGGGGGTCCTGCAAAGAGCCCACTACACTTACCAGAGAGGAAACTGAAGCCCTGACTGTGACTTGGCTGAAGCAGGAGACGCAGTCTTCGTCTCCTTGTGCAGGTCACTTACCACCCCGCCCCCCGCCGCCCCTCCGCTCCGCCGCCCCTGCCCCTGCCCGGCAGAGCCTGCTCTCCTGTGTACCGACAAGCGGAGGTTGTGCCTCTGAAACAATTTAGAGCAAAAAGCATTCCTGGCCCGCTCAGAGCAGTAACCAGCTCCTCAGTAAATGAGGTTGCCAATAAGCTCAACATCCTGCTTTTCGTCCAAGAAATCAGACTCTAGCTGGATGACCTTGGACCACGCCCTCCCCGCTGGGGGCTGGACCTCCCCACCTGTAGCCCCGCCCCCAGGCTTGCACCGAAGCCCGGCTGGTCCACTCGGGGCGTCCGTGGGGCTGTTACTCTGATAGGAAGGCGGAAGTTCTGCGAGATTTTCCATCGCTGCTCCCACGGGCTCAGGCACTCAGCTCTCGGGCCATTTCACGGTCGTGACTTTATTTTCCTCCAGACGGACAAAAAGGAGATGCGCGACAACTACCTGAAATCCCGCCGCTTTAAGGTGGGTGCAGCGGGCACAGGCTTCCGCGGGGGCTCGGGAGGTGGGGGCTCTGGGGCGGGGTGATGCGGCCCCGCCAGGACCGCGCAGGCCGGGTGGCCAATCAGAGGCTTGCTGGCTGGAGGCCTTCCGCCCCCAGTTCTAGGCGCTCCTGGGCCTTTCCATTGAAGGGGGAGACCCCCGCGCCCCGTCGCTGCCCCACCCCAGCCCCGCGATGACTAAGTTTTCCTCTCTCCGCTGTCCCGCCGGATTCCAGATGGACGTGCTCTGCCTCCTGCCCTTGGACTTTCTCTACTTGAAATTCGGGGTGAATCCCCTCCTGCGCTTGCCCCGCTGCTTGAAGGTGAGACAGTGGGCTCCTCCTACGCCGCCTTCGGTTCCTCCCTGCTCTGCAGCAGCACTGGCCCCCTAATGGCTGCCCCGAGCAGCCCTGGGGAGTGGGAGGTGTCGGGGAGTGGTGGCCCGGGGCGACATAGGAAGTTGCTTACGCTGGCTAGGGGTCCTGTGGTGCTGTGTGTTAGGTATTGTTCCGGAGGCTTTACAAGTGCTTACTCCTCAATCCCATGCAGTGAGCGTTGTTAGAACCAGCATTTTACAAATGAGAAGTCTGAGGCAAAGAGAGGTTAAGTAACTTGCCCAAGGTCACACAGGTAGGAAGGAGTGGAGTCCAGATTTGAACCCAGGCAGTCTGTCTCCACTGTCTGAGCTTTCAGTAACTATAGAGACTTTCGAGAGAGGGACTTCTGCTTTATGATGGTCTGCATCCAAAAGATGGGGAAACCGAGACTTGGAAAGCTTGGGTGACTTGCCCAAGGTCACAGGAGCCAGGAAGTGCCCGGGAGGGATTTGAATGTGCAGCCCCGACACCTGTTTTATCGTTGGTTGTTGCTCACTGTCATTACAGCCCTTCCTCCTGCCACTAGGGCAGAGCTGGTGTCCCAGCAAGGGTGACCCAGTGTGGAGTGGAGACGTGGTCACTGTTTTTTAATGAGACCAGCGTGGACAACCAGTCGGAGCACTTGGGATCCCCCAAATCAATTTTTCTGGCCGACCCATTAAATTCCTCTCTCTCCTTCCGTGATGGCTGATGCCTCTCCCCTAAAACGGTAATGAGGGAATTTGCAAAAGAGGCCAACGCAGTAAGCTTAATAACCCGGAGACACGGGGAGGAGAAAGAAAGGAAGAGCGCAAGTACCCCAGGAAAGAAAGCACAGCTTGCTGGAATTGAGCACGGAAGCTGCTTCTGAGCTTCCTGGCTGCCAAGGGGAAGGGGGAAACTGGAAGTGGCACCAGTCTTGGCTGATGCGGGCCAGCCTCCTGGGGCTGCAGAGGTTGCTTTAGAGCCCAGCGTCGGAGTGAGTAAGGTTGGATCCACAGGCCGAGTCTCACTCCCAGTGCAGAGGTGGGATCCACATCTCGGTTCACGTGGTGGTAGTGAGCGTGCGTCACGCAGGCGCCTAGTGGTTAGCACGAAATTCTTTGAGCCCAAAGTGAGGGATCCGAGTCCACGGTCCTTCTGTGTCCTGTGCCAACTCTGGACGGAAATTAGAATGAACACCGGGGCGATCGCTGGCGTGTCTCTTAGGAAATCTTCATCCATTCATTTTCGAATATCGAACAACACGTGTGCAGAGATTTAAAGGTGGAGTAGCATAATGAAAAGAGCTTGTGGTTCTCAGTCCAGTCTGGTTTGAATCTCTGTCACTTACCAGCTGTGTGCTTTGGGCAGATTACTCAACTTCTCTGACTGGCAGTTTCCTCTCTGTAGAAGGAGAACAATAATACGGGCCTCATGTGTGGATAGGGGGTAAGGCAACGTGTGCAAATTGCGGGCATCAGAGGTGCTTGCTAAAGAGGAGTTATTGTTATACTTTTATGATTATAAATAAGCCTTTGGCGGATACAAGTTAGGGCTGTGAGGGATGCTGTTTCTTATAAAACTGTTTATTTTATAAGTAAACATTGAAAACAGGGTCTTTTAACCTGGGACCCACATAGCCCTAACGTTTCATGATAGGATTCAGAAGGTCCAGGAGACCCTGAGATTGTAAATGCTCCTCCTCCAGCTGCTCGCACCGGGGCTGCAGAAAGAGCCCTGGGTCCTGGTGCCCGTGGGGAGGGGCCGGGCAGGCGAGGGCGGCGGCCACCCCCAGACAGCAGGCCGCCCTGACACGTGCTCTTCCTCCCAGTACATGGCCTTCTTCGAGTTTAACAACCGCCTGGAAGCTATCCTCAGCAAAGCCTACGTCTACAGGTGAGACCGCCTCTCTCTCTCACACACGCATGCACACACACGCACACGCACGAGGCAGGACGTTTGCAGCCAGGCATGCTCTACCCACATCGCTTCTCCTTTCCAGCTACCCTGGCCCCCTCGCCACCGGAAGCCTGACCTCTTCCTGGCCCTTCTCCGAAGGGATGTTTGCTTTTTAGAGAACCAGGAATGTCCCATTTCCCCCAATTGTGAGGAGGGCATGAGTAGGTTGACACGCACGGCTCCCCCTCATTTCCAGGGAGGCTGGCCTCATTTTGGCCTCAGCTCAGGGAACTGACCCCCTCAGCTGCTCAGACATAGGGGGAATGGATGTATGGACCGTCAAACGGACATCCGAGGATGGGGTGCAAGACCAACCAGGCCACTTGTGGGGACAGGCTCCTCTCCACATCTTTCACGGAGTGGCCCTTCTCTGCATGCGTCTGTCCCTTCTTTGCCCCTCTCGGCTCCTCCACTCCCTTGGAACTGTCCCTGCAGGTAGCTTTGTGCCACTGCCAGCCCCTAGTCTTGGCAACTTTCCATCCAACGCCACCATTCCTGACTGGCACAGTCTCAAAGAGCATCCGGTGGGCCCCGTCCAGCCACTGGCTGGTTCCCATCGGCCAGGTGTCCCTCCAGCCGGGCAGAGCCATGTAGCTCCAACAGGGAGACCTCTGAAGTGGGCATCCGGGGAGTGAGATCTGGCCCGCTGCCTGCAGTCCTGACCCCTGGGGGAGATGTCACAGCTGCCCATTCTGCTGCTGTGCTCACGGCTTCCTTCTCCTGCAGGGTTATCAGGACCACGGCCTACCTGCTCTACAGTCTACACTTGAACTCGTGTCTGTATTACTGGGCATCCGCCTATCAGGGCATCGGCTCCACGCACTGGGTTTACGATGGCGTGGGAAACAGGTGAGCTACAGTCCTCCTCCTGGGGCCACAATTCACGGGACAAAGGCTCCAAGAAAGGAGGCCACCTCTCTCCCCAGGAGCCACTGGCGTGGTAAAGTTCCAGGACCAAGTCTCCAGGTCCTGTCTAAGCTAACACTTCCTGAGCACCTGCCACATGCCAGACAGAGGGGGCGCAGACATGAACAGGACCTCCTAGAAAGACCCTTTCAGCATCCTAAAGTCTAGGAGAGTTGGCCAGTTCACCTCACATGTGCGTCCCCTGCTCTACCCCACGGGCACAGCCGAGTGGGAGGGAAGCTGGAGGATACTTCTCAACACAGCTCCCCGGGCATCACCAGCCCGCGAGGGAGGAGCTGGCGCACAGGTGAAACCTACTTGCTGATCCAGGGAGCTGCCCTTCTTTGTGGGGCGTGCTCAAGTGATGATGATGATGGCGGTGATGATAATAATAATAATAGCAGTGAGCATTGGAGGACACTTATTATGGACCAGTCCTGTTCTGAGCACCTAACATAGTAACTCGCTTAACCCTCCCAACAGTGACACGAGATGGTTTCTGTCATCACCCCCATTTTACAGATGAGGCAACAGCTGGGGAGTGACTCCCAAGGTCACAGGGTTCATAAGTTAGAAAGCTGGCATTTGAACCCAGGCAGCGTCGCTACAGGTTAACGCTCTGCATGGTGCTGTAGAGGGGTGGCGGAGGTGGCGGGAGATGGCCACTTCTGAAAAGTTAAGTTTGATCTTGACCTTGGTAGGTGGAGAGAAGGGGCAGAGGATCTGGGGGGCAGGGAACGGCGTGAATAAAGGGGCAGAGTTGCAAGATAGTGGAGTCCAGGAGCTGTGAGCAGCCCTATGACCGGAGGGGGCAGGTGTGTGGAAGGATCTGGAAAGGCAGGCAGGGCCGGGTCCCCGAGCAGCCTCCCCATCTGAGAAGCTGGAAGCTCGCCTTCTAGAGCTGCGCTGTCTGATGCCGTGGCCACCAGCCAGGCGGGCTGCCGAGGACTCGCCATGCGAGCGCCACCGAGACATGCAGGAGGCGCGAGACACACGTGGGACTCGGAAGATGTGACAAAACGTGCAAACCATCTTACTGTTGACTTTAAAAATACTGGTTACACGTTGAAATGACATGAATTTTGATATTTTGGGTTAACTAAAATACATCATTGAAATTAATTTCACCTGTTCCTTTCACTTTTCAAAAATATATCTGCTACGAAACTTGAAGGTACACACATGGGTCCATTGTGCCGTTACTGGACAGCGCTGCTCTAGATGCCGGGGACCAGCCAGGGTTTCTCGTCTGCTGCTCCTTGTCTGATTACGAGAGAAAGATCAGGAACATACTCCCCTCTCCTATGTTACTTTGATTCTAAGATGCAGTCAATTATATGACACATTATTGAGTCAACACAGCTTTTTAGAAAAAAAAGAAATGTTGCCCTAAATGTACATATGGATCGTAAGATAATCCCAATTTTAGAAATGTGGAAAAATATGTCACCAATAAGGAAATAGAATAATATAATATTGTGCATATTTTCCCATCATTAAATTTTGAAAACCACAATGTTGATACCCACCATACAGATACTCCACCGTTTATCTAGCCATTTTCTTATCATTGGCCACTTAAGATGCTTCCAGGTTTTCGCTGTGACACATGATGCTGTAGTGAACATCTGCATAGATGAGCCTTGTCCTCTCTCCCCATAAGAAATTCCTAAAGGGGCATGGCAAGGCCAAGGGTCTGAACATTTTTTTTTTAAACTTCTTTTTTGGTGAGGAAGATTGGCCCTGAGCTCACACCGGTTGCCAATCTTCCTCTCCCCCCTCCCCCCCAAAGCCCCAGCATATAGTTGTATATCCTTGTTGCAAGTCATTCTGGCTCTGCTATATGTGACACCACCACAGTGTGGCTTGATGAGTGGTGTATAGGTCTGTGCCCAGGATCCAAACTGGCAAACCCTGGGCCGCCGAAGTGGAGCACACAAACTTAACCACTTGGCCACGGGCCCAGCCCCTGAACATTTTTAAAGTTTTGAAAAATTAACATTATTTTCATGAATGGAGTATTTTCTTGGAGCAGTTTTAGGTTCACAGAGCAGTCCACTGGGCAGTGCAGAGAGGTCCCGGAAGGCGCCTCCCCTGTGTGCTCGCTGCGTCTCGGGAGCTGCCCCGTTCACCCTCTCACCCCCTGCCTGTCAAAGCCGTTTAGGCCAGAGGATGACAGGGTGCAGGGGGGTCTCAAAAGGTGACTCTCACGATGATGGCTGATGGGAGGATGGACTGGGGAGGACAGGCAGGAAGCAGGCGAAGTGGTCGGAGGGATGCCGGTCTGTCTGTTAGAACAACAGAGAGGCCAAGACAAAAAGTTTTCGGGATCAGGGGGCGGGAGGGCGGCGCAGGAAGGAGACAGGAAGCACGTGGGGTCAAGATCAGGGTTGAGCCTGGAGATTCAGGGCGCAGGCTTTAGCGACAGGAGGCCAGGGTGTGAGTCCTGGAGCTGCCACCTGCTTGCCGTGGACAGGTGACTTCTGTCCTCTGGGTGTGTGTCCTGACCTGCAAATGGTACTGATGACGGGCCCCCCCACAGCGTGAAGAGGGAAGCCGTGAGGATTAGGTCTGAGTCACTGGTCCAGTGCCAGGCCATAGCAGGTGACGTGGGGGAAGAGTCCAGGGGGTCAGTTAGTCACCTCAGGGGGGCCCTGCCTCGCCCTGGGAGGTGCCCAGCAGTGACGCAAAGTGTTCTCGGTCTAGCTGTCAACACCTCCACCTCCTCTGAGCAGTGGCTTCCAGGCTGCCCTGGAGCGGGCGGTGGCTCGTGTCCGAGGTGGCCTTTTTGTAGTGTGGTTGTTCATCCACAATGTGCCGTTCTCAGTATGATGCCCCATCCTCGGCCACAGCGGCCATGACTGTCGCCTTCTGCAATGGGCCTGTGGCCTGAGGGCGGCCACCCCTGTATAGAGATGTCCAGAGGACAGGCAGCCTGGGCGGGCAGGAGGTGAACCCTGACATCCATCGTGGGGTGCAGCATGTCGGGCCGGGGTCCGGTCCCTGCCTCGCCACTGGCGCTGCTCCCTGTTCCCCTCGGCTGAGCCCGTGTGCAGCCCTGCTCCTGAGCCCACGGCTAGATCATTCCTTCCTTCCTTCCTTCATCCCCTCCCGAGGGGGCGGAGAGGACTCAAAGCCCCCTTCTAAGCAAAGGGACAAACAGAAGCTAGTCTTGCTCTGTGACCTCGGGTTGGCCTTTACCCTTGCTGAGACTCGATTTCCCCATCTGCACCATGGGGGTGGTGTCACATTTGGATTTCTTGTGATAAAAAATACACACATGTGTAACACATCCAGCCGGTGCCTTGACTGGAGTCAGTGACCCACTTCCTAGCTAAGGCCATTCTTATGGAGAAGCCGCCATACCAGACAAGGGGCTCCTAACCGGGGTCCAGAGATTGAAGGGAGGCAGAAGCCCCCCCTAGAAATTGGAGCTAACTTTTGAGAACATGTTGGTTTTCCTAAGGAGAAGGTTCTTAGCTTTCCTCAAAGGGGTTTGTACCCCAAGAAGCTAAGAAGCCACATCCTGGGGCCGGGCCTGGCGCCCCCATCGTGGGTGGGCCTGGGAAGGAATGGAGAGCCGGGAAGGGAGAAGACAGGGGACGCGGTCGGGGACCTCCTCCTGCAAGGCCCTCTCAGAGCCCTCGCCTCTCAGCGGGGGAGGGGCACACTTTCTTGGCAGCACATTTTTTTCCAAATGAAGTCTATGGAGAACCCCAATATATGGAGAAGTCACGAGGAGCAAAGCAGGATTCCTCTAGAAGTCCAGCATCGCAGATAATAGCTTTCTAAGTAGTGGCCGTTTGTGGAGTGCCTCCCTTGGGCCAGCACTTGAGAACCCGAGTTCCTACACATCTGGGTCCCTCATCCTGCTCTGCTTCTGCCCAGCCTGGCCATGCAGGGGTCCCCTAGAGCCAGTGGCACGGAAGACACAAAGACTTCAGGGAGGCACCAAGACGCGCCATGCCAATGGAAGAGTCCTCCAACCAGGAAGGGCTGGGGGAAAGCCGGAGGTGTGGGGACGTTGCTCAGGTCTTCCATCTGTTGGTGGCCCAGCAGCCCCCACACCCAGCTCCCAGGCGGCACCCAGCTCAGTCCCACTAAAGGCTGCTTCGAGCGCCCTCTCGTGGCCAGGACCAGTATGGCGGGGGTCTGACCCAGCAGGCCTGCGCCGTGCTGAGAGTTCTGTGCACCAGGTGGTATGAGCTGCAGGCTGGCCAGAGCCCTGCCCAAGGCCTTGCAGGGGATCAGAGGCAGAGCCCCCCAACAACCTCTATGCCCCCACCCACCGCTCATTGTATGTTCACCTGTCTGTCCCCACTAGACAGTGAGCTTCTTGAGGACAAAGGCGAGTCTGTTGCACTGCAGGCACGTGGCAGGCGCCAGTGACATTCACCGAGAGCCCAGCATGTGCCAGGTGCTCTTCTAGCACCTCATGTCCTCCTCGTGCCCACTCTGTGAAGGACGTTCCGCTGCCATGCCCATCTTAGGAGAGGGAGGCTGAGGTCACGCGGCTAGAAAGTGGCAGAGCTGCGTGTGAGCCTAGGGGGTCCCCCAGCTCCAGAGCCCAGGCTCTAACTGTGATGCTGCATAACTGGCAGGTGCACGGAGCCCGGGGAGGACCAGGTGAGGGTCGTCCTCAGACCGGATGATTGCCACCAGGGTGATGTTCTCAATTTCAGAGCTGAGCAGGGACCCTGGAAGCGTGGGTATATCAGGACACTGATGTGGTTTCTGTGTCCACAAACCCCTGGCAGGAGGACAGGAAGGCCAAGGACAGCTGGCTGGGATTGCCCCCTCTCGCACCCCCGCCGACCTCGCCCTTCACTGACCCTGGGAGGGCACAGCCTGAGGGTGTGGACAGGCTATGAGGGACTCTACCTGCTTTGTGACAATGAGACTAGCTCGGGGCATTTCCTATGCCTTTTACCACACAGCAGGACCGCATCCCCCATCCATCCCTTCCTGTGTCCAGGGGTTACCGAGGGCGGTGACAGCTCAGAGAAGCTGATGACGCCCTGGGTTCTAGTCTTGGCTCTGGAACTTGCCAGCTGATGGCCATGGGTGTTCCTTTTCCCTTTGGGGGCCTCAGTGTCACTATCTGGAAAATGGGTGGGTGTGGGGGAGGGTCAGAAAAGGTAGTCTTCAAGATATCTTCCAACTTGATGTTGCTCTTGCTTTCCATGAACCAGCATGGCAGGACAGCAAAGGAAAGCGTGTGGAAATGGGAAGAATGTTGAGGGAAATGGAGGAAACCCAGGCATCAGGAATCAGAAAGTCGGATTTCGAGCAGTCTCCTGAAGCCTCAGTCTCCACATCTGTAAATGGGGACGATGACATGTCCCTCCAGGGCTGGGGCAGAGCTGTGACCAGGCCAGATAGATCTGCGACCATGCTCTGCGGCCTACAGAGTGCTCTGCGGCAGTGGGAGGCTGTTTTTCTTGCACTTAGGGACTGTAAATGGTTTTCGTTTTTGCACAATGAACATCTGTCAGAGCCGGGCCACCCAGGGACGGCAGGGTGGGGCCTGTGATGACTGGGGTCCCCTTTCTCTTCCCTCCCTAGTTACATTCGCTGTTACTACTGGGCTGTGAAGACTCTCATCACCATCGGCGGGCTCCCCGACCCCCAGACGCTCTTTGAAATTGTCTTCCAGCTGCTGAACTATTTCACGGGCGTCTTCGCTTTCTCTGTGATGATCGGACAGGTGGCTGGGTCTCTAGTCTGGTTACCCCTCAACCTGCCTGCAGGGCCCACTGTCTCCCACTGCTGCCAGGAGGGTCCCCATCTGTGCCCATTCCTTTCGGACTAAGCCCGGGAAAGAGCACTGGACCTCGAGTCAGGAGCCTGGAGCTCTGGGACCCGCTGGGTGAAGGCGGTGGTGGAGGTCCCTCTCTTAGGTCATTTGCCATTTGAACTGTCAGTCCCCTTGGGATGTTTGGGAGAGCTGGGCTGAATGGCTTTCTGCAAAGGCTGAGGGTGTGGGCTGCTCCCATGGAGAGAAACCCCTGGGGGTTGCTAATGTGCTGGGGACGCAGCTCACATTACAGTCAGTGCAGGAGGTGACCATCAGTGGTCCTAGGCATTACCTTTGAGGGGCCCTACCCCGAGGAGCAGCACACTGGGTTCACATATCCTCCAGCGTGAGGTCAAAGTGGCCTCTGGCACCGAGGGGCCACCTTGTGCCAGAATCAGCCCGGCTCCTGTGTGGCCCCAGGGACCTGAGGCCACCAAGAGGCCAGCAGCCTCACTCCTCCCATCTGACGTCCTCGCTGGAGGCAGGACGTCCCCTATCAGCAAAACCCCTGCGTGTGGACATGGATCTCTCCGCTGATCTCCCCCACCCCCGGAAGCGCGCCCCCCTGGTCTGTGTAGAGCAGATGTAAAGCCCATTGCATGGCCCCACTCTGACCCAGCGGCTTCCTTGCCCTTGTCCCAGATGAGAGACGTGGTGGGGGCCGCCACTGCGGGGCAGACCTACTACCGCAGCTGCATGGACAGCACGGTGAAGTACATGAACTTCTACAAGATCCCCAGGTCCGTGCAGAACCGGGTCAAGACCTGGTACGAGTACACCTGGCACTCCCAAGGCATGCTGGGTAAGACCCGCCCCCTGCCACCAGCTCCCCCTCGACTGCTGTCAGCCCGCGCCCTGCCTTCCTGCCCTCGGCCTGTGTCCCTGAGGCCCTCAGCTCCGGGGCCTCTCTTGGCTGTGGTCCCAACCTCTAAGTGAGAGGGGCCTGGGGAGGCTTGTGAGGTGCCCCAAGCTGGGCCATTGGAGACCCCTGAAGACTCGAGGGGCTTGTCTTCTAGACGCTCCACCCACCTCGCGATGCATCCCCATCAGAGATGGAGGTACTGTTGAAATCGGGAGAGAAGGAGACACACTCTTTCTGTCTCTGTCTCTCTCTCTTTCCATGTATATATATACATCTATATTTTTTGGTAAATTTTTGATGTTATACTTTGCTTCTGAAATTACTCAGCTCTAACCACGTGTTTAATTCACCGTTGTTTCTGCCTCCTCGTCAGTGGCAGTGTGGTCAGTGATTCTCGCAAAGTGGGAGAATCTACCCATAAATTGTTTCCACATGTAGTGAGGTTTTCATGGATTCTAAATGGAACCCTTAATGAAATTAGAATGTGCTAATTGCATGTTAATTAATTTTAATTTTTTTCCAGCTTTTTTACCTTTGGGAGCTGGTCATTTTGTTTTCAGAGCTTACATGTCATTTTGGGGGTCTCTGAAAACCCTGTAGGCCCCTGGCGCTGTGGCTAGAGCCCCCCACCTCCCTCAGCCAAACAAAAGGGGCCCACGGGGTCCCCTCTGGTCTCGAGGAAGGCACGCTTCAGCCCCGAGGTCTCCTGGGCTGGGGTGTTGGCAAGTCTGTGGACGATGAGTGTAGAATCTTCGTTATTATCTGTTGCTGGTGCACAGGGCTCTACAGTTTACAAGGCAGGGTCACATCCATGATCTCATTCCATTCTGGTGACAGCTTTGTGAGATCCGTGTCGCTGCCCCCTTTCACGGGGGCACACACTGAGGACCAGAGAGGGCCCTGACCTACCCAGACGCACCCAGAGCTGGAGCCCATAAGTGACTGTGGTGTGGTGGGAGGGGCAGGGGGCTGGTCAGGCGGTGCTTTCCTGTGTCCAGTCCCTGCGCTCACTCTGTGCCAGGCTCTCTGCTGGGCACCACAGACCCCATGGTGGCAAAACAACCTTGTCCCCTGCTCTCCTGGGACACGCTCTGGAGCCCAACGGCTTGGCTGGAGTCCTGATTCTGTCCCCCCGGGCTGTGTGGCCGCGGGCAAGTCACTGCCCTCTGGAGCCTCCCTTTGCTTGTTTGTAAAGTGGGGATTACAGTGGTGGGCACCTCCCGGGCTGCTGGGGGCATTTAATAAAATCATCTTCACCAAACACTCTGTGAAAATGGTGTTCGGATACTTTAGTTCTTGCTAATGTTCATATAGTCTGAGTAGGGGAGACAGATGCCTAACAAACAATTACAATAAAGGGTGTGAGAAGTGTGACAGCATGGGGACTGCTAACATAATAACTGGGTGGGGGGATCTCAAGGGAAGGCTTCCTGGAGGAGGTGGCTTTAGTGCCAGGTTCTGAAGGATGAGTAAGAGTTAGCCAGGGAAGCACATGAGGGTGTTCTTGGCAGAGGGAAAGGCACCCGCAAAGGCGGGAGAGGGCATTCTCCCCATCCAGAGGTGTTCTGGTGGCGGGGCGGTGGTGTGCCCGGGCCAGCCAGTGCAGTGTAGACTTGGCCCTGTGTGGGTCGGGGAGGGACCTGGCTGTGCCCCTGACCCGTGCCAGGGTCTCGTTTGTAGACGAGTCAGAGCTGATGGTGCAGCTTCCAGACAAGATGCGGCTGGACCTCGCCATTGACGTGAACTACGACATCGTCAGCAAGGTGGCGCTCTTCCAGGTAAGGCCCGCCCAGCGCCCTGGCCCTCAGGCTCTGGGACGCCCCAAGCCCGCGCCTTCCTCTCAACTGGGCTCCTCTCCCCGCCCCTCCGGGACAGGGCTGTGACCGACAGATGATCTTTGACATGCTGAAGAGGCTTCGATCTGTCGTCTACCTGCCGAACGACTACGTGTGCAAGAAGGTGAGTGCCCAGGCAGCGGCAGCGCCCTCTGAGACCCACAGCCCCCGCCATCAGAGTGGGCCGGGAGGGGGCCCGGGAAGGCCCAGGGGGACGTGCGGGCCCAGGGAGAGCGAGTTGCCCTGGAGGAGAGGAGCAGCCGCAGCTCTGTGCTCTGGCCAGCTGACCCCAGGCGCCCGGGGTGCTGGGCACAAGGGGGCTTTGTCCAGCTCCAGGCCCTGAGCTCAGAGCGGCCTCAGGCCTCAGCGTGAGACCACGGCGGGCCAGGACGAGCACCCCACTTTACAGAGGAGGGAAGTGAGGAGCCTGAAGAGAGGCAGGCCTTGACTGTGTCGCTGGGACTGCTTCCAGGGCCTTGGGCTTCCGACCAGGAGAGTGGGGTGGTGGAGGGGATGGGTCAGAGGTTGCAAACTGATGGCCCTTGTGTAGGAACCAGCCCACAGATGTTTTGTAGAGGTTGTTTTTGAGGTTTTTTTTTTTTTTTTGCCTAATCTAAAAAATAGAAAAAAGGTGAATTAGTCTCCAACCTTCAAAAATTAGAAAGTTTCACATAGAAATCCAGATTTCTGCCTGAAAACAGAAAGTCTGCTAACACTGAGCCCCACTTTCCCAAATAGTGAGAGTCAGCTGGAGTGGAGAGGGGGCTGCCCCTGAAGGGGGACGTCGTGCTCTCTCTGCATGCCACAGGCCCCGCCACTCCCCACTGCCCCATACCAGGCTCCCTTCACTCCTGTGCGTCACCCCCATGGTCCTGGAAAACACTTGGGTTTGAATGGCAGGGCTGGTCAGTGTCTAGGGCCCTCTCTGCTCTCACTCTTTGGGATTCAAGGGGAGACCAAGGGTGCTTGGTGAGTGAGTAGCAGGGTAGGGAAACAGGAACCAGATTTCAGTCCTCTCGTTATAGAGCTGTTAGTAAGGCTAGATATGTAAGAGGGTCAAAATATTGCCCAAGCAAACCCCATAAGATTCAGGAACCCCCAGCCCAAGAGGCTCCTGTCTCCAAGTTCTTTGCTTCAGCGAAGTTTCTAGAAGCAGTGAGCTGCAGGGAGAAGGGGAAAGTGTGTTGCAGATGGCTGAGAGTTTAAAGCGGCAGCCTTAGAGGCCAAGAGAGGTTTGGGAGCAATAGAGTGATTTATCTGACATTGGAGCCACTTCCTGGCTGTGCAGCCTTGGGCAAGTGGCTTGTCCTGAGTCTGGCTCTTCTCATGGGTAAAGTAAGGATAGCAATAGTGCCTCCCTCGCGGGGTGGTTGTGAGAATTGAATAAGATGTGCATACGGAGTTTGGCACTGTGCCTAGCACAGAGCAGGTGCCATTGATGCTGCTGCCATCCTTGTGGGTGCCGTACAGCTTGCTTCAGAAGAGGAAACGAGGATCAGGTGGTGGGGAGTTTGCAGTTGGAAGCTGAAGGGAGCCCTTGGTGAGCGTGTGTGCATGGCGCCCTCTGCCCTCCGGCTTTGCTCTGCAACACTTTTGCTGAGAGCCCCCCCCCTCCCCCCAGGCTGGTTAGTGAGGGAGGGCGAGCTCTGGGTGAGGTCCCAGTCAAACTGGATGCAGAAACAGGGAAACGGAGCTTTCCTCCCTCTGGTTAAGAAGGTCATGCGGGTGTAAGACGGCCAGAAGATGTTTGTCAATGGATCAGAAGTGTCCTTGGTCTCTCTCCCTTTAAACCTGCCTGGTGTGACCGACAGGCAGCGGGCAGGCAGGGGCCTGGAGGGTGTGAGCCGGGGAGTTGCCTGGCACCCTGGATATTTTGATTGCAAGCCATTCGTTCATTCACTCACTCACTCACTGGGTTTAATTTGGGATCAGGACCACTGTATCAGTTTGCTGCCACACACGGGGCTGCGGAAACAGCAGGAACGGATTGTCTGACAGCTCTGGAGCTGGAAGTCCAAGGTCTGGGTCCCAGCGGGGTGGGTTCCTTCTGAGGCTGCGAGGGAAGGGTCTGCCCCAGCCTCTCTCCTTGGCCTGGAGATGGCCATCTTCTCCCTGAGCCTCTTCGCATCGCCTTCCCTCTATGCCCGTCTCTGTGTCCAAATGTCCCTTTTATAAGGATACCAGTCAGATTCAGGGCCCGCCAACTCCGGGGTGACCTCATCTTAACTCATTACATCTGCAATGACCCTATTTCCAAATGAGGTCACCTTCTGAGGAATGGGGTGCGGGGGGTAGGATGTCACAGGTGGATTTGGGGGGCACAGTTCAACCCGTAGCAACTGTGAACTCTGGAGCCAGCCCGTCAGGGTTCAGACCTGGCTCTGCCTCGCCTGGATTCGCGAAGGGATCTCCTCCGAGGGCTGCTGGGGATTAAGCAGGCTTAGCCCTGCAAAGCCCTTGCCACGGCACCTGGAGAGATGTTACGTAAGCGCTAGCCGTTATTGTTGTTCCTACTTCAGTCAGCACGTGCTTTCTGAGCTCCTGATGTGACATGTGCTCTGCCTGGATATCGGTTTGTTGAATGAACCACTGTTAGACTTTCCAGGCCTCTGGTCCCTCCATCGTGTGGATAGCGGGGGAATTTGCGGAATACTGTGACTCCTGTGCCTCCTAGCTTAGGTAGCTCTTTCCTTCCCATCACACCTCTAACTCCCCACCTGTCAGTGAGGCGGGCTCCCCACAGATGAGGAGTTTGAGGCCCGACTGGGGATGTGACTGCCTGCAAACCACACACCAAGTCGGTGGCAGGGCCGGACCCCAGCCCAGGTTCCTCCGAGCTGCGCCACCAGCCTCGAGGCCCAGCCCTGCTGCTTCTCTAGTCCCCTTTGGCGATGGCCGAGGGACTCACCCCTTCTCTGTTTCAGGGCGAGATAGGCCGCGAGATGTACATCATCCAGGCGGGGCAGGTGCAGGTCTTGGGGGGCCCGGACGGGAAGTCTGTGCTGGTGACACTGAGAGCTGGATCTGTGTTTGGAGAAATAAGGTCAGAGGGGAGCTGGGCTGAACCGAGGGACCTGGGCAGAGGCTGGGGAGGCAGGGGGGATGGGCAGTGGCGGGACCACGTCCTCAAGGGCCCTTTGGTGGGTCGGAGGACTCCACTGTGGATGCAGCCCCAGCACCTGCTGACAACGCAGGGTGGTCCCCGGCTCTTGCCTGCGTGAGGCCATCGCTGTGCTGCGTGCAGGGGTGGGGTGGAATGAAGATTTTAGTGTGGTCAAGACTGCAGCCTCTGAAGGGTCTCACGTCGCTCCCTTCTCCGCCCCAGCTTGCTGGCTGTCGGGGGCGGGAATCGGCGCACAGCCAACGTGGTGGCCCACGGGTTCACCAACCTCTTCATTCTGGACAAGAAGGACCTGAATGAGATCTTGGTGCATTACCCCGAGTCTCAGAAGTTGCTCCGGAAGAAAGCCAGGTACATGTTTTTTAATTAAAAATATCTGAGTGTACTTCAGTGTGCATTTCCTGAGGAGTGGGGCTTTCTCTTACGTAAACGTAGTACCTTTATCAAAATCAGGAAATTCGATATTCAAGCAAGACTGTTATCTCATCCTTAATCCATATTCAGCTTTTGCTAATGGTCCCCAAAGTGTCTTTTATAGTTTTGCTTTTCTTCTTTTCCATTCCTGGATCCAGTCTAGGAGCACCCATTGCTCTATGTTGCCACGTATCTTTTGTCTCCTTGCATCTGGGATCAACGTTCCACAGCCTTTTTCTATCTTTAAGAACTTTGACTTCTTTAAAGAGGACAGGCCAGTTACTTTGAAGAATGTCCCTCAATTTAGGTTTATCTGATGTTTTCTCGTGACAACATTCAGGTTCTGCATTTGGGGCAGGAATTACTCAGAAGTGACGTTGTGCCCTTCTCGGTGCAGCATATTGAGAGGCAACGCGATGCTGGTTTCTCCCAATATTGGTGATTTTTCCTTTGATCCCTTGGTTAAAGTTTCTGCACTCTGAAGTTACTATTTCTCTCTTTGTAATTAATAAGTAATTAGTGGGGAGTCACTCTGAGACTATATAGACCTCCTGTGATCCTCCTCAAACTTTCACTCGGTACTTTTAGCATCCACTGAAGGTTCCTCACGATGATTGACAGCATGGTTGCACGATGGTAATCTTCTAACTCCATCACGCCTTCTGCATTTATTAGCCAACATTCTACTGCAAGGAAGGGCTTTCTCTTGTCTCCCATTTAACTGTCTAATCATTTGTCTCTTTATAACTGTATGGATTTACTTTATTCCATGAATATCCTGTGACAATCATTATTTTGATGCTCAAATTCTTCCAGATCTGGCCAGGGGCACCTCTGCAGCCTGGCTCTAGTCACCCTTTGTGAGGCCCCCCCTCCTACTTTAGTACGTCCTTGTTCACAGGCAGAGTGAGATGCCCTGAGCTCGTCTTGGCCCTTCCCTGCTGCATCCCTGGAAATGGCCATTTCTCCAAGGAGCCTTGATTCTTATTAGAGGGGAATGGTTTTTAGAAACCAGGATCTGAGTACCAAGTGCACTCATTGCTTGTGGAGTGCTGCTAGAGCTGGGAAATACACCCACATCCACACCTGTATGGAGAAATGCAAATATATACACACACACACACCATCAATGTCTGTTTTTCTGTCTGTGTCTATCTATATCTACATCTATGTCTGTATCTATATCTATATCTATATCTATCTATCTATCTATCTAATTTCAACCCAGTACCACAGAGTGCATTCTGATCTTCTCCTTTTCCACATTTATAAATTCCTTGTCCAACACGGGGAAGTGTGGCTCCCTTTATCCTCACTGCATTTGTTGATGGTTTGGTCCTCCTCCAGAGAGATGGCAGCATCCGGATCAGCACCCCGTGCTCCCGGAGACGAGGCAGCCTCCTGTGCAGGGCCTTTCTCGCTGTCTGTGGCCTGAGCGCACACGGCGACAGCATCATGTTCAGTTACCTGGATGAGCTCTTTCTCCTCCCTTTCTGGTGGGCGTTTGGTTCGTTTGCGATACTGCTGGGTTCATGTGTTTCAGTCTGCGTTGTTCCATTTTCACATCCCCCCACCCGATCCTCGCTGATTGTTGTTGTTCTGAATATCTAGAACATTAACATGGCACCAAAAGTCGAAATGCTATGAGACAGTGGACTCAGAGAACGCCCCAGCTCCCCCCACCTGTCGCCACCCACCCCTATCCGGACCCATGCTTGCTAGTTTCTGCTTTTCTCTTCTTGTGTTTCCTTTTGCAAAAATAGGCAGATCGGTGAATATTTTCTTATTTCCCTTTCTGTCTTACACAAAAGCGAGCATGCTGTTCATTCTCTTTTTCACTTTGCTTTTTTCACATGACACATCCTGAGAAACGTTCCCCATCGGTCATGGGCAGCTTCCTCCTTTGGGCAGCTGCAGAGCGGTTCTGTGAATGGGTGTTTGGGCCAGTTCCAATATTTTGCAATTGCAAACAGTGCTGCAGTGAATAACCTTGTGCATCTGTATTTTGTATCACTGGGGAGTAGGTAATTTTTTAGAAAAGCGGTTGCTTTTAAACCCTTAAGATCAGGTTTTAAATTGAGCGATGGAGGCAGCGTGGTGTGGTAGAAAAACTGCAATAGGCTTGGGAGGCTGGTAAGGCTCAAACCCCATCCATGTGCGGTACTGGCTGTGTGACCTTGGAAAAGTTACTTAACTTTTCTGGTCTCAGTTTTCTCCGCTCTACAATAAGGGTAGTCAGCCCCTACTTTGATGTTAAGAAGATTATATAAAATAGCATTTGTGAATGTCTCCAGCAGGATGCCAGAGGTATGGGAGAACTCAATAAATGCTGATAATAATTGCTCCTCTTTAGCCATTAAATTCTCTCTATAATTTTTCCGTTGGATAAAGCCTTTTGAATCCACATATCTGGTTTTTCTCCCTTGCCTTTTATCACACATTCTTATTTTCCACTTCATTCTATGAAATGACACCATAAATAAGCTGTACAGAGAGTGGTCCTGATAAAGGAACAAACCCACTAGCAGCATTCACACAGCATGATTATTTATTGAGTACGTAGTTCTAGGCCCTGGGGACGCAGCAGGGACCAAACAAAGCCTACATTCTAGTCGGGGAGACTGATGACGGAGACGCGAGTGATTGTGTGATGTGTCAGCCGGGGATAAGGGCCGTGAGGCAGCACAGAGCCGCAGGAGGAGGCAGAGGTGACGGAGGGAGCTGTCTGAGATAAGTTGGTCGGGAAGAGCCATTCTGAGGAGGTGGCGTTTCAACTGAGAGCGGCACAGAGTGAAGGAACGAGCTGGGGGACTGCCCGCAGGGAAAAGCATTCCAGGCAGAGGAAACAGCATGTGCAAAGGCCCAGAGGAAGCACAGGCTCAGTGTGTGTGCAGACCAGCAAGAAAATGAGTGCAGCTTGAGATGGGACAGGAGAAGTCAGGAGGATGAAATTGGGTGGGCCCTTGGAGGTGAAGCCTCACAAGGGCTTTGGCTTTTAGTCCGAGGGAGACAGGAGCTATGCAGGGTTTTACACAGAGGGGTGACTTGAGGTGACTTAGGTTTTTATAGGTTCCCTTTGGCAGCTCCCAGGTGAGTGGATATAGTGTTTACATCAGAGCGTCATACACACAAGGCCCTGGGGTCCCCTGGGGAAGGAAGCTGCCTGTAACTCATCTTACCCAGCTGCTCCCAGAGAAGCTACCGGGCCCTTCCAGGAGTCTAAAGTTTTCCCACAAAATCTGCCTACTTCCTCCTGCTTCCCTAAGGGCCCAGAGACTACAGTCAATCCTCATTATTCACGGATTCTTTATTGGCAGTTCGCCTGCTCACTGAAATTTATCCCAAACCCCCAAATCGATATTCAGGGGCTTTCACAGTCGTTCGCAGACGTGCTCAGAGAAGCAAAGCTTGGAGTCACTGGGGTGGCCTCCCAGCTGCAGCTGAGCGGGCGACGCTCCGCCTTCTTGTTTCAGCGCACACCGCCGACAAGCGTCTTGCTGCGGTCTGTGATGCGCCACGTGTCTGTGAGTTTTCTTGGTGACTTTGCTATTTAACACGGCCCCCAGGGTTGTGCTGACGTGCCGTCCTGTGTTCGGAAGGCAAGAAGGCTGGGATGCGCCTCGTCGGGGTGTGAGTTATGGAGCTGTTGGCCCCGAGTTCATTGCTAATGAATCCACATGTATTAAACAAGACGTCTTTCAACAGAAACCCCGAGACAAGGTCCCGTGCTGATCAGTGGGTGAGAATGGTGTGCAGACAGGCTCGCTGAAACCTCAGCCTGTGTCTCTTCCAGAAGCGATGGTTCAGTAGTCGCTGATTCAGGGTTCGCAGGGACTTTATAAAACTTAACTATCGCGAAGAATGAGAATGGACTGTTTACGTCTGAGGACTGGCCCCGGGTCCCCTCGCCCTCCCTTCCTCCCCTGCCAGAGGAGCGCTGCCCGGGTAGGCCGTGCTCTGGCTGTCACCCCGTTCCTCTGGCTGGGTTAGGTGAGAGCTGGGCACATCAGCCAGGACCCTGCAGGGGCCTTGCTCCTGTCTGTGCCGTGTGAGGTCGTTGAGGAGGGAGGAGGGGCTGACGGCCTGGGACTGGGGGTCCCGGCACGATTCATTAGGAGGGGCTGGCTTTCTGGAGAGGCAAGCTGGAGGAGAAGGGCAGAGGATTGTGGGTGAGCCCTGCCCAGCAAAGGAGAGATGGGGTCTGAGAACCACAGCGTCTGGGGACGTCTGAGTGTGGGAGCCACGTGTGGGACTCTGTTGAAGCTCCCGCTTTACAGAGGGGAGACCTGAGGCCCCCAAGAAGTGAAGCACCCTGCTCTTTGGCTTAGCCACGCCAAGAAACGGGGCATGCCGCTTTCTCCAGGAGTGAATGCTTCAGCCTAATTATAGCGAGACACACGTCATCTGAAAATGAGGATAAATTCCCTTAATCTGGAAATGTCCCAGAAGCCAGCTCAGTGTTCCAGAGCAGAGACGGCCGTTAGCAATCAGCCACGGTCTTAGAGACAGTCTTTGTGCGTCATTTTAGTACCATGCTGAGCCTTCTTGCAGACTGTCGTGCCGTGAATTATGGACTCAAATGACACCGGTGACAGTGCTGGGCGTGTAAGAGGCCTGTGATGAATTATCGTGTTTGTGTTCTCCTGGGGGAGCCTCACCTAGAAAATGCAGGTCTTGGGCAATTAATATCAATATGCACAATTTAAACCCATTGCCTCCAATTAGATAAGCAGCCTGTAATGGCCTCATTTTTAAACAAACAAGTTTTGCTGGAACTCTGATGAATGAATTTGCCAATGAGTAGTCTAGACCCGCTAGATTGCAGGTGAAATTCATTTGTTCTTGAGCCAAACCACTCATCACGTACTTGTAGCATGAAAAATTCCTTATAAAGGGCTGGGGCGCTGTTTGATGGAAAATTTTCTCCTTATTTAGAGAAGCAGGGTGGTAGGTGGCGTTTAGACCTGGGTTGTAATTCTGCCTCTGCTACTTTCTAGCAACCTTGGGCGTGTCGCTCCCTCCATTCTGAGCCTCAGTTTCCCCAACTCTCATAGGCAAAATAATCACAGCCCTTTCTGAGTCACAGGAGCACTGTCAGCATCCAAGAAGATAAGGACTATGATGTTGCTTTGTAATCATTAACTTCTGGGACACTGGGGTCAGAGGCATGGGTTTGAATTCCGGCTCTGCCACTTCCTCGCTGTGTGGCCTTGGAAAAGTTACTCACCCCCTCTGGACTTCCATATCATCACTTGAAATGAAGGAGAATAATAGGACCTACCTGTGAGGATGACTATGAGACTTAAATGAAAGAGGATGAGTTCTCTATGGCTGTATAACAACAGGACCACAAATTCAGTAGCATAAAACCACACACATCTATCATCTCAGAGTTTATGTGGGACAGAGGTCTGGGGACGGCTTGGGTGGGTCCGCTGCAAGGCTGTAATCATGGTGTGGGCCCGAGCTCGGTCTCATCTGAGGTCTTCACTGGGGGGATGTGCTTCCAAGGCCGCGTGGTTGTTGGCCGAAGCCAGTTCCTTGTGTTGTAGGACTGGGGCCTTGGTTCCCAGCTAGCTGTTGGCCGGTGGCTGCCCTCACATTCTTCCCACCTGGGCCTCGCCCAGCACGGCTGCGTGCTTCATCAAAGCCAGCAAGGGACAGATCCCCTTCCGAGACAGAGATCACAATCCTATGTGACACAGTCACTAAAGTGCTACTCCTTTGCTGTCTTCTCTTGGTTGAAAGCAAATCACGTCCCACTCACCCTCAAGGGGGGGTCACACAGAGGCATGAACACGGGATCTGGGGATCACAGAGGTCGCCACAGAATGCCTGCCTGTAAAAGACAGCGCAGGGCGGGACACATGTAGACCCTCAGTAAGTGGTGACAGTGGCTATGGTGATGATGGTGAAATGGCAGTGAAGCTCAAGGAGAAGGAGAAGCAAAAAGCTTTGGGTACTTTCTCATCTGGGATCCTATTTCTGACTCCTTATGTTAAAGCATCCTTCCTTATTTCCTGTGTGACCTCAGAAAAGATACTCACCCCCTCTGAGCCTCCCTTTCCTCATCTGTAAGGTGCAGACAGGAAGACCCACATCATTACGGTTGTTCTGATCATTCAGTGAGATGCTATGCATGAAGCGCTTGGTCTGTGCGTGGCTCAGAAAAGGCACTTGAAAATGCTTAGCGTAAACAGCCACCAGGGCCCAAGTTCAGCTGAAAGGCCCCTACACACACGAGTCGTTCTCTCCCAGAGCGTGCTTGTGACGTGAGCGGCCACTGCTTTCTTTCAGGCGCATGCTGAGGAATAACAACAAGCCCAAGGAGCAGAAGAGCGTGCTCATCCTCCCTCCCCGGGCGGGCACCCCCAAGCTGTTCACTGCCGCCCTGGCTGCAGCGGGGAAGCTGGGCGCCAAGGGGGCTAAAGGCGGCAAGCTGGCCCACCTCCGGGCTCGACTCAAAGAGCTGGCTGTGCTGGAGGCTGCTGCGAGACAGCAGCAGCTGCTGGAGCAGGTAACGCGGCTGGGAGCCCAGCCCCGTCCGTGTCAACCGTGTGCCAAGGAGAAGGCCTGTGCACCTAGGGGCCTCAGAGAATGGACCCCGTGTTTAATTTTAGGGAAGTTTTCCCCCTTCTTTGTATCAGTCAGGATTCATTTGGTTGCATGCGACAGAACTGCAAGCGACGGTGCAGGCTCAAATTAGCTTGAGAAATCAGGGAATTTCTTGGGTCAAGTAACTAAAAAGTTCAGGCAAGTCTGGATCCAGAAGCTGAGATGATGCCAACGGGATGAGTTTTGTCATCCTGTCATCTCTGCGTTCCTTGGGGATGGCTCCATTCCCAGGCTGGCCCCCGAGAGCTCTGGGATCACGTCTTCCCGCTTAGCAACCCCAACAGAAGGAAAGTACCTGTTTCCCGGTAATTACAGCAAAAGTCCCCAGGGTCACTGTCATTGGACGGAATTGGGTCACATGTCCACTCCTGACCCATTCACTGTGGCTCACACACCCATCCCTGGACTGAGAGTGGCCGGGGGGTCCCCACAGGGAAGTCCTGGTGCCACTGCAGAGGTAGGAGCAGTGGGTGTGGGCAGGGGATGTCCCAGACAGCAGTCATGTTCTCATATTTAATACTGTGTCCGTGACAATTCAGAAGATCCGAAAGAAAAAACCCTGCCGACAGGCACAGTGCTGACTGCCTCCACCCCCATAAATCTAGAGGGAATTTTAAAATTAGTTCTGGGACTTTTTTCTGTGACTAATGCCAAGAATGCCAATTAGAATGATTGCACTAATTATGGCTGTTCACCCTAAAGGCTCGGGGGGTGGGGGGGTGCGGCGCAGGAGCTCAGAGGAGGGAGGGGACAGCAGTCTCCGTGACCGAATTCCAAGGAGTCCAGTGAACTCAGTCTCAATCCAGGCTGGTGTCAGAGTCCAGGGGATCTGTCCAGAGGTGGTTTGACAACAGGAGTCTGGGGAGTGACATCAAAGCCACCTAGAGTTTCAGGACATTCTCCAGAGACAGCCAGCCATGGCCCCAGATTGAGAATAGACGTGACTGCCCGGCTCACAAACTGGCAGGAGCAGGGTGGAGCTGCAAGCTGGGGCCTTGAGCAGCGGCTGTGTGGGGCTGAGTGGACGCGAGCTCCAGGAGTGTCCTCAGGACAGGGCAAGGCTGCCTCTGAACAGGGGCGTGTTGCTCCTGAGTGTTAGCACTTCCCCCAGGCAGCCTGGAGATGTGAATTAAATTCACAGGAGTGTTCTAATAAAGGGCATTTCCCCTGCAATTCAGCACAAGCAGGACAGAACGGCAGAGTGAAAGGAGCTCTTCAATAGCAGTCCAGACCCCGGGTCTAAATCCCGGCTCTGTCATCACCCGCTCTGTGACCTGGGAGGCTCCTCCAGCTTTCTGAGACCCAGATCACTCATGGTCGCCACACGGGGTTGTCCACCATGGGAACCTTTTATAAAAGCATTTGGGACATGGAGAAGCACTTGACCACCCTTCCCATGGTTCTTCTAGTCCTGTCTACAGCTGGGTGCTTCAGGACGTCCCACAATGGGCCCCGTCTTGGCATCCTGTCCTGAGACTGTGCATGCTTTGACCCACCTGTTGCGCCCTCCCGTCCACCCTATACTCTGACACGTGCTTCCAGGACAGGATGCCCAGATGGGGCCCATTGTGGGACTTTCTGAAGCCCCATGGTGTCAGGGAGTGTCTGTTCCTCAGAAGCACGCTGGCTGCTGTCACTTAAACTCACCACCCCCAGCTCAAGTGGGTCCTGGATAGCTGAGGACCACCCAGATCTCCTCCTCGGGGGGCTGCTCCCTCCCCAGTTTCCTTCTGTGCAGGGATGGGGTCAGACAGGGCACGAGTATCCACAAAGGCTCACGTTTTCCCCTAATTCCCTACTGACACACAGACTGTGAGTGAGTCTGAAGTGGGTCCTGCAGCAAGCCAGCCTCTGACACTGGGTGTAGGGGAAGAAAGTAGGAATTTTATTGCAAAGCGCTGAGCAAGGAGAACAGCAGCTAAGGAACTCCGGAAAAGCTACAAGCAAGGGTTTTTATCTGGGGTTTTAGGTGGGGGAGGGCGAGCATGTGGCCTTGGGAGCTGACGTTCTAAGAGTCCTGTGCGCAGGCGCGACTGTCTTTCATGTTTGCTCATGGGTCGCGTGTGCAAATGCAAGGGAGTTCTATGTGTTGCATGCGGTGGATTTTTAGTCTATGACAACTAAAGTTTACCATCGGTCATTTTTAGCGTCTCATTGCTCTGGGCGAGGCTTAGTGGGGGGGCGGGGGGTGGCCGTCAGCAAGCTCCTCTCTTATCAGCGGTCCTCTAGCTGTCCTGCAAGGGGAGCTCAGAAGCTTCGGTTACTTTGTTTCCCACGTTAACCTTGTGGCTACAAGGCACGGTTTCACCCTAATCCGGGAAAATTTTAATTCCTTCGTCCTGGGTTTCAAGATCACGACCAGCGTCCCCGGGGAACCCGCAGGCTGGAGGCTGGAGTCACCCACCAAGTCCCCAAACACAGGGGCTCTCTCGGCCTAACGCCGGTGGTACCCAGCCATTCTTCCCCGGGGTCTCAATCTTTGAGCCCTTCCAGAAAGGAGGCCAGGCCACAGCTGCTCCTGCCCTCATCAGCCTTAACCTTGTCCGCATAGAGTTTTTCTCGTTCCCCCAGGAGCACCGAGCCCCGGTCCCCGGGGCGGGCGGGGCGGCCGCGCAGCCTCGCAGGGGTGGTGGTGGCGCCCCTGCCGGTCACGGCCTCTCCTCCCTCAAGAGCTCAGGGGCGGGGCCCTGCCCAGGAACTGGCCGCTTCCCTCTCGCTTCCAGCCCTGCAAATCAACGGACATAAAACATCCCCAAGACCTTTCCCCTAAATCCAGCCGGGCCTTTTAATCCTTGAACGTGCCCGTAGTACTTTGTTTCTACCGAACAACCCTGATGCGGCTCCGCCCCGACCCTGTAGGTTTCCCCCCCTGCGCGCCCCGCCGTCCTCCTCCTTGCGGGTGGAGAAGGCGGGACGGGGACCCGCCCGAGCACCCTCCAGGACCCCCTGGACGCTCTCTCCCTCACGAGTCACTCTTTCCGGATTCCAGGCCAAGAGCTCGGGAGACGCCGCGGGAGAGGCGGGCTCGGCCGCCCAGGTGCAGCCCACGGCCCCGGCGGAGGCCGCCCCGGACCAGCCCGCCGCCCCGGAGCCCGCGGCCCCCGACCAGCCCGCCTCCCCGGAGCCCGCGGCCCCTGACCAGCCCGCCTCCCCGGAGCCCGCGGCCCCCGACCAGCCCGCCGCCCCGGAGCCCGCGGCCCCCGACCAGCCCGCCTCCCCGGAGCCCGGGGCCCCCGACCAGCCCGCCGCCCCGGAGCCCGCAGCCCCGGAGCCCGCGGCCCCGCGCTCTCCGCCGCCCGCCTCCCCTGCGAGGCCCGAGCGGGGCGAGGAGGGGGCGGCCGGGCCCGAGGAGCCCTCGGTGCGGATCCGCATGAGCCCGGGCCCGGACCCCGGCGAGCAGAGCCTGTCGGTGGAGATGCCCGAGAAGAAGGAGGCGGAATGAGGCGGCGGCTCCCGCAGGTGCTCCCCCCGCCCCCGCCCCGCGCTCCCCACTCCCCGGGCCGGAACCCCGGTCCGCCATGGGGACCTCAGTTGCCCTCAGTTAACGTCCCGGCCCACATTCCCTCCCGGACATCACCTTCTTGCAGGGCTGATCTTGAAACCAACAAATTTCATAGAGTGTGTGTGTCCCCAAGCTCCCACTGTCACTTGAGAACCCTGCCTCTCCCCGACTGTTATTATTTTTAAGAACAAAACTATTCTCTATTTTGAAAGTTCATCGGCAGAGGATAGAATGGGGCCCCACCACCTGGAAAGCCTCCCTGTGGGGCGTAAAGGGTCATTGAATGTTTGGGTTTTTCCCTTAGGGATTTGGCTCCCACATTTGAAGGATAGAAAACATTTCGGCGGAAAGGAGGGCAGATGTGCTGTTCGTGTGACTGCCTGGAGATGACGGCGCACCGGACCCATGTGTGATGCTGTTTTTTCTTTGCTGGGCGGTCACATAGGCGACGTGATGCTGCTCAGATAGTTAGTGCTTATCTTCCCCAGACTATTCAGCTGGGAGTGATGCCATTGTCTCAGAACAGATAAATGGAAGTGGGCTCCGTGGCCAGGAGCCGGGAGCGTTTCTGAGCATCTCCTCAGCCCGTCACCCAGTTCTGCTCAGCAGGAATTCATGTTACTCCGTTTTGACACCCTTGCTATAGAGATGATGTAGCAACTTCGATTAATCCTAGAATCACAGCTGAAGCCACCGAAGTTCCCGAGATTTCTGCAGGTCTTCATGTTACTTTTATGATTAAAAAAAGAAAAAAGGAAAAAGAGTCATTCAGTCCATGAATATTTATTGAGAGGATTTTATTTGCCAACTGAATGGCTGTTGGGGGAGCTGGTGCTGAAAAACAAAAACTAGTATTGGGCCATTTGTTTCCGCCAGCAACCGTGAGCACAAAAAGCCTGGAATTCCAATAGGTACTGTCCATTTTATATAAAATTACAGGAACCTGGTCAACCTCTGACGGGCCCTTGGGGGCTTGCAAATGAGTGTTTTTATCCATGGAACTAAAAGCAGAACCTTCATTTCCCCTGTGAAAAAATTAAACAATCTGGGAGTTCCCAGGCGGGTCTAAGCATTTCCAAACCCCAGAATAACAAAGGGATTCATCTGGTCGATGACATATCACGTGACCTGAGTAATCATCACACTGGATATAATGATGAGCGACATCATTATTTTAGCCTTGTAAAAAACTTTTATTGATTTTCATGGGTAATAACACATTTACGTGTGTACAGAAGGATGCCCAGTAAAAATTCTGCCTCCTGCCCCTGGTCCCCAACATGCCTGGTGCCCTTCCTGGAAGCAACCACCATTATCAGTTTCTTGTGTATCCTTCAGAGATATTTTTTTTAAAGATTTTTTAAGTTTATTTTATTCCTTTTTCTCCCCAAAGCCCCCCGGTACATAGTTGTATATTCCTCATAGTGGGTCCTCCTAGTTGTGGCATGTGGGACGCTGCCTCAGCATGGTTTGATGAGCAGCGCCATGTCGGCGCCCAGGATTCGAACCAAGGAAACACTGGGCCGCCTGCAGCGGCGTGCGCGAACTTAACCACTCGGCCACGGGGCCAGCCCCCTTCAGAGATATTTTTAAGCTCACACAAGTAAATAGGTAAACTCATTCTTGTTTCCTTCCTTTTTTTTACACAACTGGGAATGTACTAGAGCTGCTGTTACTTTTCACTTGCTTTATTCTGGGGATTGCTCTTTATTAGCACATTAAGGGCCTGCTTATTTTTGCATGACTGCAATCTAGTCCATGGTATGAATGTACCATAACATTTAACCATTCTCCCATTAGTGGGCATGTGCATTGTTTCCAATCTTATGCGGTTGAAAATAATGCTGTAGGGGCAGGCTCCGTGGCCGAGTGAGTGGTTAAGTTCGTGTGCTCCCATTTGGCGGCCCAGGGTTTTGCTGGTTCGGATCCTGGGTGCGGACATGGCACCGCTCATCAGGCCACGCTGAGGCGGTGTCCCACATGCCACAACTAAAAAATATACAACTATGTACTGGGGGGCTTTGGGGAGAAAAAGGAAAAATAAAATCTTAAAAAAAAAGATAATGCTGTAATAAAAAGTCTTGTACAGGCATAATTTCACTGGTAAACACTGATTTTAAGTAGGGAAGTTCTGGGGGTTTGGCTGATTTTTTTCTTTACCATCCCTGTTTATCATTCCCGTATTTCCACTACACATTCCAAGATCTGAGCATAGAGAATGCTTCCATCTTTAGCAGGTATTTCAGATATATCGGTGAAGTAAATGAATTGCCCTTCAGTAGATGGCAAAATGGTTCAAGGACAGTTTCACTGTGAGACCCTATTTTATAAGGTATCTTTTTTATATGAATGTACTGATTCTTTAAATATCAATCCTGGACTGGACACTGCTTATTATATAAAGTGACAGATTCTTGGGGTTCCCAAGAATGGTCCTGGAAAGAAAATTGATTTTGAAATGAAATGAGATTGGCAGTGTCTTAATTTCACTGAGAAATCTCAGAAAACTTGACACTTCCACAAAATTTGGATATTAGAGTAATTGAATTTGAGGCTGGCATGACTCTCCAAATAGAATTGGACTGGTTGATCGCCAAGGTGTAGATTTTACCGCTCAGGAATACGGTCAGTCTGCATCGGAAAGAGGATCTTTAATTTATGGGTGTTGAATCTCTACTAACTTAAAATGTCTCACCTTTTCCTGCATTTTGGTAGAAAATGAATAGCGAGTTATTTTTTTAATTACATAAATATTTTAAGGAAAATGAAAACCAAGAAGCTATTTAAAACTTCATTATCAAAATGTATTCAGCTACCTGGAATGTTTTCATGTGTTTTCTTAATAAACACGAATGCTGCATTTACAGTCTGGCATACATCCTATTACAATGCACTTTAATTAAAGTATTTAGACAAATGTTCCTGGCTTGTGGATTCATTTCAGAAACTGACCAAGTATGACAAACACTTTTGTGAGAAAAACTAAGTTTATTTCCTGGCTTCTGCTCGCTAGCTGGGCTCCTATTGACATCCTTGGGGCTATGACTGATCCTGCACTCCTGTTGCTGGAGTGATATCCCTGTGGCATACCTTCTCAAACCTCCGTGGCCCCTAGGATTCTAAGCCCCTCAAAAACAGCCCCTTTCAGGGGCCGGCCCCATGGCCGAGTGGTTAAGTGCATGCGCTCCACTTCGGCGGCCCAGGGTTTTGCTGGTTTGGATCCTGGGCATGGATATGGCACTGCTCATCAGGCCATGCTGAGGCAGCGTCTCACATGCCACAACTAGAAGGACCTAAACTAGAATATACAACTATGTACTGGGGGACTTTGGGGAGGAGGAGAAAAAAAAAAGAGGAAGATTGGCAACAGGTGTTAGATGCCAATCTTTAAAAAAAGAAAAAAAAGGAAAAAAACCCTAGCCCCTTTATGTCTGGTCCCACAAGCCAAGTGCTTCCAGTGTCCCCAACCCCAGTAGACTTGTTCAATGATGCAGAGTGCTGACATACACGGGCTCTGGATTCAGACTGCCTAGCTTCCAATCTCAGCTTGACCACATACCACATGACCATGTACCATGGATGCCCTCGGTCCTCTCTGAGCCCCGACAACCTCATCTGTAAGATGGAGATAATACCTTGCACTGCACAGGGCCACTGTGATGGTCAAATAGTACTGGCATTGCCAAGTTTGAACAGGCAGGAGGAGTAAAGCCAACTCGTTATCCCCCGACTCTTCTACCGGCGGAGAAGAGTGGAAGCCCCCTGAGAACTCGGTCTTCTCTGAGTTCTGCCTCCGCCCGGAGCTATATGCACAGGAGTGGTGTGATCACGTCTGTCCTTGCTCTAAAACTGAGAGTTTGTCCAAAGGCCTGGACACATGTTAGTTACAACCATATAAATCACAGCTTTCCTACCATCCGTGAACATAGTTAATCCACTTTCATACAAAAACAGACCCTAAAACACCCAACCCAGGCTTCCTCTCCTGGGAGGGTCGCTCCATCTGGGCTGGGCCCAGGTCAGCTTCATGGGTGTGACCCCTGTGCCGTCACCCGTGGCCCTGTGCTTGATTATGCGCTGTCACCACCTTCAAATTCTTAGTAATTTTTGGACAAGGGCTCTCGCACTTTCGTTTGCACTGGGCCCCACGGTTTACGTAGCGTATCCTGGCTGGGTTGCAATACCACCTGATACCCGAAGAGGCCAGTGGGAGAGGGAGGGGGAGATGCGTCTTTTTGCTCTCAGCTTCCATCTCCCTTCTTGCAGCCACAGCATCCTGCTCCCTTTTGGAAGAGTACCTTTCAACCATGCAGTGTGACTCAAACATGGTGACCAAGTCAGGCCCATTGGCTCTCTGTCCTGCGAATCTGGATCTTGAGAGCTATTACCCCTCTTCCTTGCTAACAGCACCCTGTTTCGTTACAAGCTCCAGGGGATGAAGCCCTGGCGTGAGCCATCCCCGCTCTTCTGATCCCTTATGTCAGACACTCACTGTCCCAGCCTTCCTTGTGGCCAGGGGTGGCCATCGACCCAGTTCTAACCAATGAATTAGAAAGGGGAGGAGGACAGGCGGCCCCCTTAGTAAGAGGAAATCCCCCTTTGGCCGCTGTCCCTCTTTCTTCCTGCTTGCCACACTGGTGGGAGAATATATCTGGAGCTGCCACAGCCATCTTGCAACCGAAGAGCCAAAGAATCAGAGCTGCAGACTGTGACGTGCCTGAGATGCTAAACCAACCCCGAAACCACTCCTCTCCAGAGTACTTGTTACAGGAGAGACGGTGAAATACCTTCCTTAGCTGGGCCATCTCAGCCCCGATCTCTGTGACCTGCAGCTGGAAACATCCTGAGAGATGATCAAAGAGATGGAGAGGGAGGGAAAGAAAGTGGGAACAGATGCAGCACCTCCCACGCGTTCCCGGCGCTCAGCTTCTTGTTCCTACAGGGGTTCCTGTCCCTCCTGGCCTGGCCTTCAGCTTTTCCCTGATTACACGGGCTACCTGTGTGTTTTGAATAAATTCACCTTTAGGTTAAATTGGTCAGCGTTGGTTTCTGTCGCTCACAGTGAGAGAAACCTCACCGATGCCGACAAAAGTGCTTCTGGGAGTTTCCTGCTTATTTAAAATTCAAGATCTAGGCCACCCGTTCGGGGCATCTAGAACAGGCACTGGTGGTTTCTAAACGCAAACATCAGGAAGAGACACTCCGAGACGGGAGTAGAGGAGAGAGGAGGCTGATCTGGCCAAGATCAAGTTCAGATACTTCTCTGTGGAGGGAAAGCGATGGAGAGAGTGCTGTGGCCCATAAGGAGAAGGTGGGCTCATTTCCCACGGGCTCTTCCCAGCTCCCTCCCCGTCCTGAAGAGGGACGCAGCAGCAAGGACCCCGGGACAGACCCCTCCTCATTCACATTCCTGTAGACTGAGCTCTCGCTCACCTCTCTCTTTTCCGGTGAAGCGCTGAGAACACAGCGGGTTGTGCTTTGTGGCCGTCAGAGAGCTTTCCCCGCTCAAGCAGTCTCTGCAGTCTCGTCCGCCAGGCTGCTGAGCGGTGATCAAGACGGGAATTATCAGACCAAATGAGAGACGAGGACATGGGAACATCAGGTAAACGGATTTATCCTCAGGGGCTCAGCACCCTGGCTGGAGACAGAGACAGCTGAGAGAGAAAGCCCTGAGGCGCCCTCCCGCCCCAGCCGCAGGCCTGTGGGCAACCTTGGCTGTGGAACTTCCATTCATTCGATACTTTTTAAAAAAATGCTTTCT